CTGAACTGCTTTTTCGATGTTTGTGTAGTAAGTTGCCTTTTTTTGCATGTTATGAGTGTTTTTGCATGAAATGTTGCAAATGCCAAGTTATGCCTATCCTTGCTTTGTTTGATGAGGGCAGTTAGTCTCATTTTGCATTTTTTCCTGTCTTTCAATATACATTTCCCTACATCTCATATCCTAGGCTGCCAAAGAAATCTGTAACAAGCCCTACCCTGTTCGATTGCGCGTCGAATACTTGAAAAATGTGCTCACAGTCTATCGTCTGCGTCCCAGATAGGTTCCCATAGGTACCACGTCATCTCGCTGCCTTTCGCACTTTTGAACGTGTTAACCTCGGGCACTTCCGTTGAAACCTCAGGAGAAACGTGTCAAAAACAGCGAAAGGCAGCGTCGCACCACGTACGCACGCTGGTTCACATGGGAACTCTGGGGCGCGAACGATACGTAACTCCGAAATATGAGCTTTGCATGAGATAATAACAGTATTTTCGTCTATCATGTGCAGCACATGGGGGACCTTCTAGAGCTGATAACATCGTTTTGCCGCGTAACGGTTCCTTCGGAGTGTCCGCAGCCACTGGGCCTTGCTGGTACTTCTTCCCTATTGTAATTAATGCTTCCCAACATTCATTTGATTATGAGCCTTTTACCAGAACCACGATGTCGTTGACTTCTCCTTTTATCGTAGATCATTTGGGTGCATAACGTTGTGATTGTTATCAAGTCGGATTCTAATGTGATAAACTTCCAAACTTCCTTTGTCTGCTGCTACACCTTTTTTGAATAACAGTGATGTAGTAAAGTTTACGAGAGCACTGATTTTCACTAATGATTTAGAGTACGTGCAATGTGTGAAGTGTTGTGCAATTGCATGAAATCGCGTCGGAGGTATGCACGCCTCCGGCGACTGAGCGACTCAGTCGTCGCGTCCCAGTCGCCACTTTCGTGCAAGTCGTCGCGACTGGAGATCGCGCGACTTCGTCGCGTGAGGTCTGCCCAGGGCCTAATGCCGGCTGCCGCAAGCAGAAAAAAATTGGCCGCGTGGTCGAGTGGCGCTGGAACTTGACGCACGCGGGTTCGAACGCGATCGGTGTCGCTGTTTTGCGGTTGTCTGAGTCATCAAAACTTTATGTGAATAGAATTGCGGACCAAAACCTGAAGCAATCCGCGAGATGCCGCTAGAGTTGGCAACTTTCCGTGATGTGTGCCAACTTGGCGGCATCTTTGATGCCACCAAGTAGGCTAGATTACTACCGGCCCTGATGTGCATAGTCCTCCATCATCATCCGTTGTCACATTTAATATGATAATGTGAATTATGTGATGTTTTGGAGGAAAGAAGCACGTATTTTCTATTTTTATTTCATCTTCTTTCTCTCTCTCACTTTTTTTCATGACATGTTTTTTCCAGTTTTCACTCTTGATGCCCAGAAACCCCTTGAATGTGCCAAAATCAAATGCTTTTGATTCTGCAACCTTTTCTGATTTGAAGATGCTCTCCTTCCTTATCGATGAGTTCCTTGAGGGGCTTGTATTATCTACTAATTTGTCTCCGTCTAAGGATAGGAACGAAAGGAGTTTTTTTTTGAGAATTTTCACTGATTAATTATATTTCACTACCTTTGCTTGTTCTCGCTTTTAGACCTGCGAGTTGAGTACCTAACACATTCGCCAGCGCTTCGACCGGAGTCGACGGTCCCAGACGGATTCTCAGGAGAACATCGCGTGTTGCTCAGTGAGATTACGAAACAATTCACTGTGCGAGTTTATTAGCCTGTCTTCTTGTCGTCCGATCATCGTACACATCATCATTTATTTTTTCTACTTCTATTCTTCACATCCCTAATGGCTTTTTAGTCTTACACTTCTTACTATTTAGGTGGACCAACCATATGTATTCTATGACGCAGTGCGCCATATGCGATGTGGAAAGTTCGCTCCTTCTTTAGTGCTTGTGGAGTATTTGTTAAAAGCTTTTTTTGCAATAATCAGCAGTTAATGAAAAGTATTTGTAGAATCTTCTGGAGTTTCGTGCATGGCTTTTTAACTGGTTTTTTCATCATCTGCCTCGCGGTGCTCGCGGTGCTGATTGTTTGGAGCTACACCCGTTTTCGCTGATGCGTCGCCTGCATGCCGCAGGCGACGCATTTGGAATTGCAACCTCTGCGCCCTCGCCAACGGATCAGGCGATATCAACTCAAGCTTGTTAATCCTTCATCACTTTGTGCCTGTTTTTCCAATAAAAATTGAAATGTATTGTACCATGTGTTGCTACGATAGCCCGTACCTCGGTTTCATCTATATTTTTGTGTCCTAACTGCCCTAAAAATTACTGAATATTATCTTAGTATGACTGCTATGACCTGAAAAGATCATAGCACTATACGCTTGGGCCGGATGCGATCCACCAGGAAACGAGTGAGTGAGCTAGCTAATGATATTTTTCAAATTCAAGTATCTTTTTAGAAGTGCAATTGGATATAACATGGGCTGAAGCGTGCCCATATTAGCTGCAATAATTGGGCTGCTGATAACAATCCGCTGATGGGCGTATATCGAGAGCCGTGGGGAAGCGGCACGATCGGCACCGGTGGCCGTTTTGGAAGAGATGGCGCCATGAGGAGCGAAAACAAAATTAATTACTGAAAAGCGAACATTACTTAAGCGCCTATCGCACTCTACGGCTGTTCCATCATGTAGCTGTGGATCATTCTGTCCTGTATAAAAATTTGTTGACACATGTTAAGTCGTTAATCCTCTACTTCCTGAAATCCTCCTGCAAACTGTTCTGCAACTGGCGTAGCGGCTATCAGTCGCTCGAGATGGGTTGCACTCGGATCCTGCCTCAAAAATCATCTTCTTTCTACTTGGTGTCTTTTAATGCGTTCCAAGTTCGTCTCAAAAGTCACTGAGGCGCACTCTCCGCAGGCTCGCAATCCTTTCAGAAGCCGGTCGCAGTCGTATGTTGGGTCCTCTTCGATGGGCCAGTCAGTTTGCTATGAGCTCTTCTAACCTGTTACCGTCATAAATGACTTCTTTTCTTCTTGCGGCATTGTGGCAGACCTCCTTTTCCAGCTTTCGACTGAATCGTACCTTCGCTTGAAGGAGGCGGTGATCAGAGGCACTGCAGAAGGATGGAACTACTGGGAGATCAAAAACAAGCTCCACCTTCGGTTGGCGAGAATGTGGTCAATCTCCGCGTGAGTCGTTCCGCTGGGCGATTTCCAAATCCACCGGCGATGTTCTTTCTTGATGAAAATGGAATTTCCATGGAAAAGTTGTGCGGCGGAGAGAAGCCCAACGAGACGGTTGCCGTTTTCGTTCTGGAGCCCATATCCAAAGTTCCCCATCCTATATTTCTCTTCTAGTGGTATTCTGATCTTCGCGTTGAAGTCGCCCACAACAAACTTGTAAAAGGATTCTCGTTGCGGACGACCTTCTCCTCGTAGAAAGCATCCAGTTCTGATTCATCAGCTGCTGATGTTGGCGAAGCAGTTGACGATGCTGATGGTCTTCCGAAGTGGGGATTTTAGTCGTAGAATGGCTAGCCGAGGTGATAAGACTCATGCGAATCGACATCCGATAGATGGGTGGGCAACCGAACGAACGCCTCCAACGTTTCGTAATGGAACCTTTTCACCATGAGAGATGAGGGTCCCATCACTCATCTGTCGCACGCCCGATAATGCGGTACTTGATGTGCTCTACAGCGTCGAGAAGAGCGTGGAGGTCGGCCTTTGTGGAGACTGTCCTGGCCTTGTAGGTGCAGAGCATGAGGCAGATTCCATGGCGTGTCGTTCACGCAGGCGTGTCGTTTTTGCTTAATCCAAAAGGCGCCCTGAGGACCCTGGCATCGTTCTTGCTACCGCCCGGCGCCGTAGGCGGGATCCGATGTGCAGGGTTTCTTTCTATTCTTCTAACTGGCCGAGTAATGAAAAAATTTTCCCTACAAGAGCAGAGAGGACTACTCTTGATTTCCACTGGGCGATCACTGACCCGGGTTGGAGCGGGGATATCGCCTAGCGAGCGGAAAACCAGACCGCTGGGATCTGGCCTGGCCGGCTCCTTGCTAGGCATGCGGCCGAAACCAGAAACGTCATACTCCTTCACAGCTTGGGAGGCACTACCGGAGTATACACTCGGCTGTGCATCGCAGTTCGACATGCAGTGTGTCACCCCCACGCCATGAGGCGGCCGACCATTGTGGGGGCTAAAGGCAGGGTCCGAGCAAAAGGTCGATTTTGAGGTTTTGTGCTTACCCGGGCCTATTCGCTATGCTGAATCCGAGAATCCACGCTGAAGAGCGCAGAAATGGCGAAGAAGGGCTCTTACGCAGGAGGGAAATTAACAGTTGGGCGAAGTCTTCTCCACTGTAAATTCACGCTTCAGTTTCTGGAGCGATCGGTTCCGGTTTCAGTCACATGTTCGCACTTGGCCGTGTGGATGTTAGGGCGGGTAACGGACCGAGAAACCCGCTCCGGAAGCTGGGAGCATGAATTTACGAGAAGAGGACCCGTCCCCCCTCTTCTCTTAAATTCCCCTCCTGCTCTAGAGCCCTTTTTCGCCGTTTTTGCGCTTTTCAGTGTGCATCTTCGGATTCAGCATAGCGAATAGGCCAGGTAACTACAAAATTTCAAAATCGACATTTTCCCGGACACTGCTTTTAAATCGTACGCAAAGCAGCAACATACGAATGTCTACAAGACAAATCCCATTAGCCGCGCGTTTGTTTTTCTCTCGAAAACTTCCAGATACGTGTACAGTCAAGAACGGTTGCAACTTATCTCACTGCTTACCGAAGTTGATTAAATTTAGCCGTAACAACACACTGTCACCCAAGATGAATAAATAAAGTATATATTTGCACGTTATCTGGCTTCCCAGCTCTTTCATACAGTTCTTGTTCATCCCTATAGTCCTAGGAGAAAATATGACTGTTTCATCAACTTGCACTTTATCGAAATCGCACAGGATGGTTCTGTTTACTGTCATCGCAGACGTTGCAACGCTGTGCCAAGCTATTGTGCTCTGCACACCAGCGAACACTGTTGTCAGTTCGCTTGGTCTTATCTTGCACCGAACCTCGACTTTTCCTCTTCGCCTATTGATCAGCCCACTGTCCATACTGCTGTTACCGGACGTCCCTCGTCCTCAAAAGCTCGTCTCTAGCAGGCAGCAAATAAGCGAATATTTGCGCAGTGTTGGCGGACCATTCCGCAAGAGTAACCCGCTTATTGTTAGAGAACTCCTCATGCAATGAACCAACGACCAGAAGACGTGACAGAATTTAACGTGGCTGTAAGTATACATCTGAAATGTACCGTTCTGGAATTTTTTATAGCCCACGTGTGCAGCAGTGCTGCACAATTATGACACCTTTTATTTGTTTTTAGGCCCATTCATCAAGTTGTCGATAAAGTGCTTCTTGATAACCAGCCCACCATTTTTTAGGAATTTCTAATATGCTTAAAACCCACGCATAAACCACTGCGTGCTTGCATAAATCAAACCATACATTTTTGATGCAGCGAAAATTACTGAGATGACATCATCGAATAAGCGCGATGAATGAAATATACAAATTCAAGAAGTGCAAAATTCTAATGACTTGCAGTACGCGTATCGCTTCCATTTGTCATTTTTCCATTCTGTGATTGATTATTGAATTTTATTAGAGGAAAGAAGTCAAAAGCTCTTGACGCGGAACACGCCTACTTTCTATTTCCGATACTTTATAGATTGAAGCTAATCGCACATTCACGTGCTTCATAAACATCACATGGCAAGGTATCAAGAATTTTTCTTGCAATAAGCTTAACGCTCAGTGTTTGACGTCTATGCGACAACACAGTCAATCTGGTGAGCTGCATTTCAAGTTCTCAGCTCTGATATCCAATGTTTTTGCCCATTGTTTAGTCTTAAGAAAAATTGTAGACAATCTTTTTAAAGGCCAGCCTAATCAAACTGTGGAAAAGCGATGCCTTGGATATTTGTACGAACAAGCCTATGATATCAGTATCCGTCAATGGACCAGTTACCAAGGAGTTTACGAAACCATTTGTAGTTTTCCGGAAAAATTTCAAGAGTGTCTTGTGATGACTCAGAAGCTCTTCAGCGTTTCCTTTTCATGAAAGCAAACAGTACAAAACGTTATTAGAACATGACCGTTTTAAATAATTCAAGATTATCATCTTCTTCAAGCTGATTTTGCTGTGCGAATTTAGCCACGAAGGAATCCAAATTATGCCGTCTACTTGCGGCAGCTTCTTCGCCATTTAATGATTTAATGCGTTTTCTCTGGTCTGGGCAAATTCCATAATATGCACTCTTCAATGACCAGCATTACACTATCATATGATAATGTTCGTTTTCAAGATATTATGAATTGAAAATGGGGTAAATATTAACTAATAAACAAGATAAATTCATTATGTAGAAGACCCAAGAACTTGTATATCTATTAAACATGTAGACGACATGGCAAGTTTTTTTGACAAGCGGCAGAAGGTTGATACTTTTTCCTGTGAAGTTGGGACTATATATAGATACAAGGAAGGTGTATCTCTTTCTAAAAAGTCTTGGTAAAAAACTCCAACTACAATTTTTTGAGTGAACCCCCTTTTTTCTTCAACTAGAAGACCATGCAGAATGGATTCTTTAGCAAGCGTGAGCCTGCTAAAGAATCCATTCTGTAATTCATTCTCATGATCATGTTTTTTTTACCCCAACGCTGACGCACAGTTACCATTCATATAAAGAAATGGCCATTCTACAAACTGCTTGCTGAGAAATCTTGCTTTCTCCGTGTTCTTTCCGTACTAGAAACGGTTTCCAGGGCCCGGCACAGATCGTCTGAAAGAGGGCTGGATTTTGCTTTCGAGGCAAAAAAGCAAATGGGATATCTTTGCGGGTTCGAAAAAGCACAAAAAGCAATTTTTTCAGCCGACGTTTCGGATTTTGAATTAAAGGGGACTTCGTAAAATTTTTGCGAAAGTCAGGGGGACTTCATTTTCAAAAGCCTAGAACGAGCTCGTGCCGGGCCTTATAGGAACCTCTTTGATCACAAATTCTAATCAAAGCACAAAGGAAGCATATCTATGCTCTGTTTCTTTTCTCTAATATTTCTCGTACTGGTGCCTCTCCTAAGTGCTGGGGCAAACAATGTGTACAATCAGTGCAACACACTGGCTCTTTCGAGAGAAATGAGCTATAAATCGTGCTAGAAATTCAGGGGAGGAACGATGCTCCTTATAGCAGTCGTTAAGCTTCAAAGCTTCTTACTGTACAAGTAAATTTATGCTAGATCGTAAGCATCTATTATCGTGCGATTAATGATAGTGTGATAAAAAGCGAAGCCGCTATTCCATTATTCTGCGTATCAATAATGAACTTACATCACTTTCTGATAAGCAGATGCGATTTGGTTTTTTTTTTTGAAAATTGCTTATGTTAGTGAAACAACTGCCCAACTAGTCGGAAAGCAGATTATTTCCCTCACAAGTAATAGTAAAGGGAGAAATAGCCAACTTTGGCGACCACGCTTACACCTTGAATACAACAAAAGTCTCATGCTTATTGTTTCTGGAGCTTAACACTTTCTCTTTCCAAAAGAGCTTAACACTTTCTCTTTCTAAAATCCGAGCATTGAGAAAAAGCAGTGTTCACGGAATTTGGAAGGATTACACAGTATGTATGTAAATGCTGCCTAAAACTGAGCCTGCTTTATGACGTCAAGAAAGCTTTTTTCTGAGCCTTGAAGTTGTTATGTGAATAATTATGTAACATCTGTGTTACCACTTGCTGAACTCAATCTCGCAAAGAGTGAAAAATTGTTAAATTGCGTAGGCGGTGGAATTCATAAGGATCTCATGCTACATATTTTTTGTCACAGGTAGCGAAACCTACCCATTCACCAAAGTTTTAACTAAAAGAGCTTTGATTCAAATTTTTACGTTTGGCACGCACCAAGCACTGTTTGTTCTTCCTAACATTCTTCCTATTCCTCCTTCCTTCTTTCCTTGTAAGCAAGCACAATCATTTACTCTACTTTGATTATCATTTATTAACCCTGATGAAGCGAAACCTAATTTAGAGTTAGAGTTTACCATTTCCCTTAAGCCCTAAATGGAACCTACTCCTTTTTTTGAATGCTGATATGTGGGGTGCCCGAGCGAATGCATAAGTCCATACACCTCTCAAAATTAAGATAAAATAGTTGAAGAGAGCCATAACAAAGAAAGTGTTCCGAGTAACTTTATATGGCAAAAGCAAGAAGTACATAAAAAGCTATCAAATTAATAACACATTTGACCGAAAAGTGCGCTCAAATTTTCCTATGGGAATCGGTTTCCATCCATTAGTGAGATGTCACAGGAATGTACTTTTATATTCACTCCCTAATTGTCTGAAATATATTTGAATCGGATTCAAAATGCGTGAATAGCGCGAATAGTGAGTAGTACCGCTAGAATATTACGGCGCAATTTTTTTCTTTATTCATTGGATTTTCATCACCAAATTTTTCTTTTCTTTTGCTGTTAGCAAGAGCTGGAATTTGTTAGCTTGTGTCTCTGGTCACATTTTAGCAACCCGTTTTAATTTTATTCTATTTTCATATCTGCTCTTGAATTTCGGTTTAAGAAGAACTTTGATCAGGATATTAGTGGCATTAGGTTGAAATGATGAGTGAAAATATGTTTCATGTTGGCTGTTTTCAGCTTTGATTTTTCGAAGAAACAATTTCAAGAAATTATGATGCCTATTGTGCAAATCACTTAACAATAGAATGATAGACTTTACAATGAATTTTTTCCAAGATAAAATATGCTATGTCATCCTCTGCATTTCGTGCTGAGATTAGATTAGACAAAGCAAGTATTTCTTGCTGCCTATAATTACAGCAGCTGTGTCTGACATTTCTAACCTCTCAAAAGTTATAAAACACAGATTTCTAAGTTTCTTCTTACTCTGCTTTGAAGTCGCTTTCAAGTTCTCGTGCACTGCATTGTCCTCACAACTCATGATTCTGATTATTCCAGTTATCACTAAAAGTGTAAACTGTGAATCATCCTGTAATTATCGCATAATCTCTAAGCACTATAAGTAGTTACTTTAGTTGCGCTGTGCTGGGCTGTGTTTGTCTTTTTTTACCTACCATTCAATCTCTGTATTTTTCGACTTAGAACTACTGCTTGATAAGGACTTGGTTCTCGGCACAGTAATTGGGGTTATTTCTACATTCTTTGAACGTATGTAATTTTATAATTTGATAAACAACAATCGGAACCAAAATGCATTTCATAAAGTTTCTCCCCTCTCTCTCCTTCTAGCAGCTCCTCAGTTTGGAGAAGTTTTTAACTTCATTCTGAGAATGGCGAAACAAAGTTCTCGACGCAGTAATGCGGGCACCGACGGCCCACGGCTCCTTCAAAAAAAAACCCCCAGTATTTCTTTTTTTAAAACTTTGCTGCTGAGATGGTTTTAAAGTTAAGAGCTTTGCAAGCTCTAACTTTTTGCCTGTTGAACATTGAAACCATGTTTGAAAAAATTATAAAAGTCGCGTTGTTGTTAAGAATTCAAATGAGAGCAACCACTCAGGCATATGCGATGACTAGGAAATAAACTGTATGCAAGCCTATCTTTTTGTATCCCAAAGTTTTTTGTTTTTTCTAATTTGAGTTTATTCTGAAGAGAAACCTCCTTGTATCATCTGCACTATAAGAGCTATTTACTCGCGCACCAAAAAAAAAGTAAGTTGTGGATCTCTAGGGCCTTATGGAGCTTCTTCATAAACTCGCGATATGCTCAACTGGATAAATTAATTGATTGATTCAAATTAACCTTTCGTTGAAGATGTTTGTTTTTACTGAGATTACGCTATATTCTGCGACTTTGACAAAAGAGAGTATTCGACCACTAAAGGGTATAACCGAGCTGAGATTGTAACTTTGAGTAGCTTCAGTCCAGCTATATATCATTGGCTTTCTTCGCGTGCTGAAGCACTAGTCTCAAATAGCACCAAGGATGTCATAGGCACTTCGGAAAGCATTTGGAGCAGCATTTGTATGAAATTTAGCTAGTCTTAATCACATGCATAGAGCTCAACACGATTAAATGAGAGACTAAGTTAATTCCCGATTATTCCGAGTGCTATGGCAATATAAGCAGCACTAATCAATAACAATTAGATGATAAATAGCAGCAATTTGCTACCAGAAGGAAAGTTGGAGCTTATTGTTTCGTAAAAATAGTGTTTAGTGAGGAATGTGGAGCCATATATGAGGTCAGTTGTCTACTCACCCGAATTTGCCGTAAATAAGGCGCGGCTATTTTTAACGCATTTGGGCTTACGTGCGAGACTCTCTGATAGCGTAATTGATAAGAGATAGTTTACTGCGAAAGTGGAGCCTAATTATGGGTGTTCTGTTTGAGGGGAAAATAGGAGATTTTATGGCACTTATTTTTGTAAAGTTCTCACGCGCGTGATACACATGGTGAATCAGTGGCTCCATAACATGCAGCTCTAACATGCATTGAAGCAGTGTAAATCCATTTCTCGCTGTATTTTCGTAACAGACCAGTAGGACTAACAGATTAGCGGCTTAATTATCATCTAAGTCAGGATTTGCAAATACAAGGCCCTGTTTCCGGGTAAAGTTGAATAGACCGTGCCGTTTTTCCGCAGGCAACGTCGCATCAAGAAACCTATTGAAAAGGCGATACATCACTTATAAGGAAAGGAAGGATCGAAGTGACTCTTTGACAGGAGATGAGTATTGCTTCAAAAGTTATAAAACACTTATTCCAAATCTATCTTTCTTATCTGCTGCTGATTTCTGTGCGGTGAGCTATGACGATTTTTGTCAGCAAGAATTGTATGTGCAGGTAGAATAAAATCAGTCGTAACATTTTTCCTAGAACTTGGATTGATTTCTGGGTTACTCTGTGCCATAAGGATTCGTATTTCAAGCATATCTACTTAAGGTTGCTTCATTAGAACGCTAAGAAAAGTCAACGACAGGTCCTACTCTCATCATGCATTGAGATTTTGGCCCATAAAAACTTTCATAACTCCTTACTCAGATACCTGCAGCAGATAAAAAAAGTAGATTTGAATTCAATTTGTCAAACCCTTCAAGGCGAACATCTTTTACTGAAAGGCCACTTCGACTAACCTTCCTTCCCTTGTTAGAAGATCGCAAACATAAATGGAAAAATATGATGCTTCATGGTCAATACCCGCACGGCTGCGACTATGAAAAAGTAGTAAATCATGTTCTTTGCAGTACGCGGGCGTGATTTCGGACGTGAGCTTCGTGTCGATCGACCCAAGTGGACGAAGCGACCTGCTGAAGATCATCGACCAGGCACAGGTTGGTGACGACGCCGTGCGACGACGGTGGCCTGTCGCAACGCAGCTCTTCCAGAGTAGCGGATCGATCGCTCTGCTGCAGTGCCTCGAGCCGGACTCACACCGGATCAGCATCGCTCGCCACCACGTCCGCGTGTGGACAATCGCAACCCAGGTCAGCTGCGATGCGCTTTCGCTTTTCGGCAGCTGCCCACATTCGCGTTCGCGTCGCATGCGCGTCCTTCGTTCGCGCCGCGCGTTCGCGTCGCTGTTCAGCCGCCGTTGCCGCCGTTTTCATTTGCATGTGTAACTCCCGTGCACACCTTTCTCCTGCTCTGATTTCCGCTCCAACATGCAACTGTGCAATTTGTTTCGCAGCTCTAGACCCTACAATTTTGTCCACATTCCATATAATCACTTTTTATTTCTTTGTGAAGCACATAAATTAGGTTTGTTTGAAAATGAAAGCGGAAATTCGTTTTAGAAATTGAGAGTGGGTGGATCCAGCAGTCTCTTTGCTATCCCATTTCATGGGAGTCCAATCAAATCACTGCTTACTTTTTCAACGTCTGTCAATCTTTGTTGCAGAACCAGCATCTCTTTCCTTCCTCAAAGGTTACTAATTGTCAGGGGATCATCTTCCTAATCGGGACTTCCGAAGAATTTACAACCATTTGCAATTTGGGGATAAAGCTTCTGCCTGTGGTTGCGAGAGTATCTTTTAGCAACTTTTCAAAACTTCATCTTTTGATGCTGTTTTTGGCAGCTGTAAAATCCAACCGGTAATGAGGTATTTTTTAACATATTGGTGTTTTGATTTGTAAATTCTTATTTCTTAAATATCCGAAATGATTTCGTTCACGACTTCCCATGGATTTAGTTCCATAATGTAATTTTTTTTCATTTCTCTGTCAAAACAACCTTATTATCTCAATCAATCTCTGATTATAGGTGGTTGATATGTAGCCTCGACTAGCTGGAAAAAACACGAAGCTCAGAGCTTTCTTACTCTCGATTTTTAACCCGCTATGCTCGTTATTTGCTAACCCAGGGTTAATCAAAAAATGTTCAGGGTTATCCTAGACAAACTGGGTGAGACCAAGCTTACAATACCGTGTCCATTTATTAGGTTGAGCATTATTCTTGCATCAAAATTCGTACAATTCATTTTTTCACTTTCAATAAAATTTTCTGATTGGATACACAATAGAGAAAGAAATTTTTACGCTTTTCGCAGATGTTCAAATCGAAATCCTTTGTTGGCATAAGGCAACGATCCATCGGCGTCGTGCTGCTGTAAACAAAAACTGATTTTACAAATTTTGGTCGCTAAAATCGTTAAAACGTCTACTGAAATCTAAACTTATTCGTGATTTTGCTTTTAAGATCTATTCTTCTTGACTAAAAGATGTTGGTAGTGATCGAATGTCTCCACGTATAGTTATGAATTTTTTTTTCAACTTGATTTATTGAATTTGTTTCAAAATGATTTTCTAAAATGTGTTCTAAATACTTTGATTTACATAACAGCGAGCATATTACGTAAATTTCATTTCATTTCATTTCATTAGATACGCTCTAGGCGTTCCAAAAATTGACAAAAATGTGTTAATAATACATGAAACACAACAATAATAAACATTGCCAACATTTCAGAGATTGAATAGTCAGTCAACATTTCAGAAATTGAATAGTCAAACATTTTTGAAACAATTTTCTTCTATCTTTTGGTGCTGGATTTGCACCTACCTTACACTATTTCTTGTCCCCGACAATTCATAAATTCAAAATCAATTGATGGGTTGGGGAACCACGGAAATGTATCGAGTTTGTATGCTACATATAAGCAGAGCTTTGGATCTTGATGTACTTATCCAGTCTGTGACATTTCATTCTTTTATGAATATAGAGTACGAATCGAATGAAATGTGGTTAGACACTAGCATTCAAAGTTCACTTGATTTTTATGTTTAGCTGTAATTCAAAATGTGGTCAATTTATTTGTAATCTATGTCGAATCAGGTAATAGTTTGGATGTTTTAGCATGCATAGATTTTAGGACGAATGTTTCGAACCGTCACATTGTCACTAATAAAAAGCTCGTCGCAAGCACTTACTAGAGTTCATGGCAGAAATAATGTCACAGTGTAAAAGTTCAAGTCAACATTGAGTAGTACATATGGGGGCTGGCATATAATATGATATTCCAAATATAAAAACATATTGCGTGCGCCAAATCGCGTTACTTTTTTTCATTGCAAGTCAGACTAATTGAATATTCAACGGCGCAATTCTGCAAGGTCTTTAGCTTCGACTATCAATAAGAAATTGTTATTTGCTTTCCGAACGTCATTGTAAATCAAGTTTCTGCCAAGCCAGCTGCTTTTCATGTGGTTTACTACATTTTGAGGTTCATGACGTTTATTCAGTACACTCTTTATATTTCTCAGTTTACACTTTGTGATGGATGGCACCCACTTCAATTGATGTTCGAGTCTTTTGTGTTTTTAAATTGGCAAAATTGCGACTTTATGCAATCTATTTTTCGTGTAAAAAAGCTTTTGCTTTTGCGGTACTCTGTTCTTCACCAAGACGATATGTATATCACTAAACGCATCTATAAACGCTAATTCCGAATCTGCTCTTCTTCTTTGGGAACAACTTTCCGAAAGTAGTTGAGCGTTCGAATGTCTAAATTTGTCAGACTATAAGTGGGCTAAAATTAGTGCAAGACTGTACAAAGTATAAAGTACATTGTCTGCAAGGAAGGAACAAAGTCGTAGAAATTCGCATAGATGTTTTAGAGCTTTTCGCTGATTATGCGCCACTTAATGCTGACAAACTTGGATGTTTAAGGGCCCATAATTTCTTTGAAAGAGTTGATCCGCAAAAAAGGGAAGCAGATTTGGAATCAGCATTTAGAGACGCGTCTAGTGATATAAATATCGTCTTCAATTTCCAACTTATTTTGGTATCCTTTTCTTGTCGGCTCAATCCGCTTTTGAGTCATCTAAGCTGTGTCATCTACTAAATTGGTGCCTAACTACGTAGTTGGCTTTTTATCCCGTGTAATTAGTCTCAAATATAAGATTAGATCTCTCTCTCTCTCTCTTTGCAGTTGCAGTATCCCCAATAAATTTCAGATTTTTCTAGAAAGCCAAAGTCAGAGATTTCGTCCGCTTTCGCTGCAAGCAATTTTCATGAATGAATGCGCGACTGCAAATCACCAGAATGCCCCGAAAACAAGTTTTTCTTACTATCTGGGAGTTCAGCACTTCCATTAACGTTCGCCCAAATTTTTTTCCCATTGAGAAAGGGTGGGCGATTGACATGTCGAACGTGCTTTGACGCGGATGCAACAGCCCCGAACATGTTCGTTCATTTTTGCGCAGTTTCCGTTGTCTCCGATTGCATGTGCTCATCTGCTGCTTGCCCCCCTTATCCGTTGTAGCCAAATTATTCCCAACTTTCCTGATTAGGCAAAGCTGCTGCTCGCATTTCTACAAAAAACGACTGTGTTTCTGCGCTTTTCGCCTGCCTCTATTCGCTGCTCAGTGAATTCCTCAGCTTGCAACGATGCACTTCCTCATATATTAGGTTGGTTAGAAAGTTTTTGGACATTTTCAGGCTAAATCTACTATTTCTCAAAATCTAATGCATGTACTGCACGAAATGTGCAATTGTACGCTCTGTTGCAATTAGTATCTAGGCAAGTGGGAGGAGCCGGATTTAAGAAGGCGGAGTTTGCCAATTTTCACTCTCGTTCTGTTATTTAGCTTAAATTTCATACAAACTGTGCATGTAGATGTAAGTATGCTTATACGATGAATTGGAGCATGACGGGATTCTATAAAGTTCATTGAAGCTGGAAATCTGGGTTTTTTCCATATCCTTCCTACGCTTTTGCCAGAGCTTTCATAGAAAACATTATGCATGTGCTAACCATGATTTGCGCAGATTGATTTCCTCCAACCAAAGTGCAGCATGTCCCAATTAGTGCTTTCAAAACAAGAATTTTGTTGAATGGAAATATCCGAGAACTTTCTTACCGGTCTAATTATATCTTCCTCAGCTTCAATCCTCATTTTGCTATAACTTTTCTTTTCTCCACTGAGGTATTGCTTTCAGCGTGTCGAGCTACGTGTCCCCCTGCACATAATCGCCTCTGTCGGCTATATTCAGGATGATGGGATCCATATCATTTGCATCAATATCGGACCGGACCCGCGGAACAGACAGATACGCGACCTTGTCATTCTCGTCGCTGCTAACAAGGTGCGCATGGATAGATTTCATCAATTCTTTATTATATTTTTGTATTACTATTGTTCACCTGTCTCATCCTGATCGATTCGTCCTATTTCTGCACTATACAAAATGGTTGAACTCTAAATCCATTATCACGATGGAGCTTTCACAGGCAATCATTAGGTTCATGAATCTTGCAGTAAGTTTTTGAGAAATCGTTATCTCCTCTGGATTCCACGATTTAGACTGATTCCATTTAGTTTAAATGGGGCAATCTGCATCAGCTAAAACGGATTTGAAATATTATGACATTCTATAAAATCAATATTTTCTTATCACAGAGAATTGAGATTATATTTATAAGGGGAAGCTGGAGTCGTAATTCGCAACTTTTTGTCGTAAAATGATCAAAGGCGCTAGAATCAGCTTTATTCGATAAAGTTCTCAGGGGCGCGACAAAATTTGATTTTGACTGCAGTTGTGATTTTACGACCCACTGATTGAATGTAACTACAGATAGTTGTATTTTCGACTTTCTTCACTATACATTTCGATCCCAAATAGAATCTCCGCTTAGTAGAATAGAACAGGTGTTGAATACGTCAAAAATATGTCATTCAAAATATACCGTTCTAGATAATTTAGCGAATATAGCGAATCTTTCTAATATTGTTTTGAGGCTTATCCGGCATTTCTATATTATGTCCCACTCGTGCAATTACGCTACTCACTTTCTCTAGATCTCTGAACACTGGTTTCTGATCTATGTAGGTATTTGGAACATTTTATCATCGTCCTGCCTCAGTATTTCTCTCGCCTACGTTTTCATTGTGTCCGAAAATTTATGGCCTCAGCAATAGGGTGTGTAAGCTCGGAGAGTATCTGTTATTTGCACAACCTATTGATTTCCACTCCATAGTGGGCAATCATAAATGAAAAAGGCCTATAACATCACTTCACATTACCATTACACTCACTTTTGCAAAGGAAAAGGTTTAATTTTGAGTAAATGTCTTTTAATCTGCACTCATTCAGTATTCAGCTGTCTTACGTAAAATAGGTTTGAGTTGTCTTTAGATTTTTTCTCCGATTTTCCCCAAAATCAGTATTTCTCAAAAATTATGGGTCTTACAAAGTTAGAAATTTACAATCACACTTCCGTATGTATGAGCTTGTAATTACGTTTGTGAAAGGAATCGAAGACCGTTAAGCACAGAGAGTTTTTTCATTTTACCCTCACCACTTTCTTTGAATCATGGGGGAAATACGGGAAGTGCGTAGTTTAATGTTCAATGTGTGAATATGCTTTAGGTATGTGGGATTTTTTCAGAAGTTTTGGTACGGAATTACGATTTTTTCCCACTCAAATTCTTTTCGACTGCTATCCGGCTTCATACTTCACGCCTTGATTTTCTCTGACAGATGGTATCCTAAGCCACACTAAATCAAGGAAAAAGCTAGGAAGGCGATGGTTTGATAAAATTGAAAAAAAATAACGAGACAATCTAATATTATAAGACTTCATTCTAAAAAGTTTTGTTCCCGTCAATCACTTTTCCAAGCTTTCTACTTTCCCCAGAGAATTTTCTCTTACTCTATGTGAAACTTTTAAATTATGCATATATCTACCTTTTTTAATTTAGAAAAAACATATCTTTTTTCACTCAGTATCAGAGAACAGTATGAGATGCAAGTAATTCTATACTTTTCATGGATTGATGTGGAGGCAACTTATTCTTTTTTAAAAGGGGCACATTATGAATGCCTTGGACCTTATTCTGAACTCTTTGACTTTTTGACAGCTATTACTTTTGTTTCTCCTATTCCGCCTATACATATTTCTTGCTTTGAGAAATATGGCTGTCCTTGCCAAAAGTGATTGAATGATAACATTGTCTCCATCACTCCACAGCTTCCACAACAAAGCTCAACAGATGTACTTTGCCTCTGCTTGGAGCTATCGTAGCTTTGGATACTCTGATTTTGAAATCTTCTGGACATTCTGAGTCAAAATTGTGCTTCTTCTGTCCCCAAACCGCTTTCTATTGTTTTTTCCATGAACATGTGAAATGCTGAAGGGGTGTAGCGCGAGCTGCTGATCAGCCAGTGCCGCTAAGATGGGTGACTTCTAACTCCTATTTCTAACCGGCGATTGGCTAATTGACCGCTCCCGTCACACCTTAGCATTCCTATCGTCCAAAAAGTGAGCAAAATCTTTGACATTTCTGAAAGCAAGGGAGAACTTTTTATGCATTTAGACTTTGATTGAAAGCAGACTCGCAGAATCTATTGAGCTATAGGTCATCTATAACATCGTGAAGACGGATTTCTGCGGTGTCTGCGCCCACAGGAGCATAAAACTCCCATAGAAAAAGGCATCACCTCAACGGCTCAGTCGCTTCCAAGGTCTAGATCATTGTAGTAGAGATGAAAACCAAGAATGCGTTTGCCGAAGTGCGTGCGTGTCATGCACGGTCGCCCCATCGTCAGATTTTTCGAATGCATTATACTGTTTTCAGCCTTTGCCTTCAAAATTTTTTGTATATCTCATCACTTTGTTCGCCTGACTAAATTTTCGAGTTATTCCTCCTCATGCCCGCGGAATAATCTTTTTTGCGACTCAATTTCATTTTCATTGTCCATCTGTCTGCAGTGCGGAAATTGATAGCTCTAGCTGAATGTTCCGTTTCCTGCTATATTTCCCTTTTATGTTTTTGAGATGATTATTATAACAAAGTCGCCTCAAATTGGAAAATACATTATTTCCTTTCGTAGTAAACGTGGCAAGAACTCAGTACCCTTTTACTTTATTTACATTCATTTTGTGCCATATTAGTACATGACTTTGCACCACAATTTCCGGATTGCTGCAATCTTGTAACGTAGCTATTGACAGTTAAGTCATTTTGAATGGTTTTCCCCATAGCAAATCTTACGCCATTGTTATAAATGGTGCTAGTTATCTTGGAAAAGATAGTCATGTATTTTAGTTCACACATCCCTTCAAAATTATAGGATTTATAATGTAATCGCTTTTTCCCGATATAATGAAGACTTGTAGTCTCTCACGATATAAGCCAGGACTTGGCACAGGTGGCTATTCAAAAGCAAGCTGGATATCGGTTTGGGACAAGAAGCAAAGGCGATATCGTTTTGCGGTTGAAAAAACACAAGTTTAGTCATTTTTTATAGTCGACTTCCGATTTTGGGCCAAAGGGGACTTCGTAAAATTTTGCGAAAGTCAGAGGGGACTTCGTTCTTTGCGTATTCGGGAAGCCGCCTCTTGCCGAGCCGTGATTTGTACAAGCAACTCTTGTTGGGGTTTTCCTCTCGATTTGACGAGGATATGTCGAGGCCTTGTTAGAATAAGAGATTTGTTATACCAAATTCAAGGATAAATTATGATAAATCAAGACGAAAGCCTTCGTTTCACATTTTTGCACTGTTCACTTATCCTGTATAATCATCACATATATGTACTAGTGGTAGTGCACCTACCATTACTCGTTGGATTATGGATAGTTAAGAGATAATCGGCCCAAAAGTGAACTGAGAATGTAAACGAGGTACATGGTTGTTCAAGTGCTCTTCAGGCGAGAATTGGTCACGGTACTGAAGTGGGGTAAATTGCGCTAATTGCCGCTTCCTTGTTCTTTGGTTTTATCGCAGGTTCCTGAATACGTCGTTTTGTGTCGATGGTCTCCTCAATCTCTAAAGGAAAAAATTCATCCACTCAGGCGAGTACCGGCATATATGATCTTTACGGAAAAATTGTAGAGTATATAGTAAGGCTATTCCGAAAGTTCGCACCATATTTGAAAAATCATAACTTCTTCTCATTGGTTTTGCTTGGCATCAGTATCGGAAAGATCGAGTATCATTGTTTCCAACAATAATAATGGGAGGTTTTCAATAATAATAGTAGTAGGAGTACAGTAGTAATAGATTATCTCTAATAATAATAGGATACTCTGATGACACTTTCTAACAACTGGCTGAACTGGCTAAAAGCAGAAAAAGCGAGTTTCGTCGAGCTTGAATGGCTTTGTTGCAGTCAGAATTCTTTGAGCACAATTTGTCCCGATCACATTTCTATGACTAATCATCGTTTCCCAATTAACTTTGACAATTTCATTAAAATCCCAACTTTTTCTAGTATCTCTGCTATCTGTGTGTAGTAAAAAGTAGATTCTTCTTTCCAATAAAATCATGAAGAGTATGGTACAAACGAACTTTTGTTAACTGTTATGGTTGTAGTACCCTGAACAAAGCAAATAATTCTGATGTCAATTGCCAGCATTTACGGATTCGAACTGAAGACTTCTATAGAGTCATTCGCATTTTTTTGGTGAAGAAAAAAAAACTGCGCTGCGATCAACGGGAAGTGGCTATTCTATGCGCTGCCCGCCTCTAATCCATGCTGACAGCTTCACTCAACTCAAGTCAACCATTAGCTGTTGAGTGCTTTTCGTTTAATTCACTTGTTCTTCGAAAAATTCGTCTAGTTCTCTGCTATTAGTGAACTTCCGGTTTTTGTCTCATTATGATTATTTTCTCTAATGAACTACCTCATTTTTACCGAGTTGAAAGTGCACTTCCTCGTACCTAGTCAAGCACAAAGAAGGATCTGCCTTGGGATTAGGTCAAATGAGAGCTGAATAGGTTCTGTACTAAAGATGATAGGTCAGAAGAGAACCGAATAGATCTCGTACTGAAGATGAGGCAGATACCCTTTGTTAAAGTACAGTAATGCTCAGTTTATTCGTCATCGCTTATTACATGTCTTTTATTTGAACTGAAGTGCAGATGCAGTACTACATAGATGTTCCATTCGCTTCGCTTGGCATGTAAGGCAAATGAAAGAACTCGTACCTTGATGTAAGATGTTTTCGCGTACCCTCATGGAATAATTTTGGTAAGATAAAGAACATAAACAGGAAGTGTGATAGAAACAACGCACTCACAATAATTAGTCATCTAAGGCTATAAAAGAGTAGAAGTGAGCAGCTAGCCACAACGGTGTTGGTTGACTCATAGCTTCTGAATTTCGCATACCAGTTCATTGACGAAGTTTTTATCTAGCAAGACATTTTGGATTTACCGTTCATTTTTGATGAGCCATAGCAAAACTTTCACCCAATCTAGGCTTTCTTTCTCAACTGATTTCCCAAAATGACCAATCAAAATTTACGGCTCCTATCCCGCCCCATTCGTTTCTCGTCCTTCCCTTACTTACCTCCAACCTACCTCATCTAAGACTTTAAAGGAAGTAGGCGTCAGAAATAGCGGGTTGACTTAAAGGTTCTAAATTTCGATTTCCGCATTCTTTGTCATCTTAATCACATCCTTCATCTGCTCAGGCAAAACCTTCCATATACTATACTATGGATGGAAGAAGGAAAATCCTTCGTTGTTGATCGCTTGTTTCATCAAGTGATACATAAGACCATAATTTTAGAAAACTCATATCTTTTCTAACTCAATGAAAACTTTTGTGATAATCATTGGATAGAGATCTTGTACTTTCCAATTGCACTTGGAGCGAAATATTTTTATACCATATCGCAGTAATACTAGCTAGTAAAGAAAAGCACTCAAAAGTGATTTATCCTGTGTCCCTTGCTAAAATACTAAAACGTCTACTAAATTCTCATTTTGGTTTTGCTTCTGGTTCTGCGACAAGCTCCTTTTATCTGAAAGAAATTCGTTTTGATCGGTGACTCTACGAATATTTTTGAATTTTTTTGTTCGACGTTTTGCTTTACGAAAAATTCTCATAATTATGATAAGATACAACATGTGATATATGTTTGAAAAAGTAAATAATGTGCTTTGAAAAAATTGATTGGACATTCTTGAAGAAAATTCCTCTCAGTTTTTGGTGTGAGAATTATGTATCAGTTTGATGAAAAGGGTAATCCATGACATTTCGCTCCATCTCACTTGCTTGTGGGCGGTACTTTCGCGTTTGATCAGCTTTCTTTCATTTATAATCTCCCAATACTACATTATTTTTTTTGGTAAATCCCGCTTTCGTCGAGTTTCGTTGGAGGAAAGGACAAATTCATTCTTTTACTGCTTTCACATCGCTTTCGTTTTGCAAAAATGACGTCAAGCAGTATCCGGTATTTGTCGTGTGAGAGTTAGCAAATTTGAGGCGCAAGCTCGCTCTTTTTGTTTGTATTTCTGCAAAGTAGTCGCTCTTCTTTCTATTTGTATTTCTGCAAAGTCGCTGCTCTTTCTGCGAGAGGAGATATCATCACAAACTGGTTACAGTTGTGTGATCTGATCTTCAGTCTGCCTCTTGAACATATTTTTTGCATGTACTGTGTCACCGGAAAAACTTGCGGTCCAAGGGTTATTGTATCGGGAACTTGGCGCCTAATCACAGCAGAAGAGGTGGGTAAGACTGGTGTGTTCGAAAGAGCAACGATATCTGTGAAGATAAAAAGGAAGTTCGTGAGGCGCTGAAGTTGACTATGCCGAAATCTGTGTTAGTTCACCTGTAATTTGGATAAATGATATTTTGAAGTTCACTAAAAAGAACATAGATGCTATTTTTCCATGATCAGTAAGATAATCCTGAACCTGAGTGAGCACAGATTCTTATAAGTTTCAAAATGTCGAGTATATTCATACTTACATTTCATTCTGTATATTCATGCACTCATTTCACGCTAACTCCCAGAAGGGGACATTATTCAAAAATTTTGTACTGTCATAAATTTCGCCTTCAACACTATTTAACCGTAAAATATCTCATAAAAATGTAGATGGTCATGCATGTGTGATGTAAAGAGACGCCAGTTTCCACAGAGAACGCTTTTCAATTGAACTCTCTGTCTGGCGAAGCGACAGCTGCTCACTCAATCCACTCTATTTTATTTTCAGTTCGTAGGGATCGGTCGTAAACTTTTTTGTGATGTCAAATCTTGTTTGTGTAAAATCGACAGGACTCGCATTTTTAACAGTTACATGGAGTCAAAAAGATTTTGGCAGAAAGTGTTTCGTTTTGAGGTTAACTAGTACCAGGTATTTCAGATATAAATTAGAAGGATCGATACTTTGATATTATTTAATGATTGACCAGACCGTACGGGGTATTTTTATGATTTCTATATGTCTAAAGTTAGAATTTCATCTGTGAGTCGAACATTTGCATTCCTCAAGCTCATGTTGGCATACACTTGTTTTCGCCTCCAACTTTCCTTTTGTATCGACATCGTACTTTCGTTTGTATAGTAAGCGACCACTTTAAAACTAGTTTGCGAAAGATGTGTCAATGTTTACTGGGTTATGAATGATGTTATGATAGGAATCGTTGTTTTGGTCCACATGACAAAGTGTAATAATGTGTGAAAATTGATTGAACGGTAAGCGCAAGTGATTGTGAACAACGTTGCTTGCTGTAGTAAGCAAAGCTTATGCCTAAAACTATTTCCGATTTTTCGGCGTTCTACATGCGAACTCTAATTCATAATTGGAAGCAATTTACTTGCAATGGATTTTCGGATTGTTTCGCATCGCATCAAATTAAAAAGTCATTTACACGAATTAGACAATGATTTCCGATTCACGCAAGACCCAGACAATCTGCTCTGCGCATAGTCCATAAATTTATCACATTCACGACAATACGACTCACCGTTGGGTCGTATGTTTTTTTTTTTGAAATTCTAACTTTGCCAATTTACGATGGAGCTTTGAGAGATTCTGGCAAATGTTTGGGGACATTTGGACGGAGCTCCCCTCAACGTGGTCCTGGGTCAAGATACTGTACAGTATGTTACGATAGGTATACACAAGGACTAAACATAAAAAGCTTAAGTCGAAGAACGCAAACTTGCACATACACGGTACAGGTAGAGGGCGACCAAGATAAGCATTTCGCTCATCAAGAAATCTAACAAACTTGATGGAGATTTGCCTTTTAGTCCTAGAAAACTCATTCTTTCTAAATAACATTCCCATTACTGATGTGATGGACATGAAATGTACTAAATCCTTGCATCAATTTTCTGTATTTTGCAAAAATCTCAGTGTACTACTCTCATGTGACTAATGAATAAAAGTGCCTTGAGCGGCCTTCTGATTACATGTTCAGGGCTTCTATCATAGACTCTACCATTGTGGAGCATGGGTACCTGTGGATCGTACAATACCGTTCGTTTGTTAAAAACCACGCTTGCCGGACTTCGCGAGACTTCGCGTTGCATGCCAACCCTTCAAATCTTTTTTCTCTACACGCAGTTTGGGAGTCATAAAAGAAGTGTAGGAAAATCAATAACCAAAAATAGTCAGGTCGGTATCTCAGATTTTTATCATTTCGACTCAGAGCGTAATTTGCAACCTAAGGTACAATACCGCCCGTAACTTGTGGAAAAAATCACCACACACCGGCGGATACCGAACTTCGCGTTGCATGGCCATATCTTGCTTTGAAAATGGACGAACTCTGAATCCAAGAGCACCATTCAACTCAATTTGACGGTTGCATCTTTTGATGTATAGATGTGCCTGTTTGAGTAAGATTTTCAATCAGATACCACGGATCTTTCAAGACTTTTGCTGACGATAGGTAACTCAGGGTGCTTATCCATTGCACAAAGAGTGACCTAGTAAACAAAAATCTGGAAAGATTCATGAGATTTTACCGACTGCCGTACCCAGACAGACACATCTATACATGAAAAGATGCATCTCGTCGAGCTGAGTTGAATGGTGCATTTAGATTGAGATTCGTCCATTTTAAAGCAAGATATGGCGATGCAAGGCGAAGTTCGGCGAACTCCGGCGGAGTGTGGCGATTTTTTAAGGTTATGGGCTGTAGTGCACCTTACGTTGTGGAACACGCTCTATAAAATATCGGCTTGGTTATTAGTGGTTATTAACTCTCCTACATCTATTTATTTTGACTCCCAAACAATTGCGTGTAGAGAAAAAAGATTTGAAGGGTTGGAGAAAAGAATGTCTAGATCATTTGCTCACTGAGCCTTTTACGTTCATCTTAAATGCGAGAAACATATGGCGTTATGCATGCACATACTCCTCCTCAACGCGGTTTCGCTCTCTTAACTCAAATCTCCTCAATTCTATCCTAGCTCTTGCGTTGAGCATGAGATGTCATATGAAAATTTCATGTGTACTCTTGGAAGTTTTTTTTTTTGATGATAGTATCGAGTGGTGCAGCAAATCTCACACACATACAGTCTTCTCCTCCAATTTGTCGGTTTGTGTATTTGCACTGCCTTTCGAACTTGCAGTGGCAGAGACGGTATTGGCAGGGTTGAGCTCTTGCGACGCTTTTTTTTCACTAAGTGCAAGTTTTTGTGCCATTTTTTTGATGTCATCTTTCTCATGCAAAAATTTGGTGACTTTATGGCCGCTGGCTCCGCTGCAGGTTCCAGTGTGGTGCAAATACACAAAAGGACTGGGTAGATGAAGACGTAATACGTGTACATCCTTGCTTCTGTCTTTCTCCTTTTTCGTGCAGCTCTAATATGTCTTCATCGTGTGAAAATGTTTTCGGTTAATTATGCGTGTTTTCAATGCTGTACTTTTTATGAAAACACGTGGGAATCTTACGCAAGTGCCTGCTTGAATTGCTGTTTATACGCTGGAAGCACTCAACTATGAACCTTTATTCAAGCAATCTCTTATTCCTGAAAGCTTTTTCCACCCAACTGTGATTTTTCATACGAGCAATCCAGCAGTTTCTCAAATGCTTTGAAACGAGCTTTTCGTCAAAACAGGCAAAAATTCAACTACGGTCATATGTAACGTTGCTAGGCTTGTTTTTGGCATTCTGAAAGCAATTTCGACCTCACTGAATCACGTGGCTTGTCACTTAGCAACTTTGAGATTTGCAGAGACTCCGTTTACTTCTTCTATTCACATAAAGTTTCTTCATTGTTACTGTCAGTTAATTTTATAGGCAGTGTCAGAAGAAGTATGCAGCGTGCTGAGCAGTCGATTCCAAGCCGTATACAGAGAAGCTGTTGTTGGTTTGACAGATGCGAAGACCTTCAAAGGTAAGTAGTCAGTCTCCATATTTATGCAGAATAGCCATGTGAGAGCATCGACAGCCGTGGAGCGAACGAGTTTTCGTCTCGGCTGCGCTGTCATGTTTACGACACTTTGCGTCCTGCCATTTTGCCCGACTTGTTACAAAGTTATCTAAGCGGATCTTAATGACACTTACTTGCCGAAATCTTCCTTGTCATTACTATTTTTCCCTCATCCTTGCATTCCTTCAGTTTACAAAATTCGCTACTTTGTTTTTGTCAATTTTTATGTCGTCGTCATGCTCGAAATCATACGCGCTTCATTAAATTTTTATAGGTCAGTTGTTGCAATTCAAGATCATTTTGCTGCTGGAACTGAGTGGTATTAGAACAACACTTTGCCTCATATTTAATTCACTAAAATGTTTTCAGAAAAAAGTTTTTATGAAGCTTGAAAGAAAGGTTTTTTGTGCATCATCTCCCGCAAGGGTCTTGGTCGCTTTCAGATCTATTGTCATAACATTTCCTATAATTTCCAAAGAGGTATCTAACATGTAAATCTCTTTTGAGAATCGCCAATTAAATCATTCTTCGAATCTTCAGCATCTCTAGTTTTTTATTTTTGCATACAAGCAATTGGTCTGAATTTAGGTCAGCAAATTTCTAACTCCGAATAGCCTTCTTCAGTTTCACGGCACAAATCATGCAAAACCTATTTATATTTTTTTACATCTCAACATTGATTTCTATCACGCAATAACTTCCGCATTCTTTGTCTCCTCTCTGAAGATCCAACTTGCACTTCTGGCTTCTGTTTTTCATTGCTGCCACCGTTCATTTCTCACACTACCTCTTAGCTCATCAATTAATGTCGCACTTTAGAAATAATGACGCAAATAACATTTCCTTGTTCAAAAACTTTTGAGCTGTTTACTCTCAAAGCTTGAAAATGCTAGTTTCTTACAAGAACACTTTTTTATAGCTTGAGAATGACCTTTCGTCAGTATTATTTATCCTCGACTGTTGCCAATCACGCGGACTTTTTTCCTTTCAGTTGTTGTCGCAATGAATCTGCTCAAATCTTTGAAGCACGGTAGCAGGACCAAAGTCCAGTCACTGATCGCCGATAATGTGCATTTTATAGCTGTGATGTGCGTTTGGATAGCATTTGAGAGGCTATATATCTTGCTTTTTTTCTCAGAAAGTCTTCGCTAATGTTGCATAAGCTTTCGAGGTTGATTGCTATTTTATGGAAGTGGATAAGTGAAGAATCTTGCTTAATCGACTCTCTATCTTGAACGGTACTGCTTTTTTTGATTGCTTTCATTTTGTACGCTGCTCTAATATGCCTTCCTTACGAAACATCAGATTTGTATGAGCGTTCCGTCAATGATTGCGTCCAAAATCGTCAGAAAGAGCGCGAATCATGTGTTTTTGACTGACATATTCATAGATACTCATGAACCAATTTATGGAAAGAAAAATAATTTTAATCGCTCATTGCATGTTCATTTACTGGAAGTCTGCTGATTGCCACAGTTTCGCCAAAAACTCGGAAATTGTCATTTTACGGTCATCTGCAAGAACGTGGTTGTGAAAAAACTTTTTCGAAAAGTTTTGGAGAAAAACTGGGCAGGCTTTCCGCAAATACTGGTGTCATTTTTTCCAGATCAAAAGCATTCATATGTGGCATTGTTTGCGATCAGCAAAACAACCTTTCAAAGAAATTTTTGATCATATCTGACAGCTTTGTTCTCCAAAGCCATTCTGACTTTTGATTGATGCTTGCTTCATCTTTTGAAGGGACCGAAACAAAAATCGTAGAGTCAGGTCTTTGGTATGCGACAAAAATTTCCGTGTGAAGTAGAAAAATGCTACGGGCTTGTAAGAAAATTACAGCACAAATCAAGTTGACAAAGTGAACGTACCTTCTGCATAGATTGAGTTCGCCGATTCTTATAAAGAGATCTGACCTTTATATTTACATCGTTACAGATGTTTTGAGCCCTATTCAATCGTTGCACTTTCACCGCTGGTTTTTTCGTATAACAGGAACTGTCGAAAACTTGAGAGACACTTTTGCGCACTTCAAAAATCATCATTGCGCTTGATAAAATTTTCTGACCTACTGAGTTTGGAAGCTGCTACAATATCTCGGAGAAACCCGATAACTGCATATCTACTCTAAATTCGCTCCTTAGTTTTTTTTTCAATCATCTTTCGAGCCCAAACTGCGTCCGAAAAAAATAAGTCGGCAAGCAAACGCGAACGTTTTTTTTATAATACATGTTTTGCTAAAAACAGGTGATGACTGATGCCGTTCTGGGCTCTGCAAACATTTGCAAGCGTTTGCTGTTTATGAATGACTGACGGAACGGTCGCACCGCTGCTTTTATAGTCTGATAACCTGCAAGCATGCAGAATTTTTTCTGTTTCTTATTTCGCTCGATATCGCTACTGTTTGAGTGTTATTCCCCTTTTTTCGTTTCGCTACTGGTCTTCTACGATCGGTGTTTGCGCTACGGATCGATGACCCAATCCATGTTCGCCGCTGCGCGAAGGAACTACCAGTACTTCGCCGTTTTTGTCGGTTTCAATATTCGCCGTCTCCCTCGCTACATTCTTCATGGAATTAGCTAATTTACATGAAATTTATATTCCATATGTCTTGAAAATAGGCAATAAATACGTTGCTTTTGAAATTTCTCCTTTCAACAGTCAGAAAGCGCAGTCGTAGAATTTTTTTTTCAACCATAAAGCGCAGGCATATAGCCTTCATCATACTAGGACGTACTTATATGATCGTAAAAAATACTCGACGGCACTTGCATAGACTTTTTTTACGTGGCTGTCTCCACAATTCTTTACTCTTTCAAAAATAATATCTAACAATACCCGGTATCAGTATTTATGGGAGTGTGATGGACACCATTAATAGATTTTTTATCACTTCCCACAAAATTCAAATTCTGAAAATAAAATAAGTTACCTTAAATGCCTGTGGCCGTATTCATCAACGAAACCCGTGGGTTCCGGAACCCACTGGCTTAGTGCTTTTGATGAATATCGATTCTACTCCAGGGAAGAATCGATATTCGTCAAAAGCACTAACCCAGTGGGTTCCGGAACCCACGGGTTTCGTTGATGAATACGGCCACTGGATTCAACCTCTTTCTTGCACAGATACCGTAACATGTATCACTTTTGCAGCTTCCTACTAGTATGTCAAGATTGCTGTCTGCTGTTTTTCCATCCCAGCTTTTTTTACAAACGGGGAAACGCGCAGGGTATCAAAGCAGCAAAGTATCATTTTATCTATTGTATGGACGGTTTTCTTATTGAATATAAAGCTAACCCAGAATGAAAAATGGCTCTCGTTGCCCTTTTTCCATGCGTTTTATTCGGCTTTCATTGGATTCCATATTTTCTAGCAGTAGTGGATTCTCAGTGTGGGTTAAAAAGGAAAGCATGTAACCAAAACCCGGTGAATACCGGATGATGGCGCCAAAAATATATCTCAGAAAAGTACCCGAGAACTCTCTGTACAGACCATTACTTTGAGATGTACTTTTCGAAATTATGTGTCCGAAATTCGTGTAAAAGTTCGTGTATATCAATCTTATGTGAATCTGGAATTCGCCAAATCGCTGTTTTTTCGTTTTGACGAAAACTAGCTTCGCTACTGCTGGACCTTCAACCTTATTGATTTAACGGTGGAAATTTCATTTCTATTCATGTCAGTACCCTACTTCCACCTCCAAAAGCCCATTATCTTTCCACTGGCTCGAAGTGCTGCATTCCTCCTCTATCTCTTCTTGTATTCATCTCACTTTTTTGGGTTATCACTTCCTTTTTTCACATATGCGATCCTTCAAATTCTATAAATCTAAATCTATCTGTCATTCTCATAGGCCGATTCTGTTCACTCATACTTGTGTTCTCACAAATTATCATACTTTTAGTCATGCTAGTCTTCGCGGTGAAATTTGTAAATCCTCGAGTTGTTCCAGCCAATTTTGTCGTCGTATAGAATCGTGTCTTAAGAATCTGATACTGATTAATCAAATTTATTTAGTCGTCCGCTTTTTGACTGTATGAATTGAGAATTGGCTCAGATCTTGTCATCAGCATTAGCAGCATTAGCACTTACTCCCACGAAGCTTTGCTAGATACATTTATTCATAGATCAATTTATTTTTCTTTATTTTTCATAGCCACTTGTTGTTTTTGCCAAGCTATGAGAAACTCATTCTTCTTTATTCACCTTACCAAGAGTAGTTTGCTATTTTTTCATTTCCCACCAATTAGTTCTCAATCGGGTTAAATTTCTGCATTAACCAAACAAAATCAGAAGCTTTATGAAGAAAAGTGGTACTTTATTACAATCGATTATTGTCCGCCTGATTCTCGATTGTCGTGAAGTTCACATGATGCACATGTTGCAGTGCCAAACGTTCCTCTCCCATTTTCCATCTTCTTTTTCTCTTTTCTTTTTCTTATTCACATCCTTCTCTTTTCTCTCTCTCTCTCTTATTTCATTCTTTTTCCAATATGTGTCCATTGCGTGACTTGGACTGGTAGCGAGCTTTCAAGACTGGCTGTAATTGAGAATCGTAAACATGCGCTCGAATTTGTTTACACTTTTCTTTTATGCAGCCGTTTTTCGTTCCCTTTGAGGTCAAGGTGGCTAAAACTCTATGGTTCTACGGATTGATGACATAGCTTTTGATCAAAATACGCTTTCATACTCAGACCCATTGTGGCATTTTTTTACAATTCATTAGCTCAAATCCGGCAAAAAGCAGTTCCGTAACACTGACATCCATCGGCCTTCACACATCCCAGCAGTGTTATCGATTTCCCTCTTCGTACAAAGGAGTTGGAAATAATGCGAAGGCTGCTTGAGATTGTTAGCATGTTAAGTGCGCTTCCAAATATGGAAAGTCTTTTCTTAGCTGTCGCTGTTTCGTTTATATCCTCATTTGAATAGAAATTATCGCTTTCGATCATTTATATGGCAGCTGTTCGTGAAATATGTTTGGTTTTCTTGTTCCAAATAAGATGACTGCGAGAACGTCAATGTTTTGATCCTCTAATATTGCCAAATCTATAGTATTAATTAGGAGGATTATAACCCACGGGTTTTCGTCTGATTTCAAACTTTATTTCCTCACCGACTTTGGGAAAAACTAGGGCTATTTCTACTTTGACTGAACAAAATGGATTTATGATATCTCATTGTTATCATTCTTGAGACTTATTATCAACTGATTTTAGTGAGTAACCAGATTTTTCATTTTATCTTCGAATCTGTTCGATACTAACAGTGCAATTATCACTCCATCAGTCAATCACTAAACTTTGCACCCTCTATTCCAATGCCATTATTAACTCATAATTTTTTCCATATTAAGTGTCATTAAAGCGTTTTCAAATTTGCGAGATTCACATATTCATGACTCAGTGCTATAATTTGATGTCGTAGTAGGTGAATTTCACGAATGAACACTTGTCTTTAGCTCTAATTGCTTGCTCCATTCGTTCCCCTATAATAAAACTGACGATCAGTGACTTAAAGTTCTTTTTTGCTACTATATTACATTCCATGATTCTGTAACGACTTTACATCGATATTCGCTAAAAATCCACTTATGACTAGAAGTCATTTGTGTAATGCAATAAAACTGAACGAAGGCCTGTTTCGTTTTGCCATTCAACTGTTGGTTCCCGCCTTTAATCTGTTCCCTCCCTTATTCTTGCTATTCAGGTTCCTTCCCTCAGTCGGCCTCGAACTCTCATGGAAGAGGGTAAGAAACACTAATTAATATTGATCTTTCATTCATATTTTTGATTAAGTCGAGGATCGGTGCCACTTGATAGTGCAGAGACGAAAACTTCACTTTACACTACCAGCGATTCGAACAACGATGCAGTCAGCGAGTACTTGGCCTTGGCGAGTTTTTTCTCTCTTTTCAGATATTTGTAAAGATCTTTGTAATCTTTGTCCATATTTAAGCTAATAGCTTTTTTGTTGATTCTCCAAGTCATGCGCACCGGTTTATAAAAATCTGTAGATTCCGCTAAAATTCATGCGCAACGGGAAAGGGAGCTGACCAGTCTAATATTTCGGTGAACAATAGTGTCCTAAATCTCACCACTAGTCTTCTTTGGGGGGGGGGGGGGGGTTGTGGAGTGGTAGAGTTTCCTTGATATTTAGTCCGGATACCTTTGAAGAGTCTGAATCGAAAAAATCTCGCAAATAGGCGTGCACGTTGCTACAGATCATGTACTTTGTAAAATGAAATTGGGAGTTTTCAAATCGAAGGGAAATTATATCTTGCAGCCTACGATTAACCTCACTATGAAGTCACGATGTTATAGTTATTTTTAACGCTTTCGATTTCCGATTTGTTAACTTTCGTTTCAAAATGTGCTCATTATCTCTCTCCGCCTCAGTCAGGCATTCTTCCTTCGCTATGCGCTTGAATTTATGTTCCTTGTTATGTTTTCTTTTGATCTTGTCTGTTTGCTTTGCGATTACTTCCTAATGTAACGAGTCTTCATTTATGGAAGATGGTACAGCGGTTGTTAATCGTTCAATAGGTATCGATGAGCAATGCTTCTCTTTGCTTAGTCTAACGTCTCCTGTAACTAGGTTCATCGAAAACTCTTATGCCTCATTTAAGGGTCAAAAATGCATCAAACTTGCAGATAACAAGGATTCCGTCTAGTCTGTTTGATCTTTTTCACTATAATGATGTATAAGCTAGCACATTAGTGATAATTAGCGTTTAAGACATTTTTCACGAAAAAATGAAAATGTTATCATTTTTCAAATAATGAGGATGCCTTCATGAAGGCATAATGAAGACATGGACCACTTCAATTACACATTGAGAGATATGAGCTTCATTTTGAGAGTGCCACATTCGCCTATCATACCATTCTTTTCGCAAACCTGCGAGGCGCCTAAAGATTTGCCTCCATCAAATAATTTTCTTGCAAATGATATCAAATGAATTTGCTATCCATGAATAAGAGCAAAGTAAATCTGAAACGTTGTAGAATGAACTACAAGATTGAATTTAGTAATTTCAAACGTAATTCTTTTACGAATCATTAATTTGCTGAAATCTCTGCTTAGCGAAAATTTTGGAACGCTTTTGTTGGAGACTTAGAACAAAGTCTCTTAGTATTATTGTATACATCTTTGCACTGCACATCTGCTACCATATGACAAGTGTTCAGTCTTCAATATGATTTGTTCGCATAACATTACAATCTGTGATACTGCACTTGCAGTAGGCTTCTTCAATCCATCTTACCCATCAACTTCCAACCTGGAATATCTGCCTTATCTCTCAACTTCCGCGTTCTGTATGGTTTTCGACTTATGATTTTGATTACGTTCTCTGAGCTGTGCAGGCTTGTCGATTTTACGGGCAATTTTCGTCTTTCTCATCTCTGCGACATTGATATTCTTGCAGATAAGTTTTTGCTGCCTACTGTTTCGCTGCAAATAACTAGCCATCTGTGTGCAAATTTATCGGTTTGCTTGCACGTTTCCTGCCGTGGAGCTGTGTTTTCTAGTTTGTGCTAGAGTTTTAGGCTGCTAGTTCGAGCTCGTATTTTTACCATGCACTGCAACTGTCTGCATGTGTTCCCCATGTCGATATGTGTTCGTTCATTTGCAGCCGTAATCGCCTTGGCTGCAGAGGCCTCTCTGCAACGCAACGCTGCGTTTTGTCCAGCCCCCCCCCCCCTTCTTCCCCACCCCCGTCCATTTGTTTGCTAATGAGCGCCAAACATTTCGCTTCCCCATAACCTCCTTGCAAAGCTGCTGCTTTTTCTCTCTTCCCGCAAGATCTTTCAACTATATCTTTAGAAAGTCTAAAGGTGGGGAGTCAAAACCTCGTCAGGGCATTCTTTGGCATAGCTGAACCGGTTTCTTAACTCTAATTCGATGAAGGTGCGATAATCGCAATAGATAATTGAGCAGTAAACCTTACTCTACCGATTCCCACAATAATATATTCAGTGCTGTGAAAGCTCACTAGCTCACATCACTTTTCCATCATAAAAACTTCACTGAGCCGTTTTTCATGATCCACACATCCGGTGGCGAATGAATGCCATTAGCTTCCATATCTCTTTGTATTCATATCGTTGGTGTCAAGAGAAATTCTAGTTAGCTGAAAAAAAATTTTAAGACACCGCCCTAGCGGAAATATCTCTCCATCTCTTCGAAGTGCAGCACCTTATGAATTTGCTCTAACCCAAGTTTTGTACAGTGACGATAAAATCTCCAGCTGCGCTTGGAAAGTGTAAAAATGAACGTCCTCTTATTCTATTTCTGCCTGCTTCCCTTTACTTCTAAACGTTCTGTTCCAAGTTTTCTCGTTCTTATCATGATCGGTTCAGAAATGCAAGCTCTTTCGAGAAATCACTCTGTTTGTAGCATCTCTAAAAAAATAGATGCTTAACAGAGATTTAGTGCTAGTGTAATGTCCCCTTTAGTACTAACCCAGTGTTTGCTTCTACTTTGTACCTGGTCGTCGTGTCGTTTCGATTTGATCGATTCATTTTCAAGCGGTGTTGCTTCTTTTTTCATTGGGGAATTTGTGCCGCTCGTTTATGTTTTCACTTGCGAGCTACATAGTCTCAATAAATCAAGTATCTTGTTCATAGTTCTCGATTTTCGATTCTGATTTTATCAAATTGCAGTATTTATTCATTCTTTCACTTTTTTTCTACATTCTTTTCGGAAATAATTACGTTCTTTTTCGTTTAACTTATGGTTAAAATGTGAATACTCTTTTGCGGAGATGTGTCTCATTTTGGTCGTGTGTAGCCAACAACGAACTTTGATCAATTTTGAAGCTTCGTAACTCAGTCTGCGTTAGCCCCTCCGATTGTGTTGAGCCCCCCCCCCCCCCTTCCGTCCGGCACTCACGGCTTTTTCGTCATGTCTCATCCAATTTTCCTTAGAGGCCTTCAAGAGTCCTCAATCAGTGACACACACCAAGAATAGATAAATCTTTATGGTTCTTCCTTCTTCTTTTTGTCAGTAAAACCGGAATTTTCATTGCAGTTAAAGAACACTTTGTCAAGAAGAACGGTTCTTTGGATTGCAAAGTATTGAACCATTCTCTGCCCACAGAAAATTGTCATAGACTGAATGAACCTTTCAAAAATCTCTAGGTCTGCATTCTTTTGTTGGCTGAGTGGTCACTCATCTGGGAGTGACTTCTGAGACATTCACTGTTGAATACTTTTCATCTACTTTTTTCGTTCTATCATTGTCTGCGACCAAAAGTGTTACATGTTTTTCAAGTAACTGCATTACAGTTCACTTCAGACAATGCTTATAGTACCTGAGAATATTTGAATGAAGCGATGCGTTGGAAGTTGAAAAAAAACTTTCAATGATTAGAAACCGTTCGACCGTAGCAATACCATTGTTCAGCAAAGTTTTTTGCACGTTTTCATAACTGCCATGCAAACTTCTCAGAAACTTGTTCCCCACTTAGACGTTTCTCATCATTTTGGTATTTGAACAAACTACTTGTGTCAGCCGTATAATTCTGTTCGCTTTCCAAAATCGTGGTTTCAATGACAGCATTTTTACTCTCTGTAATAAGTTATAATCAAGAAATCAATCAAGAAACTTTGTACTTGTATTTCTCATCTTAATAATGCTGATTCGAATTGGCACCTACACTAATTAGAAGTTTTTGGTAAGTAGTACATAAATGTACCTAATTAGGTCTTGTTCGGGAAGTAAATAAGTAGATGTTAGTTAAATGCACGTTTTCACTGAAGGCTTGTTTTGCCGGCAATCATTCTGTTGCTTTTTATAGCAGGGCTCAGCACAGGTGGCTTATGATCAAGCTGATTATCGTTTTCGGGATTAAAAGCAAAGGGGATATCGTTTTTGTGGGTCCGAAATTAGGTCCTTTTTAGTCGTCTTCTTTTTTGTCGATTCGGATATTTCGGATAACGATCAAAGGGATTTCGTAAAATTTTGCGAAAGTCATGGGGGAATTCGTTTTTTGCATTTTCGGAAAGTCACCTCGTGCCGAGTCCTGTTCTATAGTCCGTTGATAGAATGTTGAGTACCGTTCGACTCAGCTCGGCGAGGCTCATTTTTTAATATGCGAAAGTGTCCGTTTGGATACGGTAGATTTTATAGATTTTCCAACTGAAGGTTACTCGTTGCGCAATGACTAAGCAAATATTGGATAACCTACCATAAGCAAATGAGAAAATTCGTGAAACCTGACCGCTTACCGTGTACTGTTTCTGAGAGGGAAATTCTGTATATCAGAAAAAGCGCCTCGCATAGCTGACGAAGGGACTTTGGACCTAGAATTCGTTTACTCTCAACCAAGATACGGAGTTGCGACGCGGATTTTGGTGAATCCAAAGAGTGCAATGAAATTTTGACCAACAAGCGATATTTTGAAGGGTTTCGATGCAACATTTTTTTGCTCTTTCGTGATACTCTAGATAACATTTCCAATATTTTTGAATAGCGCCATTCTGACTCAGTTCTATCTTGACACACTGTTGATGTTTGCAAAGTATTCGAAGTTTTGTGCAAAGTATGTGGAACCTGTTTCTCTTTATTGCATAGACAATTCTGCGTTTAAGTTTCACTCTCACATGAAAGGATAATATTCTGTGATTATTCCTCGTTTCATTCGGCGAATTCTTGGTGATTGTGAAAGTTCTCATATTAATCAAGTTCGCGCAGGTGGAACATCGTTGTGTAATCGAGGCGAGTGCCTTCTATCGTCCATTCCTTTCGCTCACAATACTTTCGAAATTGTTTTATTCGCTGTTTCTCTCTTCCTTAGTTATTTGGCCGTTGCTACCGCCCAGGATCCATTAATGCACGTATAATTCATAGTTTACGGCTGAACTCGAATTGCAGCTCTCTAGTTTGATACCGGTAACCGTTGTTATATATTTGCACTCTACTACCACATCACATCTGTGTACGGAATCATCGTAAACGGAAGAGCGGACCGCTTTTTTGTGAAAAAAAAACAAATTTTTTTCTCAGGGTAATCAATCCGTCACAGATATTCATAGAATTAATTATTTGTCTGCGCGTTCTATCACATCAAAACGATGATATTTCTCTGGTAATTTTGGCAAATGTCAAAAGAATAATTTTGGAGTGAGTGCTGAAAGAATCAGAAAATTCTGTACCGCAATCACGCGGATGTTACTCTTCTTGAATACAATTAGTTTAAGTCCAAGTATTCAAATAACTTAAGAATTTTGCATATGTAGCTTGTCATTGAGACTGCGACAGCCATTAGAGGTACGGTAGTTATGCGGTAGAGTCAGTAGCAGCTAGTTATGATGTAGTTGAGTGTTGTGGTCAGCTAATTTAATGTAAGCAAAAAATCTAAAAAGATTCGTAAGGAGTGGCGGATAGCTGGCTGCTTACTGTATGATTACTGTATCTGGATAGACAATTTTCATATCATAGGATACGCGGCGTCGAGCTAAATTGATTGGTGTTGTTGGATTCAGAATCTGCCCACTTTAAAAAAGCATTTCGAGAACAGTCTCAAAATAGAGCGTATTGGGATTCTAGAAACCGATGTGTATTTCATGTGATTTTACGATGCCGTGTTTATTGCATTTGAATCTATTAGGTTGTCCCATAAGTCTTTTCATTTTCGAGTTTGCGCTGTGACAAGTCGTGCACTTCTCATTCTGAGTAGGCACCAGGATACCATTCGATAGAGCAAAGCAAGCTCTACGAGATGACGTCTATGATTTTGCACCAGCTTCGATACCTCAAGTTTAAAACCAAAATCTAAAAAGTTCCGGATGCCCAAAAAATTGGAAATTTTTTATATCTTAGTTCAAAAAAGCCCTGCAAATCTCTCACTTGCTCACGCATTTGCACTTCACATCAGACACTCATATATGCTGTTACTGTATTTTTTCATTGGCTAGAAATCAAGAAAACGAAAATTTCCATGTTTTTACCAAAGTGATGCTGTGCTGTTCTTACACTAACATTTGTATACTGTAGGCCGTTAGAAGTACTATCGTAAATTTTTAGCTCTTTGTGAGCTCTAGTTACCGAGAAATGCTAGGTTAGGCGTAGAAAGCCCGGACGAGGAAAGCTAAATTCGATATTTCTCGGGAACTAGAGCTCATAGAAGAGCTAAAAACTTAGGATTGTACTTTTAAGGGCTTGTAGTATACAATTGTGAGTGTAAAGTCGCTTCATTTCATATGATCATGTGTGTCATTGCACACACAGTTCACCTTTGGCGTCCCCATCCTGGATTCGTGGGAGAAACAAGCCTTCAGGTAAGTGTTTCCAAGGTGTTCTTAGCATTTTTTTTCCTTTTTAGTTACTAGTCACCTCAAATTGATGTAATCGATAACAATCGATAAGTCTCTTGCATTTCTGCGATTGCAAATCCAGGATGAGGACGCCAAAGTGGACTGTGTGTGCAATGGCACACATGATCATATGAAATGAAGCGACTGTAAGAACAGCACAGCATCACTTTGGTAAAAACATAAAATTTTTCGTTTTTTTGAATTCTAGCCAATGAAAAAATACGGCAACAGCACATATGAGTGCCTGATGTGAAGGGTATATGCGTAAGCGAGTGAGAGATTTGTAGGGCTTTCTTGAACGAAGATATAAAAAAATTTCAATTTTTGGGCATCTAAAACTTTTTAGATTTTGGTTTTAAACTTGAGGTGAATCGAAGCTGGTGCAAAAACAAAAACGCACCTTGTAGAGCTTGCTTTGCTCTATCGAATGGTGTCCTGATGTCTATTCAGAATAAGAAGTACACGACTAATCACAGCGAAAATTCAAAAATAAAAAAACTTATGGGACAACCTAATATTTTGATCCAACACACGAATTTCCATGTCGAAAATTAGTCACTACAATTCATTATGATCAAGCGTTCCAACCCCCTCCCCCCCTCCCCACCCCTATCTATTGGCAGATAGCTGACACAGCCTATTACAAATCTGGTCGTGGTAAGAGCAATGTTTATTTGTTGAGTCTTCGTAATGAAAGTAGTAAGCATGGCTAATATGAGCGTATCACTCTGCAAATCAATCCTCGGTAGAGACCCGCTCCGAAAGCAAACGAATGCAGTTTCATCGAAACCAATCTCTTTCGCATCATTAGTAGCCAAAAGTTTGGAAATATTTCACTCATCTTACCGTTTTTACAGGCATCAGCAAGTCTGAATGAACTAGAGTTTCGCGAGTACGCTGAGCTACTACATCGTTCCAAGTATGGCGAATTGCCGTTGAGGGAGTTGGCGCATAAACTTATGGAGCTGTTTGGACCAAGAAGAAAGCATCTATTGACGAGTAGGTTACTGAAATCATAGCTTGCCTTTTCGTTCCATTGGTTTTGGCGAAATCCATCATATGCACATCGAAGTGGTATTTCTTTTGTGGCTTATTGGCCATTAAATCGGGTCATTTACATTTATCGATGCAAATGCTCACATAAACTCTGTTTGAGACGGCTTCACTATGCTAGAGACCGTCTCAATCCCAGGTGAAGGTGGCTATTCTATCTTACACTGTATACATGCACTAGCTTCTGGCTCTTAATTTTGCAAGTGACTGAATCTTCTCTCAGTCAAACTGTGTATTTTATTTCATCTTTCGAATGCTAAAATTCTTCAGTGCGAAAATAATTCATGCCTTTGTAACAGCCCTTTTATAGTGGTCCTCAGCTCTTGAAAATCCACCCATTTTTCGTCCGAATATCTATTGCAATTTCTGCCTTCGCTTTAACGGTGATGACTCCATACATAACAATAAATCTCCAATCTTGTAAGGGTTTGCTGGAAAACTATAATGTGCAGAATCCTTATTCGCCATCTCTATTACCATATACCTCTGTGACATCGTAATCTCATCGTAGTGGCTCCTAACTATTTCGTCTATCTTTGTCCATTGATGGGATTCTGAGGGCAGTGTCCCGAGCAGTTTTACGATTTACGATTTATTGCTTACGTGGGTTTCGTTGTTCCGATCAGCATATATGAGAATGCCATGGCGAAAACAAGCTTTTCTGGAGCGGGGCTCGGCACGAGCTGCAGCCAAGGACTTTTTGCAACTAAACTCCCCTGATCTCCAAAAAAGTCTTTGTTTGCCTTTAAAAACGTCTGATTACCCTCTACTTGTTTTTTTTTGCAAATGGAGTGTAGCTCACCCCAGAACAAAGAGCGAAAGACCAAAAAACCATCTTCTAACACTTGTTCCACAGAAGTTTTTCCCGTCTCCGTGCCCCTCTCCCTCCCTCCCCCTCCACCTCCTCTCCCTCCCCCCCTCTCCCCTGCGAATGGAACAGAACGAATGATTTGCACTATAACAAAGAATAAGAGGAAGAAAGACAAAAGCTATCATGATGGACACCAGGCGCGCAGTGGATTTGTAAGGGTCCCTGCGTCGGCTAGTTCACGGCGCGCTTTGCGATCGGAGCATATTCCAGTAATGAAAATTTGTTGAGAACTTTGAGTGTAAAACTCATGGTGCACATTCTGCGCGAAATTTCCGCGAAGCGTTGCTGCTAACATTCACCAGTCCAAAAGTCTGCTCTGCCAGCACTCTTAGCACCGCGTTACTTATGGCATCGGGTCATGTATTGCCCCCACACCCAGCCCTAGTCCCCCCACTTTGGCATCCGGTTTTTGTGGGGTGCAAAATATGAGGGCGTCGTACGCGGTGTGAGTCCTCACGTATGGCCATAAAAAACCTAGACCTAGGTCCTCGAAACTGTTCTGCGCTTGTAAGAAAACTTTGAATGGCGAATACATCAATGAAGAAAATCTTTAGAAATTATGTAAGCAAAAGGTCGGGTCTAGCTTTGCTTATACCCAGCTGGGGACGGTTTCAAATACGAAGGAAGTGGGAACGCCTTTTAATCCTAGAGCCATGAAATTCTGGCCGCAATTTGAGCTTTCTCAGGCCCAAGATATAACTCACACGACTCTCGCTTCCCGACCTGGCGCTGCAACTATTCGTAAGTGGTCGTAAGTGCGCTTTGCTTGGGTCAGACTTGTTCTTTTCGACAACTTCGGCAGCCCACGCGCTCGTGTACTTGAGACCCCGTGCATGGACATCTGTCCACATCTGGCAAATCGCCGAGTCGCGCGGATGTAGCGATTCGACGAAATCGCGGGAAATATACCTTAGGCCTTAGGCCTTTGGTATTGTGATTGCATTTCCGTCGCAGTGCACTTTCTGTAGATTCAGCGAATTTTTTATAGAGATGCATTAATGTTTCATCTTGTTTTGAGAGAAGAAGGAAACCTCAAACTGAAGTAGTTGTGCAAAGATTTTTTGAGTTATGACGTCCCTTTTGTGTATGTGAATTCTCGGATCTCCCATTTCTTGAACAGACCCAAACTGATCTGTTTTCTAACGTTTTACCTGGGTGATTTCAATCACTGAGTCATTTTTTACACTTTCTCATTTCGCTTAATTGGATTATCTCACGTTTCGCTATTAGCTAAGTACAGAAGGATTTTTGTGTTTGTTATTGAACTGTATTTTTCTATGTCTTCGTAGTGCTGTGCTTGAACTTTTCCGCCAATGCAAGTCAATGCGAGTTTTTGATAGAGCACTACGAAAGCCTACGTCAATCTTTTTAGTTTTCTGTCCTTTCCGATTCTTTATTCCGCAAAAAAAATCAATGAAGAGTCCTAATTATAAGTCCCAATTGTAGCTGTAAGCTTTCAAAGGCCAGCATTCGCAAGCAAGTCTGCTAAGAAGCGGTAAGCTTGTGAGAAATTGACTTATGAAAGCTAGCAAATTGCGGCTTTTGTACTCTCATCAGATTGACATGACCAATACTAGATGCTGAGAGTGATCAAGTGAATATCCCATGGGAACAAATTTCATTCAATTCGTATGCAAAGAAATGAAATCTCGTGTATAGTTCATTTATAAAATCGTGACGACGGATTTTACTGCGGACTTTGCACCCACAGGAGCATAAAACGCTCATACAAGAAGGCATCACCTCAACGTTCAGCTCAGTCACTTCCAGTGTTTAAATATTATCTAGGCAAGCAACAAAACCATTCGACTAGAGATGAAAACCAAGAAAACGCGATTTCCGGAGGTGGCGTGCGTGTCGCGCGCGGTCGCGCCATCGTCACGATTTTTCAAATGCTTTTTACTATTCTATGTACTAGCGATGAGCGATTTCCGTCGCGTTTTCATCGTCCAAACCACCATTGAAATCGCCGATGATAAAATCGCGGCGACGCAAACGCATGCACTATGCGAATTTTGTGACCCTTTTGGTTGTAAACAAGGGTTTATTTTTTGGGACTTTAATCAAATTTGTGCGCTATACAAACGTGTTACATTATGTGAGCGGCTCTTCTCGACTTGTTCAAACCGTGAGTGTGTGTGGATGGACAATCTCAAATGAAGGGTTTTATTTTGAAGTGTTTTTCTGCAGTTTATTTTATCTTAATTACTACTGAATAAACTTGAGGTGCACCGGAAAAGAAGGAAAGGGAGAAGATTTCGGGAACACAAGAGAACAATGGGGCAGCCAGGCCTCAGGCTCAGCTTTTTAGTGGAATATGTTGCAATATATGTATAGAAAAAGACCAAGAAACCCTAGACCCATATTGACTAAACAACCGTCCGCAAAGCGAGCGGGAAAGAAAACTTGCTCAGTTTAGAAAATAACCTCAGGCATACTTCCCCCACAATCCATGATGATCACAATTTTCGAGTGTCAGCGAGCGCGCTGTAAAGCTAGCTGATTTGAACCCGATAAAAATTTGTCTTAGATAGGGCAAAATTTTGATTCGGAGGTGAATAAATAAATGCCAGCTATGAAATGACATTGTCATCGAACGAAAGAGATCTGAAATAGATGGGGAACTGGACTGGTAGGTAAAAGATGTAGACTAGAGTTCCCTAATAAACGAGACTAGCGCTTTGATGGTAGTGGAAGCATAACTATAACAGGTTAGCAACAATACTAGAACTGCAGAAATGGTCTGTCAATATTATATATCTAACTGGCTAGCCAAGCCTAGATGAGAAAAACATAGAATCAATGACACAAATGGAAGAGCTGTACGTGAACGACTGTACAAAAAAGACATCCAAAGCGCACACGAGCTCTAGGAATCAGCTGTCTTTTGCAAAATACACAACCACATCAGAATAGTATCAACATCACAAGAGACTGGTGCAGTTTATCAAGTTTCGTGAGCATTGCGAATGAAATTGTAGGAGTTCATTTGTTATGATATCAGCCGCCACGCATAGCTTTGTTCCCTCAACCAAGATCGCAAGTAGCACAATATGTCGCTTTAACAGTACCTTTTTTTCGTGTCTAAGAAAGGTCGTTAATCTTTACAGTGGGAATAAAATGGCCCCCATTTGGTAGACGATACGCAAATGCACATTCTAGACGTCGTTTTTTCCTATGGCTCTGAATCTATGCCATATCAGCATCATACCATCTAGTTTTCGCGGTTTTCTACCGCATTAGGCGGCTGTTTGGCTCCCAAAAATGAATTTTCTGTGTAAAGTACCACCATTCAAGATCAAAAATTGGTTACTGTACGAGGGTGATTCAGAAGTAATGAAAAAATTACATGTCTTCTTGAACCTATCCATACAGATAGAACATTAACAAACAAGAGCTCTGAACATTACCCAATCCATTTTTTCTCTTTTCATCAGCTATAAATTTCCAGCGAACCTCCGTTTGATAATGATATGATTGCTGAAGATCCAAGCCCAGGGTTTATGCCTTTCAATTCTATATTTGCGCACAGCTGTGTCCCAAAATTCGAATTATGATATTCTCGAGAAGTAAATGCTCAACGCTTTTCAAATCCCAGGTCGGATAATAATCGAGTTCCGAAGTTTTTAAATTTCAAGCGTTTTATAGGGTTCGATGCATTCCTGCTTTACGCAGCTTTTTAAAATACAAGAGATTCTGGAAATCGTTCTAAAGCCCCGAAAAGCTAGCCTGAGAATGTTCAAGAAAGTTGCACTCAAAAGGTTTGCACTAATTTTATTTGGTCGAGTTTCCCTCGAATCTTCGAGAAGTCTCTGAATGTGGCTAAAGTTACACAGGAACAATAGGTCCAGATTCTTGGGGTTTCTTCCTAAGATTATAAAAGATATCAGCCTGATAACCTGACTGCTGGGAGGGAAAGGATGCGATCAAGACCTTTCAGTGCACATTACTCCACTTGATTTGCCGAAAGCAAATATCGAATAAAAAGTTTTGATATTTTCTGATTGAGCCCAGTTGTTAATATCTCGGTGCTTTAGTGCTCGAGTTTTGATATGGGTAGGATCTCATGTCGATGTGCAGCGCTCAGTAAGCGAAACCTTCACGCATTTGTCATGGCAACCTTCGCTAAAAGCCTAGTTGTTGTTGCTTTGAATCTGAAGAGCGCGCGAAGGGCACAAAGTTTTGTGAATAAATCTCGCTCAACAACCTTTTGTTTCATTATTCTTGGAAAAGTCATTGACAGCACCGGAAACCCGACTTGCTAGCTACAAATGGTGTTCATTGAATCCATTTTTTTTTCAATTAATCCTAGCAAGAGATAGCATTGTGTTCAAAATTAAAAATCTGTTGGAGATTGAGAGCTGCACTAATTTGATTATAATTTTGGTTTAATAGTGTTCAATTTTTACTCAATAAGGCGCACATTTTTTTTTGTTTCGAGGAAATGATTGTAAACTGTACCCTCAAAGCCAGCATCACGTGAATTAGCGCTTCTCATTACTGATTTTCATCCTACTTCCAATTTTTTTTTGTTAATCAGATTGGTGGTTTGCAGTAGTTTGATCTTCTTTGGCCCATCAAATGAATCTACGCAGTTAATGCATCATGTTTTGGATAAGAATGAACCAATTTGGTAAAGCTGCTCTGATTATTAAGTAACTGAACCTTGAAAAACGCTTCAGTATACTCTCAACGATGTTGTTTTTATGTTCGCTATTCTCACTTTCCTTGTGATATCTCTTTTGCCTTTGACTCTGGTGTCCAATATCCCTGATGTTATTGAATTTAGGACTGCATTTGCTGATTCGAGACGAGGATCAAGCAGAGTTTCGCGAATTTTTGGAACTACACAATATCACAGATTCGGAAGAAGGAACTCATCAATATTCCTTATGAACTCCTAGTGCCTTAAATAAACTCATTTGAAATCAATTTCTTGCGGTGTTAATCTGGTTTTCACCAATGTATTTACCATTTTAGCAACTGCCTGCATTCGCCTCAATCTGATTAGTTATGTGCTTCTTGTAATTTGTGCTTGACAGTTAGACTATCAAAAATTGGGTTGGAGTATTCTCTGTTATCAAAATTGGGTTGGAGTATTCTCTGTTATCAAAATTGGGTTGGAGTATTCTCTGATACAAAGCTTTAATCACGGACCTTTTCTTTATTTTCGTTGTATAAAAATTTCAACTCGCAAATCAATAACTTGCAATCCTTGACGTGTGTTATCAATCGCCATCGTTCAAAGTTTATCCAAATCTGTCAGCCATTCATGTCTTACCATCCAGTCGCTCGAACTTTCTCGTTCATTGCCATTTTTTCTCGCAATCTACTCTTTTTTCGTTGTTTTCGTGAGCGTTTACATGTAAGGTTTCGCTAGATTCGGGAGGAAAATTGCTGTTTCAGGTATCGGCCTGGGGGGATGAGTTCTGCCGCACGTCCGTCCAGCGGCGGTGGAGGCGGCGGAATTCGTGGTTTCTTTTCGAAACTACGGAAACCATCAGATCAGTTTATGCAGGTGAGCTTTTTCACTTTGGAGTTAATGATAAGAATTAAAGCCCGGTATGGGTGCCAATTGGACCTGCGGTTGAGATTTCTGTCTTGAGCCTCAAGGTATGAATTGTTTTGAGCACTTCTTCATGATATCTTGATTTTTGTTGCTATCTCGGGCCTAGCATAGAGAAAAGAGAAATATCGGAACTCCATCGGTATAAAGTAAAATACCCCTTTTTTGGCCCCTTGAAGAAATTTTTGGCCAAGCGACTTGGCAATTTGCCAAATGTTCTTAAATCCAACACTGGCAGACCCGGCATAGTCTGTACAACTTTCCTAGATTGATAAAATCCCTATTTTCTCCACATTTGGAATGCGCGCACAATGAGTCGTGAACAACTGAAATTGCCAAGTCGCGTCGCGACTGAAATCGAGGGACCAAGGCGCTTAAGGGGGGGGGGGAAGTATCATGCTTACGTAGAAGTTTTGCGTGCTTTCATTTGCCCACATTTTTCACTTTCTTTTTTTTTCGCCTGCGCGTGTCCACATCTGGTGTCATAGTTTTTGTATAAACGTTGTGAAAAGCCGGCTGTTTTCATCATAAAAAAAGTTTTTTTTTTTGAAGTCCGCGTTCTCTTGCAAGGTTGAGCATGTCATGTCGTCATTGAGAGGTCTGTCTGTCATGGGAATTATGTATATGCGTTCCAACGTGACTTACGATATCGGTTCTGCTTTTCCTCTGGAAGAGATTTCCTTGCTGACAATTGCTCGTGGGTTCATAACAACACATGTGATCTTTTTCTATATTCTGGTGAACAGGACTCGGGACTTTATGCCACGTTGTGGAACGATGTGCAAAATTGGCCCCATAAACCCTATGAACCTTGAAGCTGTCTCTTTCTGTGAAGTCAAGATGTCAGCGCCAACATAAAGTGTAATCTCATAACCTTGACGCGGAAAACATATGCATCCGCTGTCTATTCTGTCTAAACCCCTTCGTTGTGGAAACAATGAGAGCTAAGAGTAAGAGTAAGTAAGATAGCGAGTAAAAGCTAACAGTAGGAGAGTCAATTAGCAGTCTTAATGGTAATTTGGCAGCTGCGAAAACAACTTTTGCATAATTGAAGAGAGCTCTCCAAAAACTTTTTTTTTGAACGATAGTAAAAGGTGCTGCAAAGGTCGATCGCGTTTGGTTTGGGTAATTTCAAAAATTATGGAGGTTGTTTTAGAAGCGAAATGCGCCAAATCTGTGGCGGAAGTTTTTTTTATAATGCGCTAAAACAGAGCCAATACCATAATAACTTCCTGTATGTCGCATCCAACGCTTAGTCAGCGAAAATTACCTCCATCAGATAAACGAAGCTCATTTTACTGGGCCTTCATCTACCAAATGTCGTGTTTCCATCAACTTAGTCTTCCGGCCGCGCATGTTCAAAGTGCAAAAGGCTTTTTGTTTTAAGAACGAAGAAGCAGAGAGCCACCATTTATAATAGAAGATTTTTGCAAAACGCAATTCGCCCGTTATGGCATTCGACACGCTCTCCGTTCCGCCGCTCATGGAGAATTATTTTGAGGTCTGCGCTATTGCAAATTTGATTATTTTCCGTTCCATGCCTCTGATTTTCTTTCGGATTTAGCTATAGAGAATAATAAATGGGTAATCGCCTAACAAAGCAGTAAATCTGAGTCTTTCTTCATATCAAACGTCCCCCCATCGTTATATTTCAGTCTTTCGCTTGAATCAACAAATCTTCACGCATAGCTGAGGTACATAAAAACTGACATATGAGTGAAAGGCTATCTGCGTTGAATATCAGCTGAAGGGAGGTTTTTCTCCATCTTTTGGAATCTCGTACCTCTTGCTTCTCTTGCTTCAATAGGCGTCAATGAGGAGACAGTAAATTGTTTCCCGATAGAAGCATCTCTCCAGAGAGAAAGTTTAGAACAATTAGTGAATCCTTTAGCAGTAAAAGACTTTTTATGCATGGTCATTCTCTTACCCCTTTAAATCGCATCAGCAATTATTTCTAAAAAAAAAAGTCGCTTTGCTATTGAACTTGGCTTAAATTGTACGCCTACAATTTTTTTTGTTGTTTGTGAGAACACATGCTCATACAAAATAACTGTGAGCGAAGCAAAGTGTTTTACAGAGAATCAGAGCTGAAGATTTAATGTTGTCAAGCGCCGGTTAGCAACAATTTAGATCAGCTAAAGAGAAACTCTGGAGTATTTTAAAGAAACCTTTTTGCCTAGGACATTCTTCATAGTCATTCTTCAATATGTATTCGTCCTAGGATCAATAGAATAATTGTGCGATTTCGAACTTTTCGCGTGAAAGGCAGATTTTGGGAACGAACTCCGCCAACGGGCTGCCTCTGCGGACTACTGGTCCTCAAACGACGCGCAGTAACGCAAAAGGACCACGGGTCTGCCAAGGCGGTCAAAATGGTGGTGTTCGTTCTTCCCCTATCCCGGATTCTCCTGAACTAGAAAATTCAGCGAACTCTAAATTATGTAGACCATGTGGAATACGTAAATTTGCAGAAGCTCTGCGTCTCTTTACTAGCAACTTGCCCACAGCTAATCATTGTCAATCCATAGGAGGGGCGCGGGCTGACACAACACAAGAGCAAGTCAAAATAACATTATTCATTCCAAATGCTCTGCACTTTGTTACACGTTGCTTTCGGGCGGCAAACCAGAAGAGAAATGGATTTGAAGCGAAGTGCTGGCAGCGTTGCGAGCGTGGTGCACTAGCCGCGAAATAAGGTGCAATCAATGCGAAGGGTATAACAACGAGTACGTTGTAGCGCTCAACAAGTATGGTAAGGACATTTTCACAATAAGCAGAGCTGAGGTCCGTGTGGGGTTTTATGTTGGTAGTGGTCAGTTGCTGAGCTTGGTTAGGACACTTTTGCGAGGTGTTTGCCTAGGAAGTGGCAGCTAGGCATTATTACAAATTTCAGTAACCGTTGGGCAGTTCCACACCTTCTCCATTGTTCGAGAACCGTTACATATAAAACGACAGCAATATAAAAACTTCCGGCCAAGTACGATAGAACGTGACTTTTGACGAACTACAAAATGTCAATGAGATTTGCTGAGACTTTCAATAGGTAAACATTTGTGTACAACATGCCATCTTCGTCAAGTGTTTTCGTATCTTCAAAGGGCATGTTAACATCCGAGCAAATAGCATTGTGTCTGTGGTATAAAAACAATGCGAGAGTTTGCTGTTTTTATATGCTCCTTGTGTGTTTATGTACTACGATGCGGACTGTGAATCAAGAGTGGCAACTTCTACTCTAGAAACTTGTTCAGTACATAGAGTTCGAAGGATTGGCACTTCTGAGTTGACATAAATTTGATGCCCTTTGATGCCGTTAGTGCGCAGTTCCTGAACCTTTGAGTAATGGCTTCCTAGTTGAAGCTCGTGATTTTCAATCGAGATGAGAAGGCAGAATAACGCCATTTTTTCCTCAAATTGGGGCGATCGAAGCTACCAAGCACTGTGTTTGCCTTCGAACTCATACTCGCATTGAGTCTGAGAAGATTACGGCTTTGCGGGAACGAATTCCTTCCTAATTCGCATTTCTTCGCGGTGAACCCGGGTGGAGCGTCTCCCATGGAGGGGTAGAGCGCAGAGAAACGGGTTTTCGGTCAAAGACGCAGAGCGCCGCACGGCCGCCTGCCCGCAGTTGTTTTGTTCTTCTGCCACTGTCATATACTCGGATTCGTGGCTTCGCTGTCTTCTTCTGGCCAACATCTTCTGCCAAAGTCGACAAATCCATGTTTGGTCGAACTCCACAAAATGGCGTGGTCAGTAAGGCGCTTTTTCAGCTATGTTGAAAGATTTTCGAGGGTTGTTTTCGGCGAACAATGGTTGTTGATAACGTTTTTCTCAAAAATTCATTAATCAGAATGAGGAACAAAAGGCTACCTGTTCTTTCAAAGCTTGTCATGATTTCTCTAGAACTAGGCATAGTGAGGATGAGGGCTTCTATATATGCATCAAAGCTGCTGCGAATAATTTGCGTCAAACATCTGATACTGGGCCGTTGAGAATGTCCGATCATAGATGGCTTTTTATAATGAATGGATAGCGGTGCGAAATTGTTTGTCATACGTAGTTTAAGGTCATCTCAAGAATTGTCAACATTGTACATATATTACGCTGCTCCATCTGTCTCCATCATCTATGATGTCATACTTAAACGCAAAAAGGAAGTGATTTTGCGCAGGTTTTTCTGTGAAGCAAGAAATCACTTGTTTTTGAACCAAAGACAGCAGTAAATGAGGGGTTAACAATTGTAAAGCGTTATGACAAGCAAAAAGATTCTCGGCATTGTGCAAGTTCAGCCTACACGTTTTTCTTCTATGATGAAAGCGACCTTAGTTTTCTTTCTGCTTGAAAATGTAGTCATTTTGTATTGTAAACAAGTAGGATGAGTGCATTGAAACATCATGCTATTTTAACATCGATTTAAGTGAATACAAAGTGCTGGCTTGTGTAATTTGTAGCCTTGCACGTATCACTAACGAATCACATTTACTAGGCTGAGATGTTCTCAGAGGTACAATAAATCTCTGATATATTCTTGTTTAGGTCCAAGTGGGCTCCCGTACATTTGAAGCCCAAGAACTGCAAAAACTCATTCCACAACTTGAAGAAGCGATTCAGGTTTGAGCACACATTTGTTATTCTATACATTATTTTACATTTTGATAGCTGCTTCCTTTTGGTACAGTGTCCGTTTGCAAGGCATGCGTATGCGGCCATTTTATCATCTTGGTCTCTCTAGGAAATGAACAGTTTGAGATTGGGAGTGAAATCATGTCGTGCTAGGGATGCATGTGCCATATATCTCAAAAAAGAGAGCAGCTGTCCGATCGCTTCGTTGGTCTTACCAGTTTACGATTGAATTGCTCACGTTTAACTGAAAGTAGTCTTTTTTGTAGTAGCTTTCGATCTCATTCAATAACTTTTTCAGAGGAAGGATCAGCAGCTGAAAGCACAGCAGGGAACAGTTGAAAATCATATCCGACGGATAGTTGAATTGGAAGCCGAAGTAACTTCTCTGCAGGTATGTGAAGATCGATTTCTCTTTTCTTCGATGTGAGTGCTGTTGACATTTATGATTTACCGCGACTACTTTATCCGTGCGTTTGCATTCCTTACTTGCACGTATTACACAACGTTGAAACTAATTTACAAATTAATTCTTTCTCTATTTACCTTCTTCTTCTGACAAATCATCTTATGCTGTATGCTTCTTTCACATAGATTTCATTTCTTTTGTTAGCGTTCTATTCAAGCATCGCTTTTCATCAGAAATTATGGCTATTAAGTAGCATCAGTTGCATCTTGCAGAATGGACAGAGGGAGTTTGCAAACATGCGATAATGGGTGTATCTAATCCCCCATCTGCACGTTCAGTGAGCTATAATGAGTAGAATGGTGTCTTTGTCCATTTTCTTCATAGTTTTTTAATCGTCAGTTGATTTCGAGGTTTGCTAACCGTTGCTGCTTGAAAAAGCTGATAGTATCGAAGCTCCCGTTCATAAGCTTTCTTGCACAAGTCTCTTTGGTTTGAATTTTTCATTATTTTGTTTGAATGTCTTCTATCTAAGCGTGCTAGTCCTCTCTTCAGTCAAATGTTGTCTAGTCAACCCTTGTTAACAGCTGGTAATGACGAAGTTTACAAAGGATTAAATCCACTATCTAGAGCTATACCGCATCGGTCATGGGGCAGCTCCACTCCGCACTCTTAGGCGGCTGTAGTTATGACCCGTAAGCTTCTGTAGTCCCAAACTGCCGTAGCAGTTCTTGCGACTTTTTTGCTAGCCCGTTATAATGTACGCGAGCATATATCGGACACTTGAATAAGGGAGCTGAATGTGGAATCAAAATGCATTGAGGAGATATTGCGATAAATCTCTCTAAAAGGATAATTGAACCAGAGTAATGTGGTGGATGGAGGATGTACGGGATATGGTCTTTAGGAATGACAAGAGTAAAAGTTGATGTATACTTGCCAGGTTGTCTGGTCCAGCAAAGTCCTCGCGGCTGCCCAAGTTTCAGCAGCTTTGGAGGTAGCCACAAAGGTCTCTTTAAAGTCTTTTTTGATACTCTCTGTTCCTCTAATACGGGTTTCTCTTTTTCAAATGACTTATTTTTACATCAATTTAGCTATAATGGGTATCTTTATATGCTTCATGCTCTTCTTTCTACCACTAAATTCAGCACAGTTAATTGTATAACTCAACTTATGGAGTGGAAACCTATAATATGCATTTTAGCCTGTCTAAAGAGTTCGTTTGCTTATTTATTTCAATCCACTGCAAAAGCGCTTCACGAAGATGGAGTGGTATGAGTGGTATTGATCAATTTTACCAAGCATTTCTCTCTTTATTGCTCAGGCTGGGTTCCCTTCAGTTCATCAGATGATTCTACCAGTTTTCTAGTTCTCATTTTGAAGTCAACCTTTAAGTGAGATACCGTCATTCATACTCTGCTAAATTGGGCCATGTCTTGCCCGTGACAGCTCCTAGCAATCACTCTTCTATCTTGCCCAGTGTGCTATATACCCGGTAATTTTTCTTTTGGCACCCGCCATACTTAGTCCGCTTAATCCACTTGATCCGCTTGATCCGCTTCGTCAGTGGTCAAGTCAGTGAACTGACCAATGGTGAAGCGGATCAAGCGGATCAAGTGGATTAAGCGGATCAAGTATGGCGCGTGCCTTTCGAGTATGCACTTCGAAGAAATTGTTCTTACCGTACCTTGTTTTGAGTTTTATATCGCTTTCATTCTTGTTTTGCCATGTTCTCCATTTTTCGAGCAATCAGGCTGCTGATAAGTCATATCAATTCATGGCGCATATCAGTAAGCTTTTTGAATGCGCCGCTTTTTGCAAGTGTTGTAATTTTCTGGAGTTGTTGACTAGCAGAAGGAAGTGCGATGCTGATAAGTTGACACATCCTTGTATAATCGACGCGCTCATGAATCAATAGTATCTTTCCATGTATTGCAGAGTAGGGGCCATTCATTGCTCGTATATCAACAGCCTTGAATATTTCAATCGAAGTACGTGTGTGCTAGCTTTCCATGCCATTCTTGATGCATTTGATTGAGCGTGGAACCCAGCAGGGAGTATCGGACTATCTGATGCAGTAGGCAATATGATTAAAATATCTGTCTGTACTTTGCGTTTTGTGGTACATGCATTTTTCGAACTGGATGTGATCTTACATGTGCCCTGTTTTTCTGTTGAATGCGACATATGTCGCATTTGTTATTCGGGAAAGTGTTAAAAGAGAAAGTTGTTATCCTGACAAGGGGAAATCAGATGGGTATAGTTTTCAACAATAAAAGAGACTGTTCAGCATCTTAGCGATCGTATTTCAAGGCTATTCACTTCATCTGGAGAAGGCGAATAATACTTTATCGATTTGAGTCTGAGTATGCTTAAGGCACCATTCGCCATCAGTTTAGGGTCTGATCTTTTGACAGCATATGATTTGGGTCCCCCTATCAAGCCAATGTTCAAATCGGTGCGCAAAATGTCTTCGGAAGCGAGAAAATCTCTCCGAAATAACGATGATGCACGAGGACCTCCAGACGGCACTGCCTTCCCCATCCAAGCCCGCCCATCCGTGCGCGCTCAGCCAATCACCGTTCCGGAAAGCCGACTTGCGGATTCTCCGGAACGGAGATTGCCGCGGACTCTCGACCTCATATTCAGAATCAGGGACATGAGGAGGCCCGGAACGATCAAAACATGGAAGTGGATAATCTCGGTAGACGGTGACTCTAAGCAATACTCAAGATTTCTCGTTAATCTGAAGAGGCCTGCGGGCATTATTTTTCAAGCCTTTTGTGACTCTTCAGGTTTCAGTCACTTTTCAAGGTTAAGATTTGTGACCATTGTTTTTGTACAGCTTCAGCCGCAGAGATCTCATTTTGACTCTGCATTTGAGAACTTTGTTTCTGGTCTTCTCTCTTGAAGATCCTGTTGTACCTCAAAACAAATTAAGCTCCGGTATCGTTATTATAATCTTCCAGGACTATCCTCAGACAGACTTACAGATATCGTGGAAATCATAGAAAACGATATAGGCAGATCGAGCTTCTTCCGAGTTAATGTGAATGTCTTATTGTTTCTCGTGTCAAGGATATTTGAAGGGTTGCAGCGAAATATCTACTTTTCACTTACCTTCTTGTAAAATTTCAGAATAAACAATACCCTCTATATTTCACGCTTTAAAGAAGGCAAATCAAGCATTCTGGACAGTTACCTTCTTCGCCTTTTGCTTAAAATGCGTGGAAGTTGCGTGAGGAGCTAGTAATGCGTTGGCGTGGGAAATGAGACTGTAGGAATTTTTTTTGCTGCTCACACACTCAGCGGATCGCGAATCGTTCTTTGTTATGTCATAGTTCCTCAGTGATAAGCCATGATTTTGGCAAAACTCAGCGATTCAGCATCCCTTATGGCAACGACGACTGGGCGATAGTTGAAGTGCGAAAGAGATTGCTTTTGGAAAAAGTGCGATTATGTCAGCTTCTCACTATTTTCGTTACGGGATGTGCTTTCACCTTTTCCGACCGCAGTCTCGAAGTTAACCCCACTCTTTCCAGTTTCCTTGTTCTTTTTTCTAGTTGTGTTCAAAACCGTTGTCGGCAACAAAAGTTTGAACAGGAGAAAAACCCGTGAGCCCAAAGAATAGAATTTTTTTTGATTACTAACATTAAGAAGAACAAAGCATCTTGAATGTAAGTATCCTGTCAGTATCTCATACAAATGCAGCGAAGGTACCCAGTATAAAAGTAAAGGCACTACCAGCTTGTCATCTTGCAGACAACCTTCTGGAAGGACTTATCTCCTTTTTGCTCAAATAGGCTATCCTAATCATTTATTCGAGGGATGATTTAGCCATTTGCTCTCTATGTAGTACTCCTTTCCTTTACGATAATCCTGCTTATCATTCCACTCCAACGTTTTTCCCATTGATTCAACTGTTCATCAAAAAGCATGAAATGTTGAAACCTCCTTAAACTCCAGATCATTATCACATTTGCGTTTTAATGTGACTTCCTCACAAAACTGCGTTTCAGAGAAATGCGTACGGTTATATTTTATGTCATGATTAATAACGGTGTCGAAGTGACATCTGAAAAACCTCTGAATTTCTTTGATTGCCTCTGAAGCAGGCCTTTACAAAAAAAAAATACTGCCATTCTATGTGGTTTCTTACTGTTAGAACTCCTAGCTGCATGATCTTTCATTATCGATCTTTAGCGTGTGTTTTCATTTGATTTACGTTTTTTTTTCTCACAAAGCAATTTTCAGCGAGAATGCGACAAATTGCGCTCAGTTTTGGAGCAAAAAGCGCAGTCTGCTGCCAGCCCGATGGGAGGAATAGCACCCTCTTCTCCGCGATCAGAACAACTTGGGAATGATTTGAAAGAAGTGAGATTCGATTGAGAGATTCAACATGAAAATTTTTCTGTGTGTTTCAGAAGGCTGTGCTTCCATCGGATGGAGCGAGTATGCGGGCGAAAAAATTGGCCGTGTCCGCGGAGCCCACCAATTTCGAGACCCAAGCTACTACCTTACAACATTACAACAAGACCGCCGGGTAATTTTTTGCTGTTTGGATCCCATACAGAAGCAAATGGTTCAAAGTCATTGAATTTGAAGAGCAGACTCTAGTTAAGCGGTTATGTGAGGATCACAAAATAGTACATAAAATCATTCGCTCATAAGATGAAATAATTCACGATTTTCACCATTTTCAATCTAATGTAATATTTATACATACACTACTTCCAATCTAATTTGAAATGCAACTCAAACATCTTGAGCTAACACATTGACGTCGGAATGGCTCAAAAGTGCGAGAACTACAGAACTCACCAGCTTTGCTTTTGGTCATATCTACGACATGAGCGCCAACACGAATAATTAGTCTATATCCATGAGCATGACTGTGCTTACTACGTCCTGCAAAGCATCGCTCAATGACGGTTAGCCTGTTGGAAACTGCAATTCCGAGCAAAATCCCAGTATAGTTACCGACCGTTTACGATGTAAATATATTGGTTAGCTAAGGGTTTCCTGAGTCACTCTTTTGGATATTTTAGTTTTGCGGCTTGGGCAGGGAATTTGAGAGAAAGTGATCCAGTTTCGTACATAAATCAAAATAACCTAATCTTGTCGTATTGTTGATAATGCGGAGTGCAAATCATTGTTGTTTAGTTCGAAACAGCTCATTCGAGATGCTGTGCACAAGAACGACTTCCTGAAGCAGTTGGCTAAAGAGCAAATCATTGAGATTGTGGAATGCATGTACGAAATGCGAGCACGCGCCGGCCAATGGGTTATTCAAGAAGGAGAGCCGGGTGACCGACTATTTGTTGTTGCGGGTAAGTCTTGAAAAGTTTGGTGTATCAATGGTAATCGAAATATATGAATGGCGTTCAGTAATAACTCTTTTACTGACTGATAGATTAGTTTAAACTGATTTTTCAATTGATCTTTGCATTTAGCGTGAACATCTCTTGGAAAATCTGGAATTTAATATGTAGTTTTACAGAGGGTGAGCTTCAAGTCTCTCGAGAAGGGCAGGTTTTGGGCACTCTTCGTCCGGGCATTGTGATGGGAGAACTTGCCATACTGTACAACTGCACAAGGTACGTTTCATCTGAAAGGCTAATTTTTGCTCATATGTGGTGATTTCAACAGCTAGTCATGAATTCCAGCGCTAAATGTCCCATTATCTGCCCACTTTTGAGTCTTTCGTCCCTTTTTTGTAATAAGTTGTGATAGCGTTAGTGGTAGTGGAAATTACGCCAAACGTCCAAGTATTTTATGTTATAATAAAAAAAATTATTGCTTTCTGCATAGTGTTGCTAACTTCCGGGCAACCTTTGTTCGCTAATCAGTCTTTTTCGCTCTTGCAGCGGGCAACCGATTTTACGAAACATGCGCAGTTTACACTCGCGTACCATTCTGATATCTGCGCAGGGCGTGATAGCAAAAGACCAACATCAGTGTATTTCCATGCTGACACTTCCTTATTGATGGTCATTTGTCCTGACGGACATTCTCGAACTATGTACAGACGATGAGCAGTATTGTACTGCTTCATTCTCATGTCCACCATCAATAGTTTTGGAACTAAATCTCGCATAGGAAAATTACGTAAACTATGTCAGCGATTTACGCGACGCATTGGAAAGTAAGTGAATTTTTTGGGAATTCTTCATTTTGGACTTTTTTATTGAATTTCATTTGCCTTATCACTGTTGTGAGCTGCATTTTGATTAAGTTACTTTACTACTTTGAAACTGCTCCTCTTTGGTTTGAAATAGCTCCTCAACTAACAAGAGAATGGTTGGGGGTCGAAGCGGCCAATCCAAGCAAGCTGCCAACCATTTGATGCAGCATTAAACGCTGGTTTCGAATCTGTAATCCATATCTGCTCAGCGCCTTTCTGGGCCGAAGTTATGAGCAGTATTGTTGCGAAAAATTATACATAGAAATTGCGAAATCGAGCATATTGTTGCACTTTCAGCTTACCTTCAGGCTCTAAGAATATAAAGTAACTTAGTTGCATGTTTGGCCCAGCATTAACCCGAACGGACGCTCTGTACTGCCAAATTTGCGCTTTGCATGCATGGTTTACAAACAAATCAACGCCTTTGACAGTCATAACTTCGCCCGCTAAGCGCTAGGCAGATAGGAATACAGATTCGAAGTCAGCGTTTCATGTGCATCTAATGGTATGCAGCTTGTTTGGATTGGCTACATCGATTCCTGATCATTCCCTTGTACGGAGTTTCTGGTATTGTAGAAAGTGCGGAAGTTGAAGATCTAGCTCTTTTATCTCTTTTTGATTTTGCTGCATCATGAACGGATGCTACAGTATGCAAATAGTCGTTTAGACAACTGCGGCCACTTCTGCCAAAAAATGCGCATCCTTTCAGATGCGATTGCAGCAAGTGTCACGGTCTATCGTTGATGCGTAATTCGATTATCTCGCGCATGGAAATTGCTTCCTTTCTCGATTAGATATAGTTCAGGTTTTCAACGAACCACAGTTGCGATCGCATTTTTGTATTCAATTTACAAAAATATCTGGGCATAAATTAACATCAGCGTTACCGTTTTAGGACTGCGTCTATACAGGCGCTCACCGACGTTCAGCTATGGGTTTTGGATCGAAGTGTCTTCCAAACTATCACTCAACGATTGGGAATGGAAAGACATACACAGCTAATGAACTTTTTGAGCAAGGTGAACAATTATCTGGATAGTGATTTTTTTTTCGTGAAGTTTTCTTTGGACCGTTGATTGATTGAATTAATCATTTTGATAGAATGGGAATTCTGGTAGGCAACCTATAGATGGTTTTCCCCTCTGTCTCATCTTAATTACGGGATCTCGAATAAAACTCGGCAGTGCCAGAAACATTTTTTTTTCTTTTTATTTAACACAGTGTTAGTGTTTTCTTTTGGTTCTTGAACCTCTTCACTTTAGGTTTCAATTTTCGAAAATTTGTCCGAGGATCGTATTTCAAAAATGGCAGATGTCATGGATCAAGATTATTACGCAGCGGGACATTATATCATTCGCCAAGGCGAAAAGGTTGGCTTTTTGTAGGATTGCGCCTCCGCGCTATCTGCATTCGATGTTGGTGAGAAAGGGAATCTTCTATTTAGGGTGATGCTTTCTTCGTGATAAATAGTGGTACAGTGAAAGTGACGCAGTTAATAGAAGGTGAAACCGAACCACGGGAAATTAGGATTCTCAATCAGGTTAGCCTTTGCTGTAAGAACTGCATGATTATCTTGTAAATTCTTTTCGTGCACACATCTAACGTAGCTTATGTATCATTATGCTCTGGTTCAGGGCGACTTTTTCGGGGAGAGGGCCTTACTCGGTGATGAGGTTAGGACAGCAAATATTATAGCACAAGCACCTGGAGTGGAAGTGCTTACCCTTGACAGGTGGGCATACCTCCATTTGTTCATTTTATGGTCTTTGTTCTTGAATTGCTCTAAATAATTCAGGGAATCGTTCCTGAAGCTCATCGGTGATCTCGAAGCGTTGAAGCGCGACTATGGGGATAAGGAGCGATTAGCACAAGTGACATTAGAGCCTCCCAGTCCCACTAAAGTTTGTTTTGCTTCTTCTCTTGCATACCACTTCACTATTGTATCATACTGAGAGATTATCGTCTTTGTAGGACATCATCCGAGAAGAGTTCGCTCATGTACATTTGAAAAACATAAAGCGATTAGCAACGCTAGGCGTTGGTGGATTCGGGCGTGTTGAACTGGTTAGTGGCTTCCTTTCAGGTTTATCAGTATTTTCTTGCTCTCTTATCCGTCGTAGCAATTTGAAAAGTGTCAGGAAGGATTTTGACCAAAGTGTGTTGATAGAATCGCTATGTTGTATAAAAAAAAAATCTTCTCCTAATTTAGTACAAGCCGTTGCAACCGGCTCCTGTTTTCTTTTATTTCTTCCAATTTAGGTTTGTATCAATGGTGATAAATCACGAACATTTGCCTTGAAAGCGTTGAAGAAGAAACATATAGTGGATACGCGGCAGCAGGAGCACATCTTCGCAGAGAGAAATATCATGATGGAAACGAATTCCGAGTGGATCGTCAAGTTGGTTTTTGAGGGACCTCTCAAAAATCTCATCCCGAAAAATATCCATTTTAGGCTCTACAAAACATACCGTGATACAAAATACGTGTATATGTTATTGGAGGTGTGTTTGGGTGGAGAGCTATGGACGACGCTCAGGGACAGAGGTCATTTCGATGATTACACTGCCCGATTTTACGTTGCGTGCGTGCTAGAGGGACTGGAGTATCTTCATAGAAAGCATATTGTTTATCGTGATCTCAAACCGGAAAATTGCCTACTCACCAATGCCGGATATCTAAAACTAGTAAGTTTGCGTGATCCCTCTGCTTGCTGAGGCTTTGCTTCCATATATGCTGTCTTAATGCTTTAATGAGTGCATCGTAGTGTTTTTTTTTGATTTCCATCTCTTTATTACGATAGGCCGGAATGCTCTTTATATTACCTTGGTATTGTATGGAGATTTGTTTCTTTTTTTCTTGAAAATCCATTTCAATTTTCATAAGCAGTTAACACTGACAAACATAGTCGATATCACTCATATGGAAGCAAGACTTCATTCTTATCGGCTAAAACTGAAGCCCGCTTATATGACGCCTTTTAGGTTGACTTCGGTTTTGCTAAGAAGCTAGCTTCAGGAAGGAAGACGTGGACATTCTGTGGAACACCAGAGTTCGTTATACTTCATTCTGTTACATTTTCATACTGTACTTAGCAATTCAGATATGTATCACCTGAGATTATTTTGAATAAGGGTCACGACCAAGCAGCAGATTATTGGGCACTGGGTAAGTTTTACTTTTGTTACGCCTTATTGTTAGTGGTAGAGGGATCACTTCTGTCACATGTTGTTCTTATCTTCTTAATTTCTAGCTATTTTGTTGGAAGTTGCATGTAAGAGGTGTAACAGTCCCAACTTTCGTTATAACTTTTCTTTTCAAGAAGTCAAATCTGCTCTGAGCTGTTTCAAGACTCTAAGAGCTATCTTCCTCAGTTCGTGCATGTGTTGATATACGGTTTTGCAGGTATTTACATATGTGAACTGATGCTTGGTCGACCGCCTTTCCAGGCAAGTGATCCAATGAAGACCTACACGCTTATCTTGAAGGGTGTCGATGCTTTGGAAATACCAAATCGGTTCGCATTTCGATTGGACGCTTGCGATTTGCAGTTTTCTCTTTCATCTAATACATTTGTTTTCAGTCGAATAGGCAAAACTGCCACAGCACTGGTGAAAAAATTATGCAGAGATAATCCTGGCGAGCGGTTAGGGTCAGGATCCGGAGGCGTGAATGATATTAGAAAACATCGTTGGTTTATGGGTTTCGACTGGGAGGGACTTCGATCGCGTGCACTCAAAGCACCAATTTTGCCAAAGGTACGTTTTATTCAGTTAGCAGATAAAAATGGCAAGTATTTTAGCTGATTCAGTCAAGATGTCCATTCATCCTGTTCGAAGTAATTTAGCCTGTTACAGGTGTCAAATCCTGCAGATGTTACCAACTTCGACAACTATCCTCCAGATCAGGATGTGCCACCAGATGAGTTCTCAGGGTGGGATGAAGGCTTCTAGATAGGCTTGCTGCTCCTGCTATATGACGGTATAAAATACCGTTTTTGTTCATTCATCGTTGTCTGAAGTTTGTATATGTATATAAATACAGAATGTCTGATTGGTTGACATTGACTGTGAACTTATACTTGTTACTTGTCCTTTGTCGCAAATTTTCGTGTCTAAGTAGAGATTCTAGTCTATCTTTTGTTACTTTTCATCAATTTTTTTACCTGCGTATCTGTGCACTTCTTGATTTCTTTAGGTTTCGATTAGCCAGCGAGAAAATTCGTTAACAATCCGCTACCTTTTCTTGTTGTCTCGCTTCCAATCTCCCCTTTCTTTTTCTGTTGTCACCGTCGCGTATCTGCCATGTCGTTATCATACTATTATTTCTACCCGGTAGAAGCCGTAGACTCTATCCAGGTTTTACTTCTTGTCGCGGCGACATTTCCAACCTCAATTGATTATTCACGTGTTCAGCCAAATGTACACTCCAGCCGCTTTTGAAATATCATAAATATCTATTTCTCAGTCGTCTTTTGCACCACTGCTTGACGCATAGCCTTGAGAGTCGCATTCATATCACATAATGGCCATTAAATTTCTAGTAACCTTTGCTAGCAACCCTTGATTCAACTGAATTGGCGGCTGGAAGGCGGGCTTTGTAACCTAATAGGCTGCCAGCGCCCGCGATGCAGTCTGCGTCTTTTTCGCGCGTGCTCTTCAGTTTTCCTCTAGACTTCACTGAGTCGTGAAGCCCCGCCTTCCAGCAGCCAATCTAGTTGAATCATAGGGTAAAAAAGAAAATGTTTCTTAAAAGCGGAGAGTTAATTCTGAACCAGCTACTATGAGATTGGTTTTATCTCAGATAACTATAACAATTAAATGTAATACAGAAAGATGCTCTCTCAAATTTTTCTGCTTACAAATCACTTCTCTTTCTTAGCTCTCTTCCAGTGTTTTGCTGTTCTGAAACAAATAGCTACAAATATTTAAGACCTTTTTTGTAAGTTTATGCTCTTACTTGCTGCGCACCCAATGAATCACCGCATCTCTTGCACGTGCCCCTCCTCCTGTGGCTTTTTCGATATACCTTACAAGACTTCGCTTATGCCTTTTGTCCATGACAGTATCTATAGTGAGTAGTCACACAAAATCATAGTTCAAGCGGTATTGCTTTCCACTGAGTACCCACCTTTAGGTGTCACTACTGTGGTATTGATAAGGGAGATGCTTCCACCTGAATCGACTCGCAGAACAGGTACACATGTGCAGCTAAATGAACATGACTTTTGCTCTGGATGGGCATCTAAAGTTAAAACCTAACATCTAAAGTTTGGGCAGTCGGAGATTGACTCAGATTAACAGTGTTTTATTATGCGAAGCATAAAATGATCGAGCTTGCAGTCACGAAGGCGCTCACCTTTCATCCAATGATTCACGTAGTCTGTCAGCAAATCGGTCTTCAGCACATTCTAAAAGAATTTTAGCAGCTGCATATCTTCCTTGCAAAGTAAGAGTACTTACGACTGCAGCTTGGATCATAAATCGGTTGTGCAGTTGAAACTGATGCAGTGTTGCAATCATGCTCCTCCCTAAATATCAAATTACATGCTGTGACGGTATCCCGTCCAATTTGAGTGGTATCATCACATTATCCTCTTTCCCTCCTAATTCCCCACCCCCTCCTCTTCCCAAAAAGAGTTATGAAAGGTTTCTCTTCTCACATTCCCGCTCCACATTTGGAACACATAAGGTAGAGCGGGATAAGAGCCATTGCTGAAAAACCATTTTTCTCCTTGCTAGCATCTAATGTGCCCTTCTCTTTTCTCCCATGCATCGCTTCGTCTCTAATGCGCGTGAGGGTAGTGAAAAGACGGAAAATATGGGTAACTGTGGTATAGTGAGGTGAGTCACAAAAAATAGCCAAGCGAAATTTTTGATATGCAAACAATGATTAAATTAGCGGCCAAATTCTTGGCAAAAAACTTACACTTTGTCACACAATGAGCGAACAAGCGGTCTTCGAACGTCGCGTCCTCCAGATCTACTGTCCTCACGTGGTCCAGACACTGTTGAGCTGAGTTCGTTTGGTTGTGCTACCGCTGAGACGTACTCAGCATCACTTGGACTGGGTGGGGCTGAAATTTGGGAAAGCACTGTCTAGCACTGTATTGCTTATAGTTCATTTAAAAAGTTGTGACGACGTATTCTACTGCCGACTTTGCGCCCACAGAAACATAAAACGCTCACACAAGAAGGCATTACCTCAACGTTCAGCTCAGTCACTTCCAGGGTCTAAATATTATTAGGTTGGCTAATAAATAAGTTCGGTCGCTTTTTCAGCTCTTACAAATGCTGTAGACAAATTTTTGCCCAATGTTTGGTATCTCTGAAAAGAGCACTTCACTGGGTATTGGAGCATATATTCTATTTGAGTGGAACTTATCTTCCCAGGAAAAAATCCAGAAAGAAGTGAAAAATGGCAATTTTCTCATAATGCGCAAATATCGTGGAATATATGTGGAAATTTGGTTTTTGTAGTGAAATATTTTCAAAATGGCAGATCACAGTTCTTTTTGTTGTTCATTAAATAGGGATAACTCCTCTGTATCCAAACACCAAACGGCTGTTCTTTACATCCATTACAGCATGAAAACGAAGCCCAAGAAGTCAAAGAATTGAGCTTTTGGAAATTTCGTCATGTTGAGGCATAACTGCCTTTACTGACGATAGAAAATCCTGACTATTTGATATGTGATAGAGGAAGCTTCGAACTACTTTCCCACAAAACAACATAGATTAAAAACAACAAGAAAATTATTTATGGCAATTTGTATGCCAAAACGAACTTACTTTTTAGCCAACCTAATACCATACCTAAGTAAAAAACCCATTCGAATAGAGATTAAAGCAAAGAAAATGCGATTTCCGGAAGTGGCGTGTGTGTCGCGCGCGGTCGCGCCAACGTCACGATTTTTCAAATGCCTTATACATACGAGCAGTCCATGCGAAAAAGCAAAAATTTGAAGTTTTGAAATCAAAGCGACGTTTAGAATTAGAATCAAAGCGCCAAGCGGAAAAAAATTTCAGTCAAATTCTGCTTAACACTGACTTCTGTAATAAGACTAGGAAAATACTCATGAATAATCGAATTCGCCGAATAGCCTGTTTCTTCTTACAATTAGAAATTTTATGGGAGGTGAGTTCAAATATAATTAAAGGAAAGACGCTTGGTTTGCCATCTCATTATTTCCTTTGAGTTTGTTTCCCACTCACCCTGGATCTGCTGGGCGGTGTTCCCAGATATACTTGGTACAGAAACCATAGTGTGCGAACATGGTGAGCAGCTAACGCACACGATTTCCTGCTCTCCAACATAAGCTTGATTGGCTTTCGACGGTTCAACCCTACAAATGAAGAAATAATTAAGTAATTCTTTTTTGGAATTTATTTGACATAAAGGCATGTTGTCGTATTAGTGATATACAAGCGTAAGCTAAGCAATTTGGCGCAATAAATTGAGGCCTTGAAAACTTTCTGCTTGCTTTTTATAAGCTTGGTATCATTCCGAAGAACTCACTTTGTCCCCAACCCCTTTGTTTTCACGCACTCTGCAATATAAGGATTTGAATAATATGTATTACTCAAAACAAGCATACATACCTCGACACTGACAGATGGGATTCGCAGTACTTGCATTCGAGAAAAGGTCAAAAGAATCACAAGTAAGGCTAAAGTACTAATATGCTGTACGAACAACTAGCTCTAGTAGTTGTACCATTCCGAGTCATAGGAAAGAGGCGCTCTGTCAATTTTCGTGCATTTTAGTCCAAGAATATTTTGTAGTTTCTGAAGCTCATCTATAGCTTGCCGTTCCCACAATCCACTAGAGATGGAACTTCCATCAGTATAACTCTGGAAATATTTACAAGGCTATTGAAAAGACAAGCGGTAGAAGTGGATACCGTAGAAACGACTGATGTATCGGTAAAGCCATGTCGAGGACAGTATCGTTGTCTCTTCTCAGTTGTAGTCCATCGCACCACCGATGGACTAGTGGTACTGAAGCTGTCGTCACTGAAGTGAAGGTGACCGCAGGTGGAGCAGGTTGTCGTTTCCGGTGTGTAGGGTCTGCGCCGAGCATAGCTCGTTGACGATGAGTTCATTGCCGTTCTAGTAGTGTAGACATCGTTCTCAAGCGTAAGTGGTTCTGAGTATGACGAACGCGAACGCGTAGGAGATGGAGCTGAAGAAGTGCATGAGATTGAGATAAGTCAAGGGAAGATTGTTAGCTTCATGAGTAAAAAAAAGTAGACGATCTATCGCACGCAGAGACTTTCCGCAACTGCAGACGCTCTCAGCGTCTCTTCTCCTAACACATGCTATCATGTTCGAACGCAACGTCCTTCAGTCTGTGCGTACGATGAATTGCTTATAACTACAACAAATAAAACAGAGAGGACGTAACATGGCTAGCGGCAGATATTTTTGCGATTTATAGATTGACTTATTTTGCAGCATCAAACTCTAAGGAGACTCCGCCTCGTTTCTTCATTTAGAACTTTTTATTATTAATTCTGCATTGCCAAAAACACAAGAATGGCGCTGGCCTTTTGACTCCTGTGAGGTTGCGCCTAGAGCTGTCCGTGTGCCAGCGCCGTGTTATTCAGTGCCAGTGCCGCGCTAACACCAACATTGGCACGACACTGCCACGCGTGCAAATCTGGAAAGACCTGATCTCTAAACTTGTCTTACCTGAACTGACACGGATGGGAATGATGTTTTGGAACCTTTCAAAACTGGTGCCTGGCCGATCGCAACACTGCAGGTTAACTCTCATTTTCAACTTCCTTCACGGAGTAATTATGCTCACCTCGGTAATTTCTTCCGAATGGTAAACACCGCAACGGCTACAGTAACCATCGCAAAGACTTGAAGTGATAGGCTGATCTGGAACGGTTCGATCCTTCAGAAAGGAAAATCTTACTTTTACAATACCCTACTTGATCGTGATTGGCTGGCAATACCTCTACCACCAATTGTCGCAACGCAGACATTGCGAAAAGAATCGCAACAGATTGGTTCTGCAAGTGGACACGTTTCCGGCATCAGTTTCGATTTCAATACTATAGAGTAGTGGTACCTAGGAGGCAGTTTCTCAAGTAAACAACAGAGTAAAAGGGTTTGAACGACGGTAGAGTCCACTCCGCTTGGGTAATCGGAAAACTGTGCAGGTGTTCCAAGTGTTCGTACTCCGCCTTAACTTATCAAAATTTCAGTAGTCGGAAAAAGCATTCACTAGTCCGTATCTCAATAGTGCCTTGTGTATTTGCACTTTCTTAAACTTATGTACACTGAAATTGAAAAGTTTGAAAAGTACGAGAATGTTCTACTTTGTCCAATACTTTTCGTACTACTTGACGTTTTTGTACTGTTTGGGGCGTCCGTTGCAGTTGCCGAAGTGGTGCAATTACACAAAACAACTATTTAAATAATCAGACTGTAGCTAGTCTTACCACATAAAGCTGTGAGCGCTGCTTTGGATATGCTCGTAGGTGGTCTGCAAATAACTTCATTTTTCAATTTGGACCCTTCAGAAAAACTGAAACTCACAAACTGGTCGCATAGCATTTTCTGGGTTTCTGTCGTCATAACCCGGGTAAAAAAGTTTGGCACAATGATATTTTGGAGCATAGTAACTTTGTTGTGAATAAATGGAAGGCATCGAACTGGGTGGGGCTGAGGGTGCGCGCCTGAAATGGATCTCATCAGTTATGATCATTATGCTTAAGAATTTTGCAACTTACCTCCGGGGATCTGGGAAACCGCCATAGAACCCCCGATAAGGCGGGTAGTGAGGTGCTGGATGAAAATGAGGAAGAGACGGTCGGGACAGATATGATGGGGCATAACTTGAACGTAGTGGATATTCATAAATTGCATGGGGGAAATTAGTGCAGTGAGAAGTGAAAGAGGGATGTCGTACTAAATGGCTAGCTTGAACGCTGGCACGACCGCTAGGAGGGCAGCCAGGATGTGGACATGTGCAGCGGGGATTTCCTGAAACGAGTTGGATTTAGAAGTTTGAGAAAAAAGTACCAAAGTTGAGTTTTTGCGCGAAAAGCTTGATTGACTATCAGCCAGATGCAAACATATGCTCGGAATTCGCGTGACTGTCATTGTCAATTTAGACCGCTACTAGAAGCTAACATCCTCCAGCTCAGAATGTGAGATCAAACCATCATATGAATTAGACAAGCAGTTTAATAGCCATTTTCTGAGAAAGCTTCACAATCAAAAGTCCGACATTCCATTCTTGACGCGCCTGTATGTTTCTTAACGGAAGGAAAGAAAGGATGAAGCGTTTGCCTTCATGAGAAGAACAAAGTGCTGTCTTGGCAGGGCGTGCTTTCTCCGTATGCCCAGAGAGCGTGGAAACGTTTTTAGGTAGCATCCACCTGTACAAAAATTCGATATAGGCTCGTTCCATGAGGGCGGATGATGGAGTGGTCTAGTTTGAAGCAGGTGCGAATCGCAGCTCTTAAAGGCAGCGTCCGGCCAACTATGAGAACTTAAGGGAATGACCATAGGTTGCCGGCAAGGTTGTCAGTGTTGCCGGTGTTGTCGGGGTTGCCGAGGTTGCCGGTCGTCCCGTTCGCGCGCGCTCTAAACTGTCTCTGACCCCGACAACACCGACAACACCGACAGCATCGACAACACCGGCAACCAACCTATGGCCGTTCCCTAAGGTACAATGGCGCCCACCGTCATGAAGCTGCGCCGGCACTGCACCAATTTGCTTCTAAAGCGAGAGAACCGCTTTAGAAGTAACGACTGGAACTGACCCGGCGACCGGGGCGAGTTAGTTCGATGAGCCAGAGTGCGCATATCGCGCATAAGCCGCAGAGTCCGTCTTAGCCATGGCGGCATGCGTCATAGTTCAAAATCAAGACCTCTGGGAAACCCCGTTTTTGGCATTTTCATGCTCTCCAAGCTGCATTTTCGCAGCAGGACAAACTAGCACTTTAAGCAAGTAAAAATTCCATTTGAGATTTTGCCCGGACGCTGCCTTGAAGCAACTTTCATGAATGAAGCCAATGCTCGCGTACACCTCTCTTCCTGATCGCCTCCTTCGGCCCCGGGCAGAGTTCACGCGATTTGGTCATCGCGATTCATCGCTACAAGACAAGCGTTACGAGTTTATTGCATGCCGATCTTCTTGTGTTTCGGTTGTGATAACTAGTCACGATTAGTCGTGTTTAAACACTATCACAACCAAAATGAAAGAAGATCGGCATGCAATGATATTGTTGCAGTTGTCTTTTCGTGATCAATCGCGACGATGAAGTCGCGTGAACGCTGCTCGAGGCCTTCCACCACCTTTGTCTGGGACTGGCCTTTAATGAGACTAATTGAGGATCTCATTCATTTAAACTCCAGGGGGAAATTGGTCGGCTGCAATGATACTGTTTTTATCCTAGATTTTTCCACATCAAGGAAATCCGCTAGAATTTTGCGTGTTTGATCAAATTGCTGCACCTGTGAAAGTCAAATTACTAACGTGACGTAATGATCACTGAGATCATACGTCACGTTAGTATTTTGACTTTCACAAAGTCTATACCACTGAGAAAACAAAAGTCGGCTGGATCTATCAGCTGAAACTCAAACCTTAGGCCCCGGTCAGACTTCACGCGATTTGATCGTCGCGACTGAGTCGCGACGAGACAACTGTTATAACATCATTTCATGCCGATCAACTTGCATTCGATTGTGATACTTTTCCAGCCCGAAATTTTTGAATGTGAAATGAAAATGATTGGAAATCTTGGCGATTAGATCGCGACGATTAAGTCGCGTGAAGTCTGTCTGGGGCCTTAGACTGAAATTGAGTCTGCTTTGAGTGGGTGTTATTCAAGGCAAAATGCGCCTTCCAGGTACATGCAGATAGCATTCATTAGAATTCACTTCCTATAAAAAACTAACCTCTATTGCTGATATTTTGTGAGTTCTGGACGCTAAAGTTTGAATGAGAGCATTGAGTTGAACCAAGTGAACAGCTTCGTCTAAAAGCAGATGTGCGATCAAATTGACCAAATCACGCGCCAGAATGAGTATGGCACCGATGGCATGGATCAGCCATTTAGTGAAAGATCATATGCAAAATGAGGAAATACCTGTTTGTTTACCGAAAGAAAATTTGACCATAAGCAATGAACAACATGTTTTCTAATGATACCCATGCCTTACATCGATTGTTCGACTGCATCTCATTGCATTTGTATAGAACTGCTTACAAGAATAGTACGCTGGGTCTACGGCTTTCCCGTATGAGTTATAGAAATACTTTTTTTGAAACGCTGCTTTCCATGGTTGCTGTCTGCTAAGCGATTTCCTAAAGGAGATTATGAACGTTTTTCGTCATCTACATTGTTGCCGAAAGTTAAAACTAGCACTGCGAAGTTTTCTTGTTTGTTTTGTCCATCAACATCGAAAAAGTCCAATGATGGTAGTCCCGATGTTGCGCCGTAGCATAAAACAAGGAACATGGCTAGCGCTAACGATTCTGACTATCTACTGCGCAATTACTGGAAGTAAGCTAGGATATATACAGGGTGTCCCAAAAAAATGTATCGAACGTTTGATCGTTAATATCTCTCTTCTAAAGAAGTCTTTTCCCTTGTTTCAGGCACCAATCTGTAGAGCTGGCTTCAACTTAGATTTGCATTATAGAACGAGTCCACTCATCCCTCTTCATTACTGTAGGATTACGGTAGAAACTTCAAAGAGGCCTTTCATTAAGCAATGAAAGGCCATATTTTGCCCCAGAAAGGAAAAAAACAGCCTGAAAACTTTTATACTAGGCTAGTTAGAGTTGCTGATTATAACTGTAAAATTCCCAATTTATTATGATGCTTCACTGAAGAGTTATGCCAGGTAAGAGGTAACGGCCATTTTTTCAATGTTACTAAAAAGTGCGTTACACCCTTTAGAAAGCTTCGTGATCTTGTGAATAGTTGAGTTTTGAACTCAGCGTCCACAAAAACCCCAATACACAAGTTTTCACATTTTTTTTTGAAAAATTTTGAAACGGCAGGTTTTTCCACATTGACACCATATGTTTCAAGTTTCTACGTAATTCTACAGTAATGAAGAGAGATGGGTGATTCGTTCTATAATCCAAATCTAAGTTGAAACCAGCTCTACAAAACGGTACCTGAAGCAAGGCAAAAGACTTCTTGGGAAGAGAGATATTAACGATCAAACGTTCGATACAGTTTTTTGGGACACCCTGTATACAGGGAAACTCTGGGAGCCTAACTTTGCAGTATTGCAATTACAAAGTTACTGGTGGTTTTGATTTCAATTTTATGCCACATGATGCTGCGGTCATCCTCTACAAAACGCACTTTGTCTAGCTGAAAATGGCTGCCATATGTTTTTGTAAGATTGAAATTACCAAACTAGTACTTCTGCAAAGCGAAAAACCAGAGTTTTTAGTATTTACAATTTTTGCTATAGCTAGAATTGCTGTTGATATTCTACGACACTTCGATGCACACAATATAGAAGAGGCTTTGCGCTATTGGGTCGTAATTTTGCTTTTGCCAGGGGCTGTTCTTGCATAAACGGAAAATAAAAGTTTGCGAATGTTACCTACGTGCCAGCGGAAATCCGTTTCCAGAACATATTCAAAAGCTATAGAATGCTCAACAGGCACTGGGATCAAGGCTATATTTTTTGCATACGTCTTCTAAATTAGAATCCATTGAAATTCGGCCGTGGGAACACTTTTTATACTTTTTAAACGGTAATTTATAGTTTTTTTCGCGCAATTGTAGCCAAGATTCCGGTATACGACGCGTACACATGCTTTTGATCAAAAATCCAATATTTTTATTCCCAAACGATGCAAAAAATTCTTTTAAAAGTATGTTGTAGATAAAAGCTTGCTCCATCGTGCTGCACATTTGCCAAGGTAAAAAAAGCAGTTATTATGAAAGCGTGGGGCAAATTTCATTACGACTAGCTGCATGCCGCGACAGGTGGACTTGCCAGGATTTTGTAGGGCCGCGTGAAAGCCAAAAGAGGCAATTTTGCAATTCAAGAACTAGGCTGTATCCGCAATGGTTCCAATTATGTGTGCGCCAAATTTTTCGTTCCTAGGTATTTCCCTTCTCATTTTGTACGAAAAAGTACTGAGCTCGCAGACTTTTGACGCACCCTGCACTTCAATTCGTAGACAAATTGAGATTATTCATGACTGCATTGCCATTTCGCTAACGTTTTACTCCTCCGAATATTCCAAAAGTAAGAAGGTCACAATTTACGAACATGGTCTTCCAATATATGCCAGTGCAAAATGCTTCTGACCACGTCCATAATCCGACTATATGAGTGCTGGTCGTTGTATAAATCTTCTCCAGCAGTGCTATAGAAAGTAGCTGTGTTCTAAAATCGGGCAATATTCAGAAACTGAGAAGAATCAATTATGAGCTTGCACGCAACCATGCTTCTCATACATTCGATTTTAAACCATTAGATCTTTGTTGAAATAAATTAGAACGACGACTCAGTTTTTTTGCCATTACATCAACTTGTAGGACGGCCCACATGAACTGTGACGGCCTGCAAAAATTATTTCTGGTCAGTTTCACGCCATTCTTGGTAAATGTCTTCTTCTCTACTTTGTTCTGTCCCATCATGGCCATTTTTGACTTCAGGTTACAACATAGAGTTGATCTACCAGGTTATCCCATGAGTTCTGTTCGTTTTGAATTTCACGCGCTATAAGTAGTGCTTGGTCTATCGAAGGTCACTATAAGTAGATCATTCGATAGACCAAGCAAGCTCTACAAGATGGCGCTCTTACTTTTGCACCAACTGTAATCCACCTCGAGTTCGAAGCCGAAAACTGAAAAGATTCAGTGGCACGAAATTCGAGAAGAAATCGCAACTCCGTTCAAAAAAAATCGTACAAAAATTACTTGCTCACGGATACACTTTTTCACATGAGACGTGTTGTACCGCTGCTGTGATTCATCCTAAGCTAGAACATATCAGAACGAAAATTTTCACGTTTGAGAAGGTGACGCTGTGCTGTTCCCGCGTAAGTGAGTGTATTTACAAATCTTAGGAAGTACAACGTAAACTTTCAACTTTCTACAATCATTAGTTCCTGAGAGGATAAAACTACTCTCTTTCGGGTCTTTCACGTTAAAATTCATATTAGAAACGAAGCTGGTAAAAAGCTGAAAATTCAAATTTGTACTTCTAAAGGCTTATAAAATAAATTTAATCAAATGCATGAAAATTTTCGTTTTCATTTATTCTTCCTAGGGAAAATCCAGTAACTCTACATATAAACGTCTCATGTAGAAAGTGTATGCGTGGGCAAGTTAAGAATTTGTAATATTTTTTAGACAGAATTACATAGGCAATTGAATCTAAGTAGTTTCTGGATTCAAACTCAAAATGGATCAAAGATGGTGCAAAAGCAAAAGCATCATGTAGCTTGCTTTGCTCTATCGTGTGGTAATTTAAAACTGAATAAAAAAAAAAGAATTCTATGATTTACTCCGGATGAAAGTCAAAACGGACAGAACTTACGGGACAACCTAATATCAATACCTAATATCATACCTAATATTCATTGACCACAATCGCTATAAAAACGCAAATAGGAGATATTTAAGATTCAGAAAAACACTGGAAGCAATTTTCGAACGGCTGTGGGTTCTTTTGGGTCAAAGCACTATGGACGCTGTATGGAGCTTTTACAGGACTAGGCACAGTCTACGGCGAAAGGAAGATTCTGCAATAATGTAAAATTGTCTTTCAGACATTTGCACAAATTACAGGTTTTCCAACTTGCCCAATTTTGAGCCCATGAATTTTCAGTTTGATCGTGTGATAGCAAGAAGTCTGCTCTTTCACTCTCAGTTCATTTAAATCGCTAAGAGTATACTTAATGAGAGTTTAAGACAATTTTGCCAACCATTGCGCGCACCTTGAAAATTTTCCGGCACAGAAAAATGCTTTCATCGAAGGGAAAAATATCATGGAAGTGCCGGTAAGAACTTATCTAGAATTTCTGTGCCTAGTAATGGAGATGAAAGCCTCTAATTTTATTCAGCTTGCAAGTACAGTTCATCTGGACTACCACGTACCACATATTCCCTCCCCCCACTTCTTCAAGCACTCTTATCAGGGCCGCGCGAACGCTAGCCCCACACGCAAAAATTAAGCTGTTGGCCAACCTCAGCTCGAGGCTGCCACACGGGTCAGCCATCGCTAAAGTGCAATGCGAAGCCTCACCATGGGGGTCCCGCCTTCTTGATCGCGAGATCCCCCCAGCCAGGTAAGTTTAAGCGCAGTCGCTCTTGGCGAGGGCACCTTTCCTAGCAACGTACTTTTTGCACGTACTACCACTGCATGATTGTCTACGAAGAGAGAAGCAGAGAAAAACAGCACTGTACTGACAGGGCGGACATGTCAGACGTGACTAAAAGTTGTCAATGGAAAGATGGTTAAAAGGGAGGGATTTACACGTGGAACATGGTAAAACGTGATCCTAGTGTCAGAGGCCACACCCAGTACTCCCCGCGCCACGCTACAATTTCCACCCGGACCAATATCGGCCGAAATCCACATTCTCTGGAATCAAAACCATCGAAGGGGGGGGGGGGGGGAAGGGCAACACGATGACAATTTCTGATATGCTACATATGGCGTGTTCTGGCTTTAACAGGAAATATTGTAAAAAATTTTGATTTAGCTTGCTTTTTGCTAGAAGCAGTTAGACCTAGAATCTTGAGATGTGCTTTTGCCACAGAACAGTCCAGGTTGTGATTGTAGACGTGACTTCCACTCCTCAAACAGTCGAAGGTATACCTCCGGAGAGCAAATAGCGGGGGTCTGCCACTTCGTGCTCCGGGGCTCCTCCAAATCTGGCGCACCCCCGAAGCAGAGATTTGTGAGCCCCGGGGAGGGGTCCCATTCGCCTTCTGCGACGTCACCGTGACTTCACCGTGACGTTTCAGTAATTCTGCCTTTGGTAGCGCACAAATTATGATAATTGAACTGTGCCTAGAAATACTCGTTCGAAACGCTGTTTTAATTTGTCTGCTTTCAGTTTCATTTTTTGTCTTTCAATTTCAAAAGTGTCCAGTGATGGTGTTTAGTCATAGACGTTGCTTCTTTGACATAAAGCAGGCAGCACAAGCTAACACAGACGATTTCGACTATCCACTAACGCATGGATTTCATAATATTCTTAAATGGGAAGTATAGATTTGGATTCAGTGTTTGGAGACGAGTGTTTCCACCTACATTTTACGAGGAAAGAGTACTGTTACACAAACTGAGATCATTCGTAACTATACTGCCAATTCGCCAACAAGTTTTGTCCTTCGTATGTTCCAAAAGTAAGGAGATTACTATGAATATGCTCAGCGTTCCGATCTACGTTCGCAATTCTTCTGAACTTCTGCAGCAGAAATGATTTCTGCTAACCATAGGAGTATGTGGTAAGTAGTAATGACAGTCCGAAACCGTCAAGGGGATGACATGCGACGCAAAGATAAGCCACGCCCCTCCCCCCCCCCCCCCCCCCCCCAAATCTTTGCAGGCACATGAACCCAGAATTTTGAAAAAAGAGGACGTTATTTATGCAAGCAATCTCAAGTACCGGACATTTCCAGCAAAAATTTTTATGAGTTCTGAATAATTCGAGAGTATTGATGTAGTTCTTTTCTCACAGGATTGTCGATAGCTTCTGTTGTTATTGTTTACGGTGATGCCGTGACGCAAGGAACAATAATACAGTTTTCTGGTATACGTGGATCTTTCGTGGGTGGGATGTTCCCCTTCGATTGGCCTTGAGACATTCCGGGGATGTAAAACGTTCAAGAAACGGACCAACTGATTGATAATTATTCACTCAGTTTCCGTGCGAGCTCAGCTACCACATTGAAAGGCTGGATTTGAGATCCAGATATAAACTGATCAACGAGCCCTTTCGGTTACTGTAGAGTTAGGGGTAAGAACTTGCACTATTTCTATGCCGTAATATCAGGCAATATATAAAAGTAAACAAGACGAAGACAAGCTAATACAAAGCACGTTGACGATTTCGAGGCACATTTGCAACAAGAAAGACTGGGAACGGAACAGGATTGTTGAGGTTTTCGCGGATTCTCAACTTCATATACGGAATTAGGGGCATGAGAAGGCCCCGGAATGATGAACAGGAAGTCGAGAATCTGGGTAGAGGTGCCTTGAAGGCAGCGTCCAGGCAAATCTGGGCCTATGAAGATTCCCCTTGGAGGGTAATCTTGGAGCTCTAACTAAAACACTGCCCAAGCGGCAGAACTGGTGAGCTCACAGTTGAGACATTCGCCTCCAAACTGGACCCCGAGATCGTTTTCGCATGGATTCATTGCACGACACATCAGTTTCGCGCGAGGACCATGCGTGTCGCACCTTATCCATGCGAATACGATCCCGGGGTCCAGTTTGGAGGCGAATAGCTTGGGCAGTGCCTTAGTTAGGGCCCCAAAAGTACTTTCCACGTAAAAGCCCCATAGGTCCAGATCTGCCTGGACGCTGCCTTTAAGCTGCCGCTTGGGCAGTGTCTTAGTTAGGGCCCCAAAATTGCTTTCCACATCAGAACCCCGTATGTTCAGATTTGCGGACGCTGCCTTTGAGGTTGATAACCTATGCTTCATCCGCACGGCGGAGACATGGCGCCAGTGCAGGCTATTGGCGTCACTAAAGCACTTCCGGCAACTAAAAAAGAGTTGTGAGCCACTATTAATTGTTGGCAAGGAACCAGTTTGTGGTGAACGCCTTCCGCCCACTGGGGTGAGTCATTTCACATAAAATACGCCGTCCTTTCTTTCGGAATGCTCGTGTGACCGGACGTACGGTATATGCCCAACTTCCATCGGCTGCGAGATAACGTGCTACAAACAAACAGAGCCCTAATCTTGTTTAAAGACCTTATTTTCGACGTATTTTCTTCAGACACACTATCAAGAGTGAAATCTCAAATTTTTCCCCGGTGCAGCATCTCTCTTCCGTCTAGAAACTTCAAAATTGCTTTTTTTAGTTGACTCTTATGTCACTGGGGCTATTTTTATGCGGAATTGAGATGAACTAGTTGCGATTTCTTTTCTTGCATAGTTACGTAAGGTAGTCACATAGACGTATCTTTTTGTTAATTCCCTCTTTTCTACTATCTTCTTCTTCTCACTCAGATAAAGCATGAGCAAAGCCGAAGTCGCGGATTTGCCCCAAAAAATGTAGCCGGTGTTGATGTGTGTTAATTCCAAAACAAACGGTTCGTTCACTACTCTTGATTTTTGTCGTTCCCAATATCTTCAGTAGAGTGTGTTTCGCCACCGTTTGTGGTATTCCGAGGAGAAGCCCCAAATTATTTCTGCCCCAAAATTGTATTATTTGTTTCGATTTGAGATGAATTTGATCCAACAGCTGACGCATGCCTTACAGTTCAGTAAGCGTGTACTTCTTTACCTTTTTATTCTCCCCGAAGATTTGTGCGGTGCGCAATGTCATTCTTGGAATGATCGAAACATTTTTCGCAGTAGGTTTCCTAAGAACATGATCACACAAGGCATTATTCAAGACGTATCCAAGTAAGCGCAAAGTCAACTTCCCTGCTGCATTAATCTTGAGTCTAGACTGTGCCCTAGAGCAAATGTGTAGAAATGAGCTAGATACCAAAGTCGATATCATTATAATGATACAACATGGAATCGCCAGGAAAAATAACCTTAATTCATATGACTTCAGCGATTTTGAAGTTTATAGGGAAAAGCAACCCTGTAACTAGTAAGAAGTTTTATAGTTTCTTTATGGTAGTGTGTTTGAAGAAAACACCGCTGAAAGTAAGGTGTTCTAACAAGATTTGGGGCTCTGTTTGTTTGGAGCACGTTATCTCGCAGCCGATGGAAGTTGGGCATATACCGTACGTCGTGTGACCGTCGTTGACTATGGGTGACACAGACTGCTCCGCTGTCGAATGACGCTCCAACGCCATTCAAATGTCCTCCACGATTGCCTCATGCTGCTTGACTTGAGGCTTCTCACTCGTTTTTCCTTCTCCATGTTCAGCTTATATCAAATCTGAGATCAAAAATAATTGTTATAGGTAATAAAAGATTCGCATTTGCGAATTTATAGAGAGTAAAAATGGTGCTCGATATGGATATGTTTCGCGAGGAGAAGGGTGAGTGCGGATTTGTTTAGTGCATGTTTTAACATCATAATATTCGGAATTTATAGGTGGAAATCCCGAAGTCATCCGTGAATCGCAGAGGAATCGTTACAAAGATCCAGGGTTGGTTGATAAGGTGATTGAGCTCGATCAGGCATGGAGAAAAGGTAATTGCAAGCTTCCTTATCTGCTAAAAAAGAATATTGATATTTATTCTAAGCGCGGTTTCTGCTTGATGTATTCAATCGGCAAAAGAACGTGCTAAGCAAAGCCATCGGGGAAAAGATGAAGGTATATAAATGTGCGCGATTGCATCATCGTGCTTTCACGGAAAGATTTTTTGTTTTTAGAAAAAGGAGGCTCAAGGCACAGACGACAGCATTGATGAATCGATCACTTCAAAGCTGGATTCTTTGAAAATTGAGGATCTCAATGTAAGTCGTTGTGAATCATTATCTCCAGTTTATCGTCATGATCAGTGTTTTCAGGGATTATCGGTAATGCAAATCAAAAAGCTACGAGTTTTGCTGGATGAGAAAATGGCTGAAACAAAGGTGAAACTATTGGAAGAAACTATTTTATGTCATTATAAATCTCCTTTTTGAAATTGTAGACTTCGATGGAGAAACTGGAGGAAGAACGCCATTTCAACTTGATACAAATAGGGAATATCGTCCACCACAGTGTCCCAGTATCGGACGATGAAGATAACAACCGAGTCGAACGCACATTTGGTGACATAACCAGGAAAATGAAGTATTCCCATGTGAGTTGTTCTTGTTGCGAGTTTCCTTGTGAATAAATCAACAATTTGCAGGTTGATCTCGTCTGCATGATCGATGGATTTGATGGAGATCGGGGAACATCAGTTGCTGGTGGACGCGGTTACTTCCTCAAAGGACCGCTTGTTTTTCTTGAACAGGCAATAATCCAGCTTGCTCTGCAAAAGTGAGCTTTTTGTATGCGCCTTTCTAAGGAATTTTCTTGAATTTTCCGTTGTCAGGTCGTAATGTTTATAGGGTCATAAGATATGTCACTTTTTGGTTTTGCTTTTAATCACTTCATATTTCTAGCTGTTTTTCATCATTTTATACATTAGTAAGAATTGAGTCTAAAGAGGTGCCACTTTTTTGCTTTCCTGTTCCTTTTTTGCTTTGTAGTCTACATGGGAATATCCACTTAGGTTCTACGCTGCGCTCTTCTGCCTCGTTTTTCTCAAAGGCTGTGACAAAAGAGATAACTTCAAAAGGAATTCATTGGTGACTTCATAAGGTTGAAAAGGTTCTCAATTTAGGCTAGGAGAAAAAGGCTTTGTTCCGCTCTACACGCCGTTTTTCATGCGTAAGGAAGTTATGCAAGAAGTCGCGCAACTGAGCCAATTTGATGAAGAACTTTATAAGGTAAGTGTGAACCTACATAGTCACTATCACTCCGAGATTGCGTCTACCTAGTATTGATTTAGGTTTGTGGTAAAGGTTCAGAAGTGGTTGGAGACAATACAATTGATGAAAAATACTTGATTGCCACTTCGGAACAACCCATAGCTGCTTTCCACAGGAATGAATGGCTCAAAGTGTGTTCTTTGTTTTGATATTGATTTACTTCTATTGGCGCGGTTCCATAATCTGGTCAAAAATTTGAAAGTTCATTGTGTTTCAACTTCGACAATCTTATAGTTTGACCGTCAAAGTCTTTTTCCCTCTCCGTAAAGCGTCTGGTTTTTTGTCTATGCCATTGAAATCTCTCTTTTTCTTTCGAGGTTTTTAGCGACTTTCGAGTAGGGGACATTAGGTCGTTGAAAGGGGAGGTAGCACGCGGACATTTGCTACAAACGCGGGCCTTCACCTATACTGCCTCGTGCTTTCTGTCCATGTGGGTGGTGCCAATTGTCGACCTGATGTCCTCTGCCCCAATTTTCTCGATCTCATAGGGAACTAAATTTCGCTTGAAGATAGAAATCTCCATCATACTTGCATTTCGGTGCTCCTTTAGATTATAGGGTCACGTTATATTGAACATCGTTGCTATTTTTGTTTAGGAAACCGACCTTCCTCTCAAATATGCTGGAATATCCACTTGTTTCCGTCAAGAAGTGGGTAGCCATGGAAGGGATACTCGAGGTATATTCCGGTGGGTTTCTAGTCACATCGCATCGTATTCAAGTGCACACATCCTTCCGTCACCGTCACAAGTTTATACAATGGTTTTAGAGTACATCAGTTCGAGAAAGTTGAGCAGTTTGTTATCTGTTCGCCGAATGATAATGAATCATGGCGGATGTTCGACGAGGTATGCTGCAGCTTTATCATTGTATTTAGTGGTATTCCTCCAACATTTATACTTTAGATGATTGGAAATGCTGAGGAGTACTGTCAGTTATTGGGTATTCCTTATCACATCGTATGCATTGTTTCGGGCGAGTTGAACAACGCCGCTTCAAAGAAGTGAGCAGTTCCAGACAACGAATCGATCCAGTCTTTTCAACCTTATTTCATCTAGGCTTGATCTCGAGGCTTGGTTCCCTGGATCAGGTGCTTTCCGAGAGCTTGTATCTTGTTCGAATTGTACTGATTATCAAGCTCGAAGGTTGAAGGTTCGTTACGGTATGACGAAGAAAATGGATGGAGAGGTGTGTTGTCTATACGGTTTACTATCTACTCATTTCATTATTGAAATTTCGCGAACTGTAGGTGCCGTTCGTCCACATGTTGAATGCAACGATGTGCGCTACTACTCGAGTTCTGTGCGCTTTGCTGGAGAACTACCAAACTGATGATGGTATTGTAATACCTGAGGTACTTCATAAAGTTTCTTTTATAGTTTTTTCATTATTTATTACTTAGAGTTTTACGGGTTTTTCGGCGCCATTCCAATCTCCGAGTCCCATATGTAAAGTCATGTGTTTCGCTCAAACTTGGTTCTCGGGAGTTTTTCGATTAAACCCATATGATGGAGTGTGTATGGTAGAGGATTTGTATGGTAGAGGATTTATGGTAAAGGGTTAAAAACACAGGGGCACCCACATAGAGTGACCATAACCCAAACTGACGTTTTCGTGCACAAAAGTGTGATATCGTGATCGGCATGTCGAAAGACGTACAGACCGAGTTTGAGCGCAGTCCGCGATACTGAAATCACTCCTTCACTGGGATGGTCCTGTTTGTTCTATATTACACGCCGAAATGGTTTTCAAATCTCAGATTCTTCATCCGTTTATGCCTGAGAAGTACCGAAAATTCATCCCGTTCGTCAAACCTGCTCCTATCGATGAAGATGCAAAGAAAAAGGCAGAAAAGGCAGGAAAATAAAGACTATTTATTGTGCTTTGTTTTATGAACAGATATCTATGAAATTAAAACTGTTGAGACGCTAAAATCTCGGTGCACTCATCTGCACTGGATGTCTATCGTTAAACTGGCATGCTCTCCGTTGTTGTTCCCCTTCTCGGTTCTATGGGCTTGGGCTTTTGTTGTGATGTGAAAGCATTCTCACTGTATTGTTACTTTGTTAATAAATATTCCTATCTTTTGTCTCCTGAGAAAACCACAAGTAATTTCGTTAGATAGTTTTGCCAGGTCATGACAGGAGTCACGACAAATTGGCAGTGCAATAGGCCAAGATTATAGAATTGGTGTCGAACACGGCACATTAAAGCACGTTTAAGTCATTTGAGTTACGGAATTTCCATACCCCGAAAGGCTTGCTCACGTAGTTAGCAGAATTTATGAGGGTTATGAACTGGCCAACGCTGTATGCATTCAGTTTGCACCGAAGACTAGTTGATTGTGCACACACTAACTTCCATCATTCTACAGTTTAGGGAACCAGGATTTTGTCAAAATCCGAACTCAGAACTCATGATGTATAGTCCGATTAGGGTAAAAATTGTATCTAGGGGTGCTTTGTCTATCCTTTCCGAATATGACGATGATTTTGCTTCAACCTTGACTTTTTGAATTTCAAACGTGTTTTCACAGATTTTCCGACCAAAATGTCAAGACTGCTATCTAAGAGTTCTCTACGATGCTCTTTCGAACATGCTAATGTTTCGCTTGAAAGGCTTTTTTGAAATTTTAGTTTCTCATAAATGTCGCAATCTTAGCAAAATTGCTATTTAGGCTTTCTGATTTCCGAAATCGCTGGCGGTTTTGCCTGAAACCTTGAAACTTTTTTGAATTGTAAAGCTTTTCACAAATTTCACCACGAATTTGATACAGCTGATGTGAGGAACAAACGGAAGAATCTGCTACTTTCAGTAAAATGAAATGAATCCAAATCCGACCTACTAGTGTGTGTGTGCCATCCGATGCTACAAATATTGGAGTGGAAAATGCATCTTTATCAATGAACAATCTTTGTATATACTTAAGAAAACGGAAGAGACGTGCAACATAGAAGACCGCAGCGCTGATAGACACAAGCGCAGTGCTTCATTGCCGTGGTTACCCGTACATCTTTTCGAAGCCAAAGCTCCCCGCCACATCGTTTAGCCATTTTACAGGATTTTTAGTTCAAAAAGTTGTCAAGCTTGAGCGGAAGTACAACAGCAGACTAAGAACAGCAATATTCTTCTCCGCCGGTGTTGCACTTCATTATTTACTTGACAAGGTGTGTTAAGGACTGTACGGTTAAGAAGGTACACCTTCACGAGAAGGATGGTTATTCAAAGTGGTCATTTGAGACGAGGTGCATATTGCTTTGAAAGGCATGGAACACTGATTCTAAATTTGCCTTCTTTATCCTGCGGGTTTTTGAGCGGGGAGTTGTGGGAGCTTTTAAGAGCAGAAAATTGATGCGCAGTTAGGATGAAAACAGTTCGTAATATTTTTCTCTAGGGCTTATATGGAACTGTGGTAATTGTCGGGTCACTCTATGAATATCCTTCAAATATATTCACTTTCACTGCCTCATTCGAAAGCTAGGGGAAGTTAGCGACTGAGTATATAGGGCATTTGCAAAATTGACGATGGCGCGACCGCGCGCAGCACGCACGCCACTTCGGAAGTCGCATTTTCCTGTTTTTAATTTTCTTCAAATGGTTCTCATGCTTACGTATGAATTCTTGGACTTCTGGAAGTAACTGAGCTGAACGTTGAGGTAATGCCTTCTTGCATGAGCGTTTTATGCTCCTGTGGGCGCAAAATTCGCAGTAGAATCCGTCGTCATGATTTTATAAATAAACTATACACTAACCGTGCATGCAGATTCTTGCACACAAAAATCTTCACAGCTCCTCGCCCAGACAGCAAATAAGAAAGGTAAATTTGGAATCAGTGCTCCATGCTCTCCAAGATGGTACATATTTTATCTTGAGAGGCTACTTCGGCTTACCATCCTTTTCTTTTTAGTAAGTTTTCAAGATTATGAAGTTTCTGTAGTATACCTTCAATAGTAAGCAGTACTCAATTTTATGGATGGCATCAAAATTTGAGGAAACTGTTCCCATGATTAAAGCAGCAAACTCTGCCCTGGAGACCACAAATTTTCGAGCCTTTCAAAGTCTAGGCACTGCGTTGCTATGACTACAGTGGCCATCAGCACACCACCCATGAAATACCAAAACAATGTTTGTCAAGCGTGCGCTATTCATGCTTGGAAATTTTGCACAGAACGAATCCAATCTGATTTCTTTCTTTTTGCTTCTTCTTGTCATTTGTCAGTTTTTCTGATTACAACAAAGCGCCAAAGTGTGCTTCCCACTATCAGTAAAAGTATTCGTGGAGTCAGGAGCAATGTCGAGATGGAGTGAATCAGTCTATAGCGAGCCGAATTCGGCTAGATCATCACATCAGGGATTTCTTGGGGAACTGGATGCTTGCCTCTATGAGGGAGTGCCAATGCAAGGTAAATGCACAATTTTGAAACGGTTGGACGTCATGCGATATTAGCATTGTAGATAATTATATTGAAAGCTGCATAACCATGAAGAAAAAGCATTCAATGTAATGCTTAAAATTACAGATCCGTTGCTTGATGCAGAGGCAAGAGAGTGGGCTGCCAGATTTGTTCATTTGAGAGTGCTGGGCGCTAAATGTGGTATACCATCCACAAAGTCGCAAAACGACAATCGACTGTCATCAAATGCCACTCAGCCTCCGTTCGAGGTAAGTGGCGTTCTATAACTTTCCAAGTTGAGACTGGCCGGCAAAATCGTCCTTCCTTGAGTTCATTCATACCAAATTTTCGTAATTCATAAACCTTAACAAACTGTTTTCAGTGTTAACTTAAAACCAGAAGTGATGATCTTCTAGCAAGCCACTCACAAAAACATGCCCTTCCTTGCAAACAAGTGCTCCCCAAGAAAATCCCATTCTTGAAGCAATCCCATATTTGTATCTCAAAATAACCACTATATTAGGCTGCTGCATAAGTTCTGTCCGCTTTTTTGCCTTATGTTTGAAGCAGCTGTTCCGATATAATTCCATCTCTAAATAGGATAATGTTTTCAACAAAAGTGCTATTCTCGCTCTTTATAACGCATATCAAACTTTGATAAACTCCTTAGTCTAACGAGATTGCAGACCTGAGATCCCCTGGTAGCCGAGATACGTTCATACCTAATATGTCCTTGCAAGAAAATTTCCACAAAGCGACCTTCAACTCCTTTAGTTGGTTGCGGACTAAGGGGGCAACGGGCTAATGTATGCACAAGCAATTTTATGAAGAAAAATTCCTGCTTGTAAAGTTTGCTGTGGAACAGGAATTTTTTGTATAGATGCTCTACAGATTCCGAAGATTTTATAGGCACTTTTGGGATTTGTAGTAATCTTCGAAATCTCTTCTATCTATTCACGGCTATTTACTATGTCTGTCAGCGCTTATAAGGGAGCACTGCCATGTCAAAAAGGACAGGTTTGAAGAAAAACGCTGTAAAGGTTTTGCGTTCTTGCTTCTCCTTCAACACCGTTTTTCGCAAGGACTAGTATCTCTTTGATAGCTAAAGAAGTGCTCTACATACAGAAACTAAGACAATGGAAATTGTTGACCTTGAAAAAAGTTATGAAATTTTGAATTTGAAAAATTTTACTGGACAGAATTTATGCAGCACTCTGATATGAAACGCGCTGACAAGCAATAATTGATTTTGATTGAAGCAGTGTTGTCTATAGCTCCTTCTTTTCGCAACTAAAGAACTGTGACGTTTCCTTCCTCACTTGGCTTACATTAGTTGCTCTATAACCAGTCAACCTTCTGGAAATATTCCTCGAGCCACTTGTAAGAGGAGACGCAGAAATCAAAGCAAAACAGAATCCCTTAAATTGGTTCATTTTAAGTTTTCTTTTCTCAACTGAAACCGAAGTACACACTGTAGATACCCGTAATAAACAGCAGCTGAAGCTGCATTATGTAATTCAAGTTCAAGCTGCACGTGCTGGGTTTATTGTCTTTTCTTCAATAACTGCTAAGTAATTCCATGTATAGCCTGTCCTACGTTTCGCATTCTTCGTGAGAATTTTTTCCGACAATCTGATCTGTTCAAAACTTTTGAGCTTTTACAACAGTATCTCAAAGTTTTCCGAGATGATGTGTCTTCAAATACAACTTACATACTTAATTTAGAAAACTACTCCAACACCATCGCGAACGGAAGCGAATACATTGACGAAATTACAACACTGTAAAAAGAACTCGAAGTCTGCTCCGAAACCCCGCAGCGTCAGCGATCACCTACCAAAGTTGTCAAATGTGAAAAGAAGCAACACATGCTTGAATGCTTAATTCTTCATATCTTCTGCTCACCAGTTTCCTTGAGTTGCCATACTTGCTGTTCCCGTCTTGACATTGCTTGCAATGAAGTGTATTATGATTGAATTTACTTTCAAATCCTTATTTAAAGAGATCGTGATGAAATTATCCTTCATGTATAAAGATCTTTAGTCGCAGTTTTGCTAATGCTGTACAACTAAGAAATTCGGGAATCAGTTATTATATTTTGAACGTTGCAGCACACCAGTCTTCTATAGAGATCCCAACCGTTAGCTGCAAGGTCACTTGACCCTTTTCCAAGTGGCAAAAGCGCAGCCGCAAACCAAGAGTTTCCTCTCAAACTCTAGCCAGACTGAGCCGGAGATGGACATTATGGCTTTATTTTGAGCGTGCAACTACTTCAGCAGATGAGAAAGTAGGTTCGAAGTCGCCTCAAAAATAATTTGTCTGTGCCTCAGGTGTTCCCATAGCTTATGTATCATCTATGGGTAAACAAATTAATTAAACACAACGATAAAAGAAACCATCAATTTTGAAAGTACCAAGCATTGGCAGCATAGTGGAACAAGTTTGAAGAGCAATGACGAAAACAAGATGAGCTTTTCACCAGGGTCAAACGTGCTGACGCTTCGGGCCCTCTTTTAAGACCCCCTCTCCTCTGAAGGTACCCATCGGTACGAACTCCCTCCACGAACCTTCTCCCCTCCAGCCACTCATTTCCACGCTTTTGCGGTTACTTGCATTAATGAATGCCACATCACCTCAAATGATGACCTTACCCAAAAATCAAACGTCAGAGGAAGATGTACTTAAACATTAGGAGATAATGGTGCAAGTAATGGATTGGTAAAAAGCCTCCCAAAATAATTCTGTCTAGATTGGGTAAGTAGGAAAGTTCTGAAGATTTGTTTGCTGTATTGTGGCCACGAAAATGGATGGAAAGGATATCAATTGACGAAGGAGGACATCAAATTTAGTCTGATACTACATTTGAATTACAACTTGCTAGACGTTGAATTACAAACAGGAAATGGTTGAAATAGCGAGTAGAAAAATCCAGGAATACAGAGCAGTTCACTTTAGTCGATATGATTGGTAATTTTATAATAATTTATTTTCAGCGACAGGTAAGATTTGTGTTTGGCACAACTCATTCGTATTTGAGCACTGTACTGAAACACATTCCTCATAGCTTTGGAAATAAGAACGCTCCAGGCTTTATTGATGGTCTCGGGTTCGGTTATCGCGCGCGACAGCATTTCTTGCAGGGAAAAGTTCTATTCATAGAGTGTAAAGAGTATTTGCGACTAGAAATTTATTCTCTACTTTTCGCACAGATTTTCTTGCGAACAAAAGCATTTTAGCGACTTCCAAAACAATGTCAAGAACGTGCATGACAGTACTTTGGAATTTTGTGACTAAAGTGAGGGAAAGCTAGGAGGCTGCAATGAACAGCTCGAGTAGAAATGATGCAATGGAAGATAAAAGTTGCAGAAACTCAAAAGCAGTGAGCTCGAAAAATCTCGAAAAATCTACGTAGTCGCTGCTCTAGCAAATTTAGATGCGATAATGGAAATAAAAAACTAGGATTCAAGCTCAAAATTTTGTAACTCGCTAGAGTAGCAAAGAAACAGCATGAATTGGATAGTGTAAAGTTTCTGTAACACGCTACAACCAAGTGCATCAGAAGTGAGCTTAATTTGATCACTCAACAATCGCAGCCGCGTATCAAGACGTTGGGTCATGGTGGCCCAAAATCGACGAGCGATCGAAATTTGGGATCGGATGAGAAGAAGGACCATTAAAGTAGTTCAAGCTATGTAAGTGTTATCGTTAAGAGATTTTGAAAATTGTTTCGGATCAGTGAAGATAAAAACAGACGGAATCTAGCATATAGGCATTTGAGCCCTCGCCTTACAGAGAAGTTGTATCTTTGTTTTCAACAGAATTGGTCCGAAGACAAATCATTGAGCTATAACAGCCTAGAGCGAAAAAGAGCTACAAGGTAAATGCGATGCGATTCCAAAGTTTGAGATCGTAAAGAGAGAAAATGAACTGGTCTAGCTCGAACGAGCGTAGGCGAATGTTCCATGGCTTAGAGGCCGGCCATAGCATTGTTGTGATTCCTGCAATTCCTGCGATCCCTGTGATTCCTGTGATTCCTGCGGGTCCCGCAACGATGCATATTGCGAAAAAACAATGTATACTGAATTTCACAAAGCGCCTCATGATGCGACACATCGGAATTCGAGGAATCACAGGAATTGCAGGATTTACAGGAATCGCAGTCACCTCCTGAAATAGTATGGCCGGTCCCCTAAAATTTCAGATTTTTCTCCCATGTCGGTATCTCTCTCGTCCGTGAAGAAATATCAATCCATGCTTCGCTATTGTCTTCACTTTCGACAATGAAAGGGCGCGCATACTATTGTCTGAAGCTTAGACGCAATGTGATGAGACCTTCCTTTTGTGGATACTGCAAGTAATTTTGGTACTTCTCTGTTATCCAAACCCATTTTTTTAAATGTTCCCATGAGATAGGTGCTATAGTTTACAAAATTTTTTATTCGTTCCTGAGGGCTGCTCCTGCCAAATGCCATAAAAATTAGCAGATTTGGGCTCAATTTGACATTTTTTCTCCAAAATTTCGGAGTACGGCAGGATTTGGAATGACTCAAAAGCTATCCAGCTAAAGCTATTTTTGTAAGAGCGGAACAGTCCAAAGTTCGTCAAACATCCTGGTCGCTTTGAGCAATAATCCAAAAGTATCTCCCACTTTGAATTGGTTCCTAGCAATTCAGCCAGTAAATATGAGTGACGGTTTAAAGCATCAGGCTGTCGCTTGTTTCGCTGTCTAGATGGTGAACTGATAACTCACTTCTCTGTTTTGAGCAAGTCTAATGTGTTCATTGAACACAGGATGTTATTCTAGAATTTATGTTCATTTTTACTGTGAATAAAATCGCAATGTCAGGTAACGATTCTGCCGAATACAACACTGTCCACATCAGAGAAATTCGGTTCGTGCAGACTTTGAGTCTACATTGCAAAAGACTGCTTCTAGATGTTTATATTCCAAAAATTAGAGTTGCCATCCCGACTAAACTATTTATTGCTAACTACACGGATGAGGTCTCTAACTACTTTCACTAACCGAGATAACTAACAAGCTGTAACATTTCTACAACAGACGACGCTTGAAATTAGAATATATCGAAGCTAAGCCGATCCGGGACATCTTGTGCACGAGGCGGTGGAACCACAAAATCATCGTCATCTTCGATCTGCCATCTACGCACTCTGTGGAGCAACAGTTCCGCCTAAAAACCGAAGTATTTTATCAGTGTCATAATAGAATTTGAGAAACTTAACTTGAATGTTTTGTTGAAGCAATCTTTTATGCCAAATCAGTCAGTATTTCTCAAAACATGCCACATTACTCGTAAAATGAAAAAAATGTGAATAAAGGGCCGGGCATACTTCACGCGATTTTAGTCACGACACGATTTGGCAATTCGCCAGAAGTCTTCATATCCAACATTAGGAAAATGCACATGCATAGTGTGTATAACCGAGAATTGATAGAATGCCTTGTCTTCTGTACATTTAAAATGTGATTATAATGAGTTATGGACAATTGGAATATTGCCAAATCGCTGCGCGACTAAAATCGCGTGAAGTATGCCCAGCCCTTAAGGCGTTTCCCTATCCTAGCAATGATTACTTTCCATGCACTTTGGCTTTACCTACTCTAACCTTTTGTTCTCAGAATTCACTAAAATTTTTTGTAATTATGGATTATACCTTCGCCTGAAGAGTATTTAGCATTTCATAATCTTTCATCGAGTCTTGAACATAGCAAGCTGGCATGTTCTCCCTTCCAAACATGCCCATCGAACGCAGTATCTGGAATCAACATACAGGGGAAGGGTTACAGATGCTCGTGGCTGAACATTTACCTTTGTTTGTATGTGATCAAGGATGTCGTAGGTGTTCGTTTGACGCGAGCTGTCGTTGCGGACCTGAGAATATAATAACTATTAAAAATACAAACAAATACTTACAGGGAAGGATACATGGTTGAAGTAGCGTTTCCATATAAGATATATACTATCTTATAGAGCATGGAACGCTGAATTCCCTGCTTTTGGTATCTGCAAAGCGCTTTTGAGGGGGGGGGGGGTTCTGGGATTTTTTGAGGTGATAAAAATTCATTGATTTGGCTAAGACACTTGTGAACGCTGAGGTCTTTCCGGCACTTACAACGGGTAATGACTAAAACATAGGTTTGTTAGATTGAAGGTCTTCAAGCTATAAAATGCCCTGATAGTAACCACGACCCCATTTGAGCTCACGGACTATGGTTTTAGATGATTTTACTGTAGCGGCGCTTTCAAATTTTCGCATCAAAAAATCTCCATAACTCCTCTCCCAGAAGCGCTTTGCAGAAACCGAAAGTCGGTTCGGGGTCAGCGTTTTATGCTCTGTAAGATAGTATTCATTTTGTATGGAAACGCCACTTCGGTCAATATCCATTCCTTGTTTATAAAGTAATCTCATTGATCTTATCGAGTAGGAGTAATGCGTATCACAAATTGTCAGTCACGAAGAAGTGCATAAGGCCTTCAACTCACTTCTTCGAATTCGAAGAGAATGATCATCACGAATATGTTCATGAGGAACAGTGTGCTGCAGTACATGAAGATCATGAAGATGATTGACGCTAAAAAATCTGTTAGTCATTTTAGACAAGAGTGAGCATTTTCATATAAGCGATAGCGAGAAGTGCTTGTAGATACTTAGGCAAATATTGATTCTTTACTAAAATTAATCAAATCGCGAAGAAGTACTTTTGAACATTTAAAGTATTTCCAATGATTTATTGGAACACTCAGATAGTTTTATTACCTTTCAAAGCTGACGTATTGTTCAGAACTGCAGCTCAAAGTTTAAATTTGTCAAAAGTTTGGTATGTGGTAGAATGCAAGTAAAGGAACGCAACATAAATATTGAAAAAAAATCATCGTTACACTCCACTATGATGCGTGAACCAAAAGAGGGACAATTCTAGAGAACAGATTCCAAGATTGGTGTATTAACACAATCACGACAAGGCCAATTTTTTGATTACTGCCGTTTCGGACCAGAGTCTTTTTCGCTTTGTCAAACTTACGACCCATCTGTGGGTCGTCTTGGAAATTCAAAACATGTCTCCGAGAATTTCTCCACAAGAGTTAACGAAGGTGCTGATTACCAAAATATGATTTATTTCAGTTTTTGGCAGTATACGGTAAGGTTACGGTAGTCATTCTGTACGAACCTAACATCACGGATTTTCATGAAAAATTGTGTTTTGGGGTTATTTCACGTGCTGACCACGATTATATTACGATTATAGTGTCCACTTTGTTCAATACATTCCCAAAGTGGGACTATGGTATTGGGTAGAATTTTCGTAAGAATTAAGAATCTGATGTAAGAAGGCAGTATTAGAATTTGAGACTATCATTTTCGTAATCAGCATGCCAAAAACCTCTATATGTAAACTTTCAACTTCCTGGTACGAACAATGCGAAAAATCAATAAAATCAGTAAAATCGATATTTTTGATTAGCTGACATCAGTTTTGTGCTCTCCCTGTATTCCTCGTGCAAGTAAACTTGAATTTTAAAAAACAGCACCACTCTGCGAAAAATTTGCGCTAAAGTCTGTGCCTTACCTCTATCTACGGTATACCTACCGTAACACTACTTTACAGTATTCCGAACCCGGACCACTCTGGCAGAAGCTTCGCCAAGGTGTCCGCAATCATGTGCCAGAACCCCGTAGAATTCCATCGTATACTGGCAAAACTAGAGCTAGAAACTAGAGCTACTCACCGGTGGGTCGTATTGTAGTGAATGTGTTAAATACCGCATAAAAATATGCAACTAGTAACATTAGCTCGATCAATGCTGAAGGCGTAAACTACCTTGACAGAATAGGATAGGAAGACATTTTGAACTCTCACGTCGGGCACAAAAGGCAAATTGAAAGTACGTTTACATCCTTTGAAGAAAAAAATGCTCTCCAATACAGGAAAAGCCTGAGAAGCTTTGCACCATATACAGGGTGTCCCAAAAAATGTACTCACTTAATTGTAAATAACCATCTTGTAATGAAGTGTTTCGGGAAGCTTTAGGTACCATTTTGTAGAGCTGGCTTCAGTTTAGATTTATAGTACGGAGCGAATCACCGATCGCTCTTCATTACTCTAGGAGTACGGTAAGAACTTGAAACATATGGTGTCAATGTGGAAAAAAGGTGCCATCTCAAAATTTTTTAAAAAAGAAGTGAAAACTTGTGTAATAGGGTTTTTATGGACACTGAGTTCAATACTCAACTATTCACAAGATTGCGAAGCTTTCTAAACGGTATAACCGCATTTTTAGGAACATTGAAAAAATCGCCGCTACCTCTTACCCGACATAACTCTTCAGTGAAGCATCATAATAAGTTGGAAACTTCACATTTAGAATCAGCAACTCTAATTAGCCCAGTGCGAAACTTTTCAGGTTGTTTTGTTTGCGTTCTAAGGCAGAATATGGCCTTTCATGGCTCAAAACCCTCCTCAAAATCCCTACCATAATCCTACAGCAATGAAGAGCAGTCGGGATTCGCTCTATACTGCATATCTAAGTTGAACCACGTTCTACAAAATGGTTCCTAAAGCTTCCCGAAACACTTCATTACAAGAGAGGTATTTACAATCAAACAGTGAGTACATTTTTTTGGAACACCCTGTACAAAAGATTCTATACAAGGATGAAGGTGTATATGTGGTCATCGGAGAGACACCAACCCATTGTGCTAAACCGTTCATATTCACAATTTACCGTACCCACGTGATGTGTGTATCACGCTAGCACCTATTCTCGAAGTTCCAAAAGTAACACCACAGAGCAATTACGATAAAGTCGAATGTGTAGCTTAATATTAGGTCATTCCAAAAGTAATTTCGCTTTTTTCAAACTGACGCCACATGTTATGGAACAAAGATTTCTGAGAGATCTTGACAGCGTTCGATGCAGAATTTCATCCTCTTTATAATGGTTGTATAACTTTTGCACCAAAGTCAATGAACTTTTGGAAAACTACGAAAGTCTGCGATCCATGCTTTTTGAGATGCTCAAGTTTCTCAATTTTTCTAAATTTTTACATCAACCCTCCGAAGGAGTCCAAGTAACGATTCGACAGAGCAAACCTCATACGATAAGGCTTAACTTTTTCCTCGTTTTTGTCTCGCCATAATTTTTTAAGAGATTTATCATTAAAACCATCGAATTTTGACAGGCCTACGTCAGCCACATTCGCGTAAAACACCAATAAATCTTCGAAATTTGAAACTTCCAAGATGGTATTAGATTTAACACTAATTTTGCAAAGCGAATGAGGGCTTACGGAATCGAAATATCTGGTTTCGATTGCGTTCGAAAATATAAATTATGATGGTTTTGTACGCGAAAACTCCAGGAAGGGGAAACAAAAAGCGTCCATTTCAAAGAGGAGAGCAAGCTACATCGAATGACACTCGAACTGCTTACCGTTTGATGTTCTACTACGTTTGAGTTGACCGAGAATGGAAATTGGTAGCATCAATCAAAATTCTATTGAAAAATTTTGAGAAGTTATGTGAAGGAGAAAAAAATGATTTTGTATCCTGTAGAGTTTGCTCTATCGAATCGTTGCATGGACTTTTTCGGACGATTGATGTACACATTTAGAAAAATTGTGAAACTTGAGCATCTCAAAAAGCATGGATCGCAGACTTTCCTAATTTTTCAAAAGCTCATTGACTATGCTGCAATAATTTTATAACCATTAAAAAGAGGATGAAATCTGCATCGAATGCTGCCAAGATTTCTTAGAAATCTTTGTTCCATCACATGCGGCGTCCGTTCGAAAAAAGCGAAATTACTTTCGGAATGACCTAATATATACTCCACATTAGGCGACCATCTCATGACATGGTTTTTGCGGGTTGCCTGTTATTTCGAGTACCCTTTGATTCAACGGGATTGGCGGCTGAAAGGCGGGGCTTCGAGACCTAATCAAGGCCAGAAAATGATCAGAGAGCACGCACACAAAAGAGAAGCAGACTGCGTCGCGAGTGCGAGCGGTTGCCTTCCAGCGCCAATTCCGTTAAATCGAAGGATAGTTTCCTTTTTGTTTTCTTCTTTTCTGTGTACTTGTAAGTGCTATGATTTGCAGGTGCTGTTTCTTTCGCTCTTTTTGTTCGCATCAAATCAGATTTCCTTACCCTACGAAACTCTCATTCAGGCAATATAGTGTTGTAAACTGCAAGTGTTCTGAAGCTCTTGTTCTCTAGTTAATGTCATTTAAAAAAGCTTCAAAAATTTTACCTAGCATAGTGATCTTGAACATGTCAGCGACAACAAATTTGCCCAACATTCCAGCCGTCGTTGTTTCGAATGTGGCCACCACTGATTTATAACTGGAACAAAATTATTCAAATCGAGGACAAGAAGATAAGGTAAGATAAGATAAGCACCTTTCGAATTTGTCCCAGAGCAGCAAATAAAGTGATGCATTGAATGCACAGAAGATAATGACAAATACCACGGCGAAGTCAATCATGGACATTCCAGCGTAATTCAGAGTGTCGGCCAATATGGCGATGCGACGGTTGAAACTAAATTGTGGTACATCCTTTTTTGAAATGTTTGAACCAGTATATCTGCAGCACATAATAAGCAGGAATATCTATGAGAAATCTTCTCCTTCTGTCTCATTTGCCCTAATTTTCAAGCAGTAGATAGGGATGTAGCAAATGCGACTATAAGGTAAAAATCGCAAATTAAATTATGCACATCAAATTATTTTGTGGGTACTAAAATTTCGAGAATGTGCTTACCTTCTATAGCATTCTATAGCAGCATATTTTTTGATTTACCTATCCAAAATGGCCTTAACAATTTGCAAGATCAGCGGAACTGTTAAAAATTCTTGACAACTGACTTTCGATGATATTTTTGCAGCCGTATGATTACAAATTCAAACAATTGGATCTTCTAAAGCTTCCTTGGAAAAATAATGATATTTTTGCAGGCAATATCAACTCATTCATGATTGGTGGATCGCATTTTTTCTAGTTTCAAGAAAGCAAGCGTTTACGATGGATTCATAGAATTTTTCCACAAGAATGGAGGCTCGCAGAAAAGCCCCGTTCAGCTTAATTGAAGTATGGCTACTTCTCCGACCATAGGATACACCAGTGGGCTGTACATTTGGTACAGCGAAAAAGGTTTTGGTCCAAAATGGCAGAGAATGAAAAATGGGTACGGTGGATGTGTTAAGATTTTAAGGAATGATGTAGTGGTATTCGTTACCTCATTGAAACCGTTTCACAGTTGATAGAATTTCACAAGATTTACAAATTTCTTGAAGAATGCACAAACAGAAGCAAGTTAAGTGCATGATTTTCTACCAAATGTAAGAAATGCGCAACCTGATAGAGCCACTTTGAATGATTACTTTCCTTTGTATTTCAAAAAAGAGCGATATAAAACAGTACGAATTCGAGGGTTTTTTATTATACTTACCGGAGGATTTTGATCATTTTGCATGAAATGAAGAAAACGACGCCAGCAACACAGTACGAGAAAAAGAGCTCGAGGTTCCTTTGTATGGATAGGTTAATATACGCATTTCCATTGCTTGCGGCAAACTCGTCAAGTGCCTAAATATTCGATGCAAGGCTCTATTCTGCCGACGGCCTGTATTTTCAGAACGAAAGGGAGTGGTCAAGAAAGTTGCTCAGACAATCGCAAAGAAGCTCCGGAGCAAACTTAGTTTGTAGACCTTCCGAAGCGGATGCTGCTATTGGTCCGTGTGGCATGAGTCGTGTGGCCTTTGCCACACGGACCAATAGCAGCGTCCGCTCCGGAAGGTACAAGCTCAGTTTGCTCCGGAGCTTCTTTGCGATTGTCGGAGTGGAATGAGATTTCAAGTGTAAAATAGACAATAAGGATTGTTCGCAAGGTTTCAGAAAACTTCTCACCTTGCTGATGTGTTTCTCTCGCCAAAAGTAGGCAAACACTGAGCAAATTCCAAGAATGCCCACGAGAAAATCGAGTAGATCCCAGAATCGCCTCAAAACATGACATTAGAAGTCCATCCATGATGAGGGTGGTGAGATTTTTGAGGCTGCACTATAAGGCGTCTAACCAAATAATTACTCGAATGCAAAAGATGAATTCCGAAGCAGAAAATTACTAAAGAATGTAGAAGCGGCCAATATGGCTCCGCCCATCAATGTGGGTGGTCTGACAATAATGAGTTCAAAAGAGGTTTCAGAGTAGCTAAAAATGTCGAAAATCTATCAATCATGGTGAAGGGCGGATTCATGACAGTTTTTAATACATTGAAACCCAATCTTATTATTAGATCTGTTGTTTTCAGACCACCCACGTTGATGGGCGGAGCCACCCTGGCCGCTTCTAAATTCTGGAGCGATTTTCTCGCTTCAGAAATCATCTTTCGGGATTTGGGAATGTATTTACTTAAGCTCCGCTTTCATGCAGCATAAAAATCTCATCATCCTCATTTTGGGTAGACGTTGACTTAGATCCAAATTATTGATTATTATATTATGATATGTGAGATTTTTATATGGACTCACCCCAGAAATATAAATAGGAATATTTTGACCGGGTTCCATTTTGAAGAGATCGATGCACATGCTTTAATCATGTTTCCAATGTAGACATAGGTGTATCTCAGGAAGGACAAGACGGCGAAACAGATGTAGAGATACTGAAACTGGATACATGAGAAAAGTGTTAATTGAACATAATGGACTAGCACTTTCAAAACTGCATAAATTAAGACGCGTTGCTAGCAAATAGGCGTTCAATTTCGTATCTAAGATTAGAAAAAAACTGCGAGTCAGCAAACTTTGGAAATTTAGGCTAAGCAGACAGCGTACAAGTGGATGCAATTTGCATTACAGAAAGCTAGGTAAAACAAGCTTTCTGCAAGCTTTCAATTCAATATTTTTGCCGAACCACATGATTTTTGTGCCTTCCAACATGAATCATTTCTAGTGAAAACGCATCTTCTTTTTGAATTAGGCTCTACAAATATCCTGGAATGCGCATAGCTGATTTCCATGGTCCCCTAGTCGTTCCGTGCTTGTTCTGCCTGACCATTGATTCTAACCAGCTGTGCTGTTAAGGTTGGCACAACGGTTCATCGAGTCAGTGTATTTTCTACGATCCTCTAGGATCATGATTCTGACTCGTTGCTATTTCTCGTTCTGAGAACTACCAAATGGCTTTTTCTGCTTCTCGCGTTTTTTTCTCTTTTTAATGCCAGAACTAAAACCGTTGTTGTTGAAGAATTCGTGTTTCATTCCCTTGAGCATATCAAATGGAATAAAATGAAAAAACGCAAACTAACCTCGAATAAGACGATCATGCCACCATCTACGTTCTGTTCTCTAATTAGGCGCACGGACTCCACCCAAGATGATGGGAGAAGATATCCTGCAACTCACACTAGCTACTACTTCACTATGTGTTTATCAATCATTATCTAGATATAAATGGCCTACCTTCTGCGGGCATTTCGACCACTAGCTCAACGACGGCAAAATAGTTCACTTGCGCATTGTACAGTGAAATTTCCACGATGATTGCTCGAGTATTCTATTAGAATAGCTAATGAAATCGGAAATCTGCTGAAGATACTGTTCACAAACCACATCAATCCAATTATCTCTCTGGAGGGTGCTCAGGGCATCAACTATCTGCGCGGGCGTGCCTTTGAGCAGTACGCTGTAACCGCCACCATCGTACGACCTGATCTTTCCATCGACAGTTGTACCTGCAAGAAAGAATTTTTCGTTACTATCTGGGAATGTCATATTTCCATAGCCATACATTAAGGTTATTTAAAAACAAAGCTTTGTGATCTTTATTGTCTTGCCATTTCTGATTCATAAATTTTCGCACACTTTACACGCACCTGCAGTAGCCCAATGCAAAATTCACAATTTCGCAACAGTGCGTTCAGAGAAGGTTAATGAATTTTGTTGCTTGAATGGCCACTATAAAAAGAGAGAATCTAAAGCGAGGTTAATATTTAATTTCAATCTGCTGCTTCTGGTTTTCAAAATATATGCATCTATTTGGATTTCAAGATCTATGCATCTACAGCTATATTTGCTGCTATATTACGAAGTTTTTGGAACCTGGCAACCTTGCTTTTGTCCAAAACGCGCGCCTTTCGACATACATCCATTTTTCACGCCTACATTTTGAGCAACATCAACAGAATTTTGAGAAATCAGGAGAGTTCGCACATGGGAGGTTTAAGATATTATAATTGAAAATAGAAGCGAAACTTGTTACGCACAGGGTGTCCCAGAAACTGTGAACATTGGTTTGATCGTTAATAACTCTCTTGCTTTCACGTCTTTCGTCGAGCTTCAGGTATCATTCTGTAGAGCGGGGTTCAACTTAAATTTACAGTATGGACGAAACCATCAATCATTCTTTATTACTGGAGAATTACGGTATAAACTTTCAGCATAAAGCACTACTATGGAATAGGTCTTTTGATGGAAAAAATTCCAAAAAAACTGGAAATTTGTTTAATAAGGGTTTTGTGGTAAGGTTTTCAGGCGTGCTGATTCCAGTACACAACTTTTTACCGGTCAATTGAGTTCTTCTAATGGTGTAATCAGACTTTCGACGAACATTGGAACAGATGTTACCCTAGACCTGATATAACTGGAAGAGGCATTACAGTGAAGTGCAAATTTCATACTTAGTCCAATTCAAAACTCTGTAAAGGGGGCTTTGCAGAATTTGTGTGTTTTGGCCTTAACAGATTCCCAAAATCTTAACGGCACATTTCAAAGAGTGGTGGAGGTCGAAGCTTGAGCGACTGAGGGAAAGGAGGACTTAAGCGGGTCAAAATATGGGAGCTTTTTGTTTTTCATACTCTGAAATGTTTATGCGGTGTAAAAAATGTTCTGGATGTTTTTTTAGAAGCTTCATGCTAATTTTCTGTGTCACAAAGATGCACAAAAATTGTTAGCTACAGAAACATCTCTATTACGGCTCTGGAAAAATTCGTACCTTCAAACTTAAACATCAGAGCCTTAGAATTTACTGGACACGTGTCCAGCAGATTCTCCCCAAAACAAAGAAAAAGTTCAGTTAAGGGTAGAGCAGGTGCACAAAACTCATATACCAATATTTTTGGCACTTGAAAAATTCACCCAATTTCAAAAAGGTACTACAGTACAGTTGATATAGTGTGATTGCCTAAAAGTTTCATCTGCCGCGATCCTATACTCTAGGGATGGGGCACATCTTGTTGAGATTGTCATGTAACGAGCTGTGAGCTTGATGCACAGCTTGGCCAGATAATAAGTACAAGCATTGTTTTAAACTGGCTACTATATAACAATCGTCTGCCAGACGGACGCAAAAGCAGTAATAGTTGAGCGGTCGCTATCTTTACCATTGTAAACCCCGCGCCCCATGCGCTTTGGGGTGTATGTCAAGAGACGCGATTTTTATTGCTAGATGGACACCAGCACATAATAAGTGTTTATGACTTTCTAAAAGTTTTCAAACTTTAAAAGGAGTATATTAGATAGTTGCATGGGTTGTTCAATCTTAATACCTTGGTCGGTTCAAAACAGCAACTTTAAAGGTCAAAAACCCATGAAAATGCAGTTGAAAACAAATTCGTAAATATTTCGGTCCATATTCCAGCAAAAGCCACCAAACTCAGCAATTAGTAATGTCAGACAGATATTAAGCTAATGCACTATATCTGATACTTTTTGAGGACTTGCATAGCACTAAGTTGGAGATATAAGCTAGTGACAACCGGAGAAATCGCGCATGTTGACCGTCTCCCTGCGCTTCGTGGCTAATCGAACCGCATTCGCGCGCCTAAATTCTGAGTCTCTGTTTAGCAGACTTATGCATTAATAGATAAGTGAGGTAACAAAAGTTCCTGGTACTATAGTGCTCTAAGTCAGGCATAGTGTTTGTCATCAAATAGGATAGGAATACATAAATTTTATACAGTGCGCGCAGACTGCACGCAGAACACCTTTACAAACAATAATCTGAGCTCACTTTGCAGCTCTTCCGCTGTCTGATATTTGTATTCCCGAGGCGCTTCTTCATCCACTTTTTTGACATATGGCTTCCAACCTCTTGCATATTGCGGAGTGCGATCTTCAGTGCTAAATAACTTTGATTGAAAATGCGATAGAGCTGGCAGTGCAGGCTTCCTACAGAGCAATCTGCTTGCTGTTTTTGAGGAAGCTAACAAGGAAAGGATACTCGGTGACCGGGCAATTTGAAATGCGATGTATACCATACGGTGCACCTCGAAACGATGATTCTAAACCTGCGCATAGCTGCGAAGCGATCTTCTGAAGGAAGTTATGAAGTTTTTTTGTGGGAAATTTGCGTACTTCAAGGTAGCTGAATTCACCAAATTTGTTCTAGATTACCGTTTGAAGATTCAAGAGAATCTTGAATGGAATACTGTTGCATTATACCTATCCAAATCATATTCAGCATTTGAAAAGGAAAGAAAATTTTTCATTGGTGATTTTGACCCTCCGCAGTAGCGCAATTTATTCATGAAGAAATAATCATAACTCCATCCAGGTTGTCGTTTCGCAGATATGGAAGACAGCATTTGAACCAGCATAAGGCGCATTTTTAATATACAAATCATTACGAATAGCCACGGTCACCAAGTATCCTTCCCTTGTAAGTAGTTTTCTTGCAAGAAGTACTGGGTAAGCAATTGCCTTCGGCCGTTTACCAAACGTTACTAGGAGCAAAAATATTTAAATTCGCATGCATACTGTACTCAAGACTTTAGAATACCAAAAAGGCGTTGATGATTGAGAAGTTGCTTGAAGAAATATGATGGGAACAAAGACTCTTTTCATCTTTATTCTCTCGGACAGGTTGTGTTGGGGCTTAATTAGCCCCAACACAACCTGTCCGAGAGAATAAAGATGGAAAGTTAGATTTTATTCTTCTCGATGGTAGGTTTTTGTAAAAGTGTAGGCATCCTTTGCGAACAAGAAAAATCTTTTGATAGAAGGTTGCAGGTGCTTCTCTGCAACGAAAATCGGTTCATCAATCCCTTCTGCGTAAGCCCATAAAATCATACACCCCAATTTCACGAGTACGGGACGCACCTGTTTTTTTCTAAATTTGAAGAGCCTGAACACACCAAACATTTCGCGACCACAGGACCCTATACAGTGCACCGTATTAAGAGGTATTGTGCGGCATAAGTTTCGTTTTCTGAAACACAACGAGACGGTTGAGGGGCTCGCTTGAAAAATCGAAGAGGTGCTCTCATAGTCGTGAAATTAGGGTACTTTTGCGCATTTTTCGGAGTGGTAATTGTCCACTAAACATGTCTCGTAAGTTATACATAAGCATGGGAGATTTTATCTGATTCTCCTCTATATTTTTACGCTATCTCGTCAGTTCAACTTACATCCCCTAAACTTATGGGCAGGGCGATAAAATGATCGCGGCACTTGACCAGAAGGTCTTGTGACATCAACTGCAGTTGAGTTGCCATCTCAAAGCAAGGGAGGGTGGACGGTGGTAAGTTCAACTTATGAAGTTTTCTGTGGGTCAGCTTTCAACACAAAGGGTGCAATACAGGCTATTAAGCTGCAAGATGCTATAGATATCGGGATTCGCGACTTCCTTCAAAGGAGGCCGCCGCCGCGCTGCGAAGGGCTCGCGAAACGCTGTCCTCGCGCTGCTCCCGCCTTCTTACCGCTACTGCCGCAGCTTTCAAATTAGTCGTCAATGTTGTTACCTGGTGAGCGGTTGGGTCCCAGTTTCGTTTTCACTTCTGTCGATCGATGCAGCGCCGTGCCCAACTTACGCTTCATCTACATCCAACACGCCACGGAGGACAGGCAACCCCGCAGACGAGGTAACCCCGTGTCGTGATAAACACACGACCCATGCCCAAATTTCAACTCTTTATTCTTACCCCTTTGTAATCCTTGTGTTTACATCGTAAGCTTTTCACAAAGAGTCCGCCATATGGCGGACCCTTTGTGCCCGTTAGAGCCAGCCTCCTGCTGGCCAGCTCTACTCACTCATCATATTGTCGTGTGCCGGAGATACCGACTTATTTTGTTGCTGAATAAATCCATCTAACTCCCTCTAGTGTTAACAGGGCACGAAAAGGGTAAAAGAATCCCACTGAACCACCACAGTTTTGGTGCATCGGCCGGGAAATAAAAACCCGCCGATATTTTTTCTACAGGTCAAATCCTGTACATCTGTCAAAACAAGACGGAAGTGGTGTTGCTGAAGAATCCGCTCACCATTAGCGCCAAGACGCTAAAAACGCTGATGAACATATTCAAGGAATATACAAAAAAACCAGTTTATTCCTCAGATGACGAAAAAGCCTACGATGAAAGCGAAGCAGCCGCGAATCTGATAAATCAAGCGGTACAGCAAATAAATGTTGCAAAAAATGAACTAAAAGCACTTGTCGCTCAAATCAAAACAGAGTACTACAAAATACAACTACCGGGTGAGAAAGAAGACTTCTCCGATGCCTTGGAGAAACTCGAAATCGATACAAATTTCAATGAAATTCTAGGCGCAGCAACAGAAATGATTTTTATGCTTCAGACTAGACTAACCGAAGTAATTAGCACTCGGAACAGACTGGGGCGCAAACTAGGACACAATGTACCTACACAACAAAACTACACAGCAATCATAAATGAATTTCCGGCTCAAAATAACAACGCTGAGCAAAATGAAGTAATCGAGGAAAGGATGGATATCAGAAAATAGTAATGATAACATCGATGCAAATCAAGCGGATACAATAGTACAAACCTGTAACAATGTGAAGACTCCCGCGCTGGAGGTGCCCAAGTTTTACGGAGTCGAGGAGGACTTCCCGGAATTCTGGGCAATTTACGACACGCTAGTCCATAGAAACACCACGCTCAGCACGGTGGAAAAGATGTTGTTTCTGAAGGACAGCCTAAAAGGAAAGTCTGACAATGCGATTAAAGGCATACAGCTAATACCACAAAACTATGGATGGATGATTGATGCATTGAAAAAGAAATATGGGAACAAGCCAATAAACAGAGCAAGAATAGTTCATAGACTTACCTTACTCCAGCGACGAAAACAGCAGAAAGTTGTGCTCAAGTGTTTGACCGAATCCAAATGCTGGTGAACCAGATGGTCTCAGCAGGTCAGGACATAGGCAAAACAAATGACGCCATGTAGACAGAAATGATCCTAGAAAAATTTCCGTATGATATAGTAAAAAACGTGCTCATCGCGATCAAAAGCAAAGAGGAAGTATCGGTCGAGGAAATAATGGAAAAAACTGAGAAAGAAATCTCAGCAAAAACCTATGTGCAATCACGGACGAAAGTACATCAAAAAAGAGGTGAACCTACGGCAGAAACAAAAAGCCCACAAATAACAATAACTGGTCCGCTTTGCGCATTCTGTGAGAAAGGCGGTCACTGTGCAACAAATTGCCGAACTATTACAGACATACAAGCGAGACGTAATATAGCGATCGAAAAACAGTCATGCTGGAAATGTTTCTCCAGTAAACATCTTAGTTCGGAGTGTCAGCGTCCGAACTGTGCCTCTTGCGGCAGACAACACCACAGTGGTTTATGCTTTGCAAGTAGACAACAGAGCTCTAGTGGCACATCGAGGCCACCTGCACGAAAACAAAATTCTGCCCCTTTCAAAAAGCCAGACGAGCACCCACCGGTCAACTGGAAGAGCAACTCCCCGTATAATTTACGTCAAAGAAATAAAACGAATTCGCGACCTAATTTAGCCAACCAAGCAAATTTTGGCATAGAAAAAACAGGTGCTGATGTCCAAAAAAGAGAGCAAATCGTCCTCATGACTGCTGAAGGGACCATTTGGAACCACAACACCGAAAACTTCGAAAAGGTGCTCTTCTTTTTCGACACCGGAGCGCAAAAAACAGTAATTCGTGAGGAACTAGCGCAGAAATTAGGCTTACCTAAGCTGAAGACAGAAACATGTGTAATGTCTGGCCTCGGCGGTCATACCGAAATGTTCGAAAGCAACGTTGTTTCAATAAAAGTCAGTTCTGCTTATGGAAAAGACATGGAAACTATTATACAAACGAAACCGTTCATTACGAAGGCATTCCCCTCAGTCAAACTAAATAACGTAGACAAGGAATTTCTACAGAAAAAAGTCTGCATCGCGAATACAAAACTAAGAGGAGAGATGCAAAATCCGGACGTCCTAGTAGGACTAGATCTCTACTACAATTTTATTCTCGAAACCCCGGAAAGCGCAACTACACCATCGGGACTTCGAATCGCAAGAACGATATTCGGACCTACAGTATACTGACGTGGGTCAGTTGAGGGAAAAAACGAAACTACAAACGTTATCTATGGAATGACAGCCATAATGAAAGAAGAAATGAACTACTAAGCAGTGTCGTGATAAACACACGACCCATGCCCAAATTTCAACTCTTTATTCTTACCCCTTTGTAATCCTTGTGGTTACATCGCTTTTCACAAAAAATCCGCCATATGGCGGACCCTTTGTGCCCGTTAGGGCCAGCCTCCTGCTGGCCAGCTCTACTCACTCATCATATTGTCGTGTGCCGGAGATACCGGCTTATTTTGTTGCTGAATAAATCCATCTAACTCCCTCTAGTGTTAACAGGGCACGAAAAGGGTAAAAGAATCCCACTGAACCACCACACCCCGTGTGCGATCGCGCCTGGCACAGGTCGGCGACACCGCCACGGGGGTTGATATTGTCGGCCCCTAGGTTAACATCTGGCTGGTTGTGCTTCACCCTTGTGTTTGAGTTTAGGAAATTGTTGTGGATAAATGGTGGGCATTTTACATGTGTGATTTGCATTGATGCGGTAGGCCACAGCTCGGCTGTGGCTCCGGGAATACCTTGTGTCATCGAGGTTTGTGTGTATTTTATAATCACGCCTAGTGAAATAGATCTGTCAGAAGGCTGACACAATACTAGTTAAAGGCAGCGTCCAGGCAAGATCCATCCACCCAGATTAGCACATAGTTGTAAAGAAGGGCCCATGAGTATCCGGTCTGCGTTGGCCCGATCCTTTGACGTGGCTTCTAAAAGGAGATAAGGCTTGTGATACGTATCACAAACCACCCCTTCATATCACAAACCACCCCTGAAGACGAGTGCTCACGCAGGTGTGCAGTTGCATTGCAGTTGCACTGCACACCGCAATGCAACTGCATCCGTGCAGTGCAGCTCCACACGCTGACATGCAATGGGGACGAGCAATCCGAAACTCGTCCGCTCCTTGAAGAGAGAGTCCCCAAGAATCGGGTTTTTGGAGATCTTGAACAATTTGGACTTCACAACTGTAATCAGGGCCACGGAAAGGCCCCAGAATGGCAGAAACCTGAGAGGTGAAATTTTGCCCGGACGCTGCCTTCAAGTGCCTTGGTTATATGAACATGCCCCAACTGTTGATAGTTGGGAGTATGAGTTGAGTCGCAGGTGTCTAGAAGCTGCTAAGTAGGCTGGTGGCAAGGGCCCCTATGTGTGCATGACATGTTGTGTGGCAGGTGGAATTCGCGTTCTCACAGGTAATGCCACCACAATATACGCTATACTCGATCCCGGATGGGACCCCTGGCTCCTACCGCCGATGCAGGAGAGCCACGATACCAATGACGTTGGGAGCCGCGGGCCCAGTCCGAGACAATAGACAGTCATAGCCAAAACATGCAAAACGAAAACCAGGCATGGCGAAGAAACTTTGTTCGAGCCTGTTTTATTAATGGGCTGGGCATAAATTAAACTGAGACCGCGCATCTCAGTTACCTAGTAATAAATAGTCACGGTGAGTTTATCGATATTTTTTTAGGAAAAACGCTCTAAACATTCGCAAAAATTTCTTGCGTAGTCGTTTGCCTTCCAATATACCTATTAGTGTCTAGCAAATTGGGACTACTTACCTGAAAGAAATGTCCTTGCTGCAGTTGCTAAAGTACCTCGCTAGTTGTGCTGCTGTATTGCATTTAGATGGCAATGTGCGTATCTGTCGGATGTGCCCGATTCCCATTGCTCGTGACACCTAAATGGCTTCTCATTTTATTTCTTTACCTGTTTGTGAGACTGAGGTCAACCTTGTCATTTGCGAATCCGCGCATTGCCCACGCTTTCTGACCGTCGTACCATTTGGCCAGGAGAGCTACAATTATAAAGTACCTACTGTAAACCATCGATGACATATATCCTACCAGGAGCAAGGCTCTCCTTTGACCACTTCCAGAAATGATCAACTTGATTGATGGATTCAAACGCTATGGGACCGTACGGAATTTGATCGAGATTCAGAAGCGATCGTACCTATAAGATAATCTCATAGATAAAAATTTAATTAATTTGCAAAAAATTGGGTTGTAGACCACAGCAATAATGTTGATGCCAAAATGAGCATGTGGGCAACATGCCTATCATTTACAATTACAATTGCTGATTTTCAAGGTCAGAAATCAAAATCAACATCAAAGACGGAAATGGCATAAGCTCCTAGCACCTTGGTCCCACCCATATATCAACTGTATTAGTATTCGAAACTTTCGTTTGAATATTATTTTATACCTGTTCTGATTTCTGTAAAATATGAAATTCAGCCGAGAAAACCCAACAGAGCGAATTAAATCAGCTGTAACCAACTTGTTGTTGATAGTAAAAGCCGTGTCTGTCGCGGTGATAGTAGACGAGACCCATAATGATAACAAGTGAGACCAACAAAAACGCCATATCACGCATTGTCTCGAAAAACAGCTCTTCTCTGGAAAACACATTTGAGGAGAGACTTGTGACAACTTAATGTAGCCTATCTGCATCTTTGAGATCACACACACGTTGCTCATTAGCTTCTTTCTACAAAGCAAAAATGATAGATGGTCGCAGTAGGGAAAAATAGAGGACGTCAGTAGAAAGAGAAGCGCTTTTAGCTAGTGTAGACTTGGACTCGCTATAATTACGAGCTTCTCAGAGTACCAATGCATTGCAAGCCCCGCCTCCTTATTCAGTGTCGCTTCAGGTGCTGAAACCGGTATTCTATTGAAAGTTTCAAAATCGAAGTCCAGTAGCTTCAATCAGAACCGAATTTCGGAATCAAAGGTTTTCAAGGTTGCTCTTTTCAGCAATGAGATTTGCTTGTTGCAAAGTTAAGGTTTAGCACTGATGATGAAGTTTCCTTTTCAAAACAACGCTAAAACTCAGGTCCATTGGTTTTTGGAGAATTACCAATGAATTAGTGGAAGAATACCTGTAGCTTTGGTTGTTTAAAAAAAATGAAGGTGATTTTATATTGTTTGACACCACTTTGAGCTTTAGGTCTGCTATGGAGTTTTCTAGCATTGGGCCAGCCTCAGTGACCTCAGTAACCTGTGATAAATCAAGAAATATTTGGTTGGGTTATTATCAGCGCTGTACCTCAGCTTATTCTTGAAAGCGAATTTAGGATAAAAACCATTACGAAAACACCTACGTAGTTCTGCATTTGGCATTCATTTCTAGGAAGATAATTTTTTCATGAGACCAACATTTTTGTCTCTAAAAAAGTGTTCAAAAAAGAAATCACTACTGATATTCCACAGAACATACATCGTTATAAGAAAGCGATTTTGAGAACTCGCGAACCTGAACTTCGGTCTTGTTTTGAAAAAAGTTTGAATTTCGATCTCGGTTGGTCATTACCGGTGCTACACTTGACTTCGAAAAGCAAACAAATGTCATTACTAAAAAGAGCAGCATCGAAACTGTTCTTCAATTCGAAATTTGGTTCTGATTGGAGCAAGTTCGCTACTGAACTTCGATTTTGAAACTTTCTTTGAAATTTTCCGGGTTCGGCATCTGAAGAGACACTGGATAAAGGGGCAGGGCTTGCAATGTTTCGGTAACCTGAAAAGCTCGTGATTATAGCGAGTCCGAATGTGCCTGGTAGGCACACCACTTAGGTGCGAGAAAATGGCTCGAGTGAGACACTTCCGCCCCCGAGCAACAGCAGGTTTCACTACTCACTGGGCCACTGGCAAACAGCATATCATTCTCGACGCATCTAGCAATTCAAGAGTTTCTGTGTATATACGCGTAAATTGCAAAAAAAGAGCAGCATTAGTCTACTATATGCTATCAGAAACAAGAAGTAAGTTTTGTGCAAGATTAGCTGTTATACGTCTTGTCCACGAACGTAAGAAAGTCGAAATCAAAATTCAGCAGAGGATTTCGAAAAAGATTATTTGTCGTGAATGAAGTCTTATAGTGTTGAGACAGTACAAGAAAAGCTCTATTTTGAGGAAAAATTTAGGTTCGAAAGACAAACTGCTGTCACAAAAGATCATGGGCTTTGCGCAAACTATTTTTCACTTGCGAGAGTCAAATCATGCCGAACCATATGGTTCTGAGGCTGTTGAGTTATGAGATAAGCGAACTTTGATTTGCCAATGGTCAAAATGTTTTTGCGATTTTTATCATAAAACGATTAAATCGGCAAGAACCTTTCGGGCGTAGGTATAGAAAACAAATTTGAGGAGCATATAGCTTAAAACCAACTGGAAGTTTGTAGATCTTGATTCGAAGAACTGTGAACTTTACCAGTAGCTATTGTGTGCTACTGTTATCCCGTTACTTCCATTCACAGAGATCATGTTTACTTGAGTCCGTTCATTTCATTGTAAATTTGATCACTACCTGGTCTTCTTATCTTTGTTGTCCTTGAGCTGTTTCAGATCACTCTCAGTCGTGCCTACGACGTTGTTTTTCAGGCATTCAGGTGGAGCTATAAGCAGAATTTCTTGACTTATTACTGAAGTAGGGGATTACCTGGAAGAGAGCCTCCATAGCCGAGGGGTAAAATGGCTTCATCAAAGTCACAACTAATGAAATGATCTGGACGCTTTCTCAAAATTATGTAAGCACATAGCATGCCCTGAAACGAAGTACATCTGAGACAAGATTTGGTGTTAAGTAAAGATATTCGTTGACGACCGCCCCATTTCGTGCTTTTACACCACCGCGGGCGTGCCGTTTTGGAGCCTTTTCAGCTTTATAGTACCCTGCAGTACCCGCCGGGAATTTACACCTTGCAGCATCCCTTCCTACTTCTTTTGTTGATCAAGCATTTCTCATCGTTTTTTCTTCTTAATTCTCATTTTAGGCAGTTACACGTTCCCATACCCACGTAAGATCATCGCTCCGGTCAAAGCGAGAGGAAATAATGAGTTCCCTTCATAGTTGCAGTGGTGGGCATCGTAGCTATCTTCAGTGTTTTGAATAATTGACGATTTCGTAGGAGACCGCTAAGTGGTTATTTCAGCACTCCTACATCAAGGACACATGTAGGTGTGCTGAAATAAAAATGAGTGTTCTCATCTGAGGAAAAGGCATGATAGCCACACTGCTTATGGAGAAATTTACCCTTTCCCCTAACTATGCCCGGAATAATATTTTACGACTTTAAAATTTTGTATTGGTAGTTAAAAAGGAGTTGGATTCAGAAGATGTGTCAAAAGTCTTTTTCTGTTCTTTCAGTATCAATTGAAGCAGAACTTGTAGGATATTCGATCATCGATAGAACATCAAAGAAGGGGAACGAGTAACTGCCTGGAATGAAGATAATGAAGAGGTAAAAAACAATGGGACGTGCCTAATCAATGAAAGAGAATTAAGGACAGGAATGCTGCGAGCTGCGGAATTTCCCGCGCGCTGCAGGGTACTGTAAAGCTGGAAAGGCTCCAAAAGGCACACCTGCGGTGGTGTAAATCACGAAATGAGGCAGTCGTCGACGGATATCCTTCACCCACGAAAAGCGCACCTTCAACGGCTCTGTGACGACAATCCACATAACTAAACCTATGAAGTATCGCCTAGTAAACGCAGTTGAGGCGTCTTCAGACATGCGACTTGTGAGCTGAAAGAGTCAGTACTACGTAAGCTACTAATATAATCTGAAAATAATCAGCTTACGCAGACATCTGTTATGAAAAAGCCAATCACGATCCAGGTTAATGCAAGGTGGAAAAGCTCTCGCCATCCGCATGGCCAGCAGGGTGGAAGCTAAGCAAGGGAATTCACAAAACTAACCTCTACCATTTAGCAAAGGCTGCATTACGAAGGATTTAAAAAATTGAAACAAATTGCCAGGTTGCATTTCTCTTTTCTTTTATATGTGATCATTTTTAACTTTTCATGCTAGTCGATTTGTTGTGGAAGTGCCGACTGCTGAATTACGATAATGTACACTACGGATTATCATCAAAATGAGTCCAAGACCTGATTCTGTTGTCTGTAGTTAGTTAGTCAAAGATTGAAGGGTTTCTATTAAAAAAACTGACTAAACTAAAGTAAGTACAATTGCTGCCAAACGCATTTTATGGATTTCTGACCTCCACCATTTTTGCTTCATCAGTTTATCTTTATCCTTATCTTTTATTCATTCTCAACGGTTTACATTGTTCATGCAAGAGACATCGTGATGATATTATGTAAGGCTTCATTATGTTAGTATTGGGACCGCATATGTAATACCAAGTGTTCTCCATACAGCACATTCCATTCTTAGTTCCTGCCAATTACAATAAGGCTTATATATCTTGCAATTGCAATTGCAATGCTTACGGATGTCGTCTTCCCATCTCGTTCTAGGTTTTCTATCAGCGAAACGTCGGCCAGTGGGTGGAATCCAACGGGTAAGCATGTCTGTCCATCTTTCATCGCCTTCTTTTCTACGCATTTTCCAGCAAATCGCCATTTTCTTCGACGAGCTATTACGACTACATCTTTAAATTTCGTGATAGAACGTATCCATTTTGAAGATCTTTGGTCTCTTAAGCAAAATCCTAACATTGATCGTTCCATCGCTCTTTGGCATCGAAGAAGTTTCAACAGCGAGTTCTTAGTCATCGCCTAAGTTTCACAACCGTATAAAAGCGTTGGAAATATAATGTTATTGAAGTAACGGCGTTTGAGATGAACAGCAACATTTCGACTACCGAGAATTGTCGTACTTTTCCAAATGCATTCCACGCTGCGCTTGTGCGTCTAGAAATTTCTTTATCATGACTGCGTGGGCATTGAATTAGCTATCCAAGATATACGAAACAATCTACACGTTCAATGACATTGAAGTTCAGTGTGATTACCGAGCTCGTCCAAGTGTTGTCTCTGTCTTCGTCCATCCACTTGGTTTTGTGGCCATTGATATGAAGTTCAACTTGAAAACATGCACGAAGTAGCTTTACAGCCATTGATTCCAAATGACTTGGACTGAGACCTAGGAGTACAACGTCATCCGCAAAGGGAACGTAACGTAAATGTTTTCCACCAATGCCACATGCTCCTCCGTCTCCCCAGTGTATGGATTCGATCGCGTACTGCAGACATGTGATGAAATTGAGCGGAAACAATGCATCGCCTTGACGGACTCCTCTATGTATTTGAAAGAAGTATTGATATTGTTAAATTGAAGTGAGGCTGTTGCGGTTTGATATATTAGGTCGTGTAATAAGTCCTGTCCCATTTTTTGTTTTAGTTTTTTCTTGCCAATGTTGACTATATTTGAGATAAAGTGTATATGCCTTGAAAGCTCTAGGTTTGCTCTACAGGCTCATATGCATCATTCCCTAACATAGCAGAAAATTGAAAAAGATTTTTATCATTGAAATAAAAAATCCAAACAGCCGAAAAATCAATTTTCGACATCTTTTTTCCTTCAAATTTTTCCCGATTTTTATTGGTAAAACTTATGAAACAAGGTTGACAACAACCAGAACAATCTATTAAACTTTTACACTTAGTCTATCATTGTTTGCCCTGTTCGCTTCCTTCCACCGGCTATTTAATGACATTTTTTTAGAAGCCGGCAAGGCAAGACTTTGTCACGGCGATTTTCGCCGTCTCGCGTACCCAAGCTGTGTGACCTCCCAAAATTCAAATTTTGAGTATTTAACCTACGAATTCAATAATTTTGAAGCCACAAACCATCCCTTCTGACTTTTCTGGATGACCCGCCTACCGTCTTCCCTTAGGATGCCTTCAGATGACGCCCAACACCCGTTGAAAAGGCATCAGAAAGAAGAATTTTCTAAAGTCTACAGAAATGATTTTTGAAAAGTTTCAGCACTCCTGAAGCGCAATAGAAGCTAGAGCATTCTTTGCTTACGTGTAGCAAATTCTTCGAGCTTATTCGTAGGCATTCTGACTAATTAGGAAGGCGACGTAACGTAGCTGTCGAAAATGGACTTTTCCCTGTTTGATTTTCCAAATTTGACGCTGTAAAACTTTTTCAAGTCATCTGATGTAGAAAACCGAAATGAAGTTTTTAATGGAGAAGGCTTAGAGCTTTCGAATGCATATAAACAATTTACAGAACATCGTGCGAAATAGAGAAAAAATTGAAAAAAAAATGGGACAGAACTTATTACACAACCTAATAATAGTTGTATCATCAAAATCGTGTCATTATCTACTCCAAAGCACGCAAGAGCTTCTCAGATTGCGCTAAAATTAGTAGTGTCGAAAACTTTTGGAAAGTCGAGGACATGAAGTGCAATTGGTAGATGGCATTCATGGGTCTTCTCAACAAGTTGGTTGATGGTTTGCAAGTGGTCGGTAGTTGAAAACGTTCGTCGAAAACCGGTTTGCTCAATAGAAAGACGTTTATTTACTTTTCCTCTATTTGGAGGGCCAAAGCTCTTGTCAAAACCTTGTACAATGAAGATAAGAGGGAGATCGGGCGGTAGTTTTTGCTGTCATACCGATCGCCCTTCTTGTGAGGTAGAACTATAGAAGCATGTGCAAATTCACTGGGTACGCTATCTTCTTCGAACATTCGGTTGATGATATCTGCTAATTGTGGTGAAACAATCTCCATTCCATACTTTGCAGCTACAGATCGGATTCCATCGATACCTGGGGCAGTGTTTCCGCGAATTTTTGAAGCAGCTATCCTTAACTCGTCCGCAGTTATTGGGTAATTCACGATTCGATGGGTGTGAGGCTGAATGAAATTGTCGTGTATTCCGTAAAGCTCAGCAAAGTAAGTAGTAGCGGGTAAACCAGCTTCGGTGGAGTTAGTTGTTAGTGTCCCTGGTCGGCGTAGCTGGCAGATATTTCCCGTTGATAGACAAGCTCAAGACGGCCACGCTTTATACGGTTGACTCGAATGGCACGCTTCAAACAGAAAGATGATGTTGGTGAAGATCGTCTTTTGTTGACCATCTGCTCAGACAATCGCTGGGGGCAGGCGGGCACCGGAAGAATAGATTGCTGATTTCTCGCACCCCGCTTGCGAATTTTTTGCAAAGCAATCAGAACTTTTCGGAAGACCGCTTGCTGAGTCAGCGGATTTTTGAGAGACCGCCTGTTGAATTTTTTTTCGCTCTTATCTTTTGCAGATATATTGCTGAATCTCTGAGGAATCGAGAACTCAGCAAGCGGTCTTCCGAAAAGTCCCGATTGCTTTCTAAAAAATCCGCACGCGGGGTGCGAGAGATCAGCAATCTATTTTTCCGGTGCCCGCCTGCCCCCGGCGATTGTCTGAGTGGCAACCTTGCAAACAATGAAGTATTAAACGGAGTCAGAAGAAATTTTCCTATCCCGTACTTCATTTCACGTCTTAAACGAAGAACAGATTGAGTTCTTTCGGATATCCGTTTTAGCGATTCCCAGTGGACTTCTGCATGAGCAGCAGCCTCTTGTATTGATGTACTTAGTTGTAACCAAGAGCGATATCGACATTAGCCCGAATAAGTCTGTGGCCACTTCCAGCATTAAACTTGTTGAGAACAGTAATATTAGTTAATATTCTGGGTTGCCGTGTCAATACGTAATCTCTTCGAGCACATGTCCCAAGGAGATCGCCAAGTCCATCTTCGTCTGTGAGACTTTTCGAAAAAGGAATTGCATAGAATTTTTCAGACTCAGCATCGAACTCAAGCATGGCCTGCCCTTTACAATTCCGTATTCCAAGACATTAGTCGCCGACGTATTCACTTCGTACCCCATCTCTTCCTATACGCGCGTTAAAGTCGCCAACTAAGATGTCATAGGTATATCGTTTCTGTGAGAGTGCGCATCGAAGTTCTTCTACAAATTCTTCATAATCATTCTCTTGCCATGGTGCATAGGCCATAGAAACTCGCATAGACCTTCCCCGCATCCGAAAGTGGATTTAGATAAAGCGTTCCGAGACGAAGGTAACGCCTAAGCAATAACGATGAATGCGCTCATTCACTATTATGCCGACTTCCCTTCTAGTGGCTTCTCCATTTGTTCGTCCACTATTATAAAACTGTAACTTCGAGAAGTTTCGTTTCGTATAAGAAGCGCCGCTGCGACGAGTTTCGCATAGTTCGACAATGTCAAATTTTATCATACTTAGTTTCTCCTCTAGCGCAACTAATCTTTCCTCACTACACAGAGAACGAGCATTGTAAAAACATACGCGTAACTGTTCTTGTCGTCGTTGGGTCCTGCGTTCTTTAGTCGTCTTGGCATCTTTCGGTGGACCAGCCACGGCTTCTTCTACCGAACTTCTTCTTAGTTATTCTTGACCATTGGTTAGATCAAAGCAGCAAAATAAGCCGACCGTTCGAGGGGGACGTTAGTACAGAAGTGGCTTCATCAGTTACAAACCAATAAGGCTGCATAACCCATGCAAGTACCTGGATTGATCTCATTTGAGATCTGTATAATTGAAGCTGAATACCTGTTTGTGTGTTTGTGTGTATGTCTGTGAGGTTCCGAGTAGGAATATTTCATTTCTGAACTAATCGGGACGCTTTGCACCACAGCTTCGGGGCAGGGCCGTACTCGCAGGCTACTTTCATTGATCGACATCGATTTCATCGATTTTTTTGGAAAGTTTCGCCTACGAGGCTGGGGGTTGCCACAGGAGGTAACTGAGCATGTTGACTACGAAAACATTGTTGACAGGGTCGGATAGATCAGTGCCAGTTAGTTTTGAAACCTTGGAATTACTAACTTACCTTCACGTTAGGGTCACGTCGTTTCATTACTTCGATTTCATCGTGTTCATCATAAGACGCAAAACGACTGAAGTGGATTTGTCGAAGATATTGTCTTCTACCCAGAATCTGGTAAAGAAAAAACGTACGATTTTATATAAGGCAGCAACGACGTGAATGGAAGAATCGCGATGAAGAGGAAAGCTGAGAAGACAACCTGAAAAAGAGCTCTAGATCTTTGAACTGAATAACGACTTATTATTGAGATCTGACATCTCGCAAGGATAGAGTGAAGCCAAATGCATTTTGTTCGAATTTGCTGCGTCCGGCGTAGCCTTCTATCGAACAAATGGCCCAGTTCAGCAAGCAAAGAAATAGTTGTGCGATAAGCACAGATAAACCATGCGAACAGCGCGAGATTCGCTGTCGGGTACGAAGTCCTCCACCTAAAATATTAGACTACGACTTACAAGCTTTTCTAAAAAAAGCATTTTTCGAAAAGGTCCAAATAGGGGAAATTCATATCCATTAGCACCTTAAAAGATTTTTCTTGAGCTGTTCTACAAACTTCTGTCGCCTTTGGCCATACCTCACGCGATTTCAGTCGCCATGTGATGTATTCAAATGCAACACTGACAGGCCACAAATAAATAGTCTGTAAAACTTTCGCAGATTGATAAAATGCCCTATACTCTGCACGTTTGGAATGCGCGCACGGTTGGAGTACTAAAATACAGTACAGTACAGTAGTGAAAATACAGTTACGATTATGGAAGTACCCCCAAACTCTTAAAAACATTTTGGTGCGCAATCGTATCTATGATCGCGGCTGCACTACGCCCAATTGCATTATCTGCCCTGGGGCAGGGGCGGGGATTGCATGGCGACGGGGGTCGTCTATCTTATCACCTGCGCGAGCTGCGGCGACGAGTACATAGGCGAGACAGCGCGGCCGCTATGTGTTCGCGTAAGAGAGCAGTTAGACGGCAAAGATAGATCACGAACCTCCACCCCACTAGGCACTCACAGGGCGCTAAAACACGCGAAGACAAATTTCGAAGTGAAAATTTTAACGCATGAATCACAGACATCGGCTCGCAAATGTTTAGAGGCATTTTGGATTCACGCCAAAAGCCCTAAAATGAATCGTAACGAAGAATGCCTGCCATCATACGTGAGCTCGCTCCCTCTTGAGTCAGATCTTCTGACCCGCCGGAGACGTTATAAATAGCCGTGGCATATGCACTCAATCATTCAACGCTCGCTCTGGCATCAGAACTCTGTCGGCGTGTTCAAAAGGTGAGTGCTTGGTTAGGCAGCTAGTTACTAATCTACCGAAGCCTTAGAGTTTCGTTTGCATGGCTGCAGAGATGTTTGATCGAATAGCTTGCAAGTCGTACTGTCCATTCCAGGCTCTGAAGAAGGCGACTTGCCGAAACGTCAGCCAATAAAAAGTGTCAACAATCTCGGGTCAAGGCTCAGAAACACAACCACGATTGGAGTACTGTTAAATTGCGTCGCGACCGAATCGCGTGAGGTATAACCAAGGCCCTTCGGTCCAAAAGTTTTTTAGGAAATTCAAGTGGGCTCCATCTCTACAGGGCAGTTTAGACAAAGTCCTCAATGGATTTGTTTACCGCTTCTTTTTTTTTTGATTAGAAACCTAAGCCTGAGAGAATAATCGAAGATTCTGCGGTTATGAATGTAATCTTCGATTATCCATCCATACCTGCAAGGACGTTTCCGGAAGCTCGCGCATGTAAGTTTTCCAAATTATATTTTCATATGCACACAGGTGGTTATCCCAAATTTTCTTTAGCATGTTCGTGATAGCAAACAAACAAAGTACCAGAGGAACATTTCGATAATCTCTGTCGCAATCAGTAAATGTCATTTCATATCAATGACTTGCCTACATATTGGAAATATCAGCATGCTCAGCACTGTCAGATGCGTCGTCACAACGCCTTGCGGCAATTCCATCAGCTTGTCGAAAAATAACTTCAAAGAAAAAACGTCGAGACGGGGATTGGCAGGGAGTCAAGCGAAGCCATCGAAATCACAGCATTGAACTTCTATTAACATATTTGTAGTAAAATATGCAAATGGATAAGCAACAGAGTTCATAAAATGCAATGCTTTCTAGCCAAGGTCCTCTTCCAGCGACTGCAAGCGGCTATGCATTATGCTTAGGAAAATTCGAAATCCCTTTTGGATATTCGATCGTTGAAAAAAAATTTGTAGCTCAGAATACTTGTAAATTGAAAGCTTCGATTCTTTTCTCAGCTTGTGCGAAGTCTTGCTGAGAAGTTCCTGCGCCTTTTCGTGTGATTTTTTAGGCCATTTCAAAACTGATAGGTTTATTCGGCTCCTTTTTGGGGTGAATCTCTTAATGAGGGAAATAATATTACCAACTGCTCGAAATTTGAATAAATTAGGTTGGTCCGTAAGTTTTGTCCCGCCATTTCCAAAACTTCGTAGTTTCTCAATGTCTTAATTGGCTTTGACATTATGAGAAAATGTAAATCAGAATAAAATGTAATTTGTGATAAATTTTCGCTTACTCCCTACTAAGCTGTGATGGGCAGAAGCAACAAAGGAAAAAGGAGTCCATCAACTTGAGGCAGCCCGTGAAAAATCTAAAATGTGCATTCAAATGCGAAACAGGTGTCATAAATGTTCTCACCTCCTCTTTTTAACTGAGCAAAGTTTAAGCAGATCAAGCTCTTCTATGAAAAGATTTATCTCGAAAAATAACAGAAGACAGGAAATTGATGTTTGGCGTTTTTCTCGGATATCATAACTTTTCCCACAAAAATCCAATCAGCACAAAAAAGTAGTGCCATGGGTCAAAACCTATGGCACTACTGTTTTGGATTTTATTGCAAGTTTTTTTAGATTTTCAACGGGCTTGCCTCTAATCACCGAGCATTAAATGATCTCCTTTGTCCATTTCTATCTCTGCAACCAGAGCTATATAAGGCACGGGGTGTCATCAGAAAGTGCATAATCTTCTTTTTAATATTGATGGCAATCAAGAAAATCGTGGCAAGGGTTAAGGGAATTTTGAATATTATGCGACAGAACTTTCGGACCAAGCTGCCATAAAATTTAGTGCTCAAGAAGATGATTCTATCATCAAAAATGCATATCAAAATATTTGCTTGTGGTGATTAGGATAGAGGTTAGTACATACCTGTATACATAGCTATGTACGAGATCGTTTCGGCAAGCATGTGAATGCTCATGCAATCATTCAGCATGCTAGGGTTCGTCTCCGCTGCAGAAAGCCTTTCGCTCTGAAGACACGCTTTAATGAAAGATTGGTGTCTCCAAAAACAGTGCGTACACTAACCGCGCCCTCTGCCATACATTGTCCGAGCCAATCATGAATGGGAAAACGGTAAATCGAGCCAGTGTGCAAGTCCTTGATGAAGATGCGGTTGCAGTACCACGATTCACGATGTCCTCGACCCGAGTTGTCGACCCAGACTCGCACGTAACGGATATCGCCCAAACTCCTAATTGCAGCAAATTTTTACTCATGCTGTTAAGATGGTTGTCATACCAAGGCGTCTTCAGCAAAAATCTTGCAGTTGAACCCCAAGTGAAGACAGCTGAGTTTTTGTCAAAGAGAGGGGAACTTAGCTCGCGAGTCATTTCATCAGCCTCAGTCCCATATAGTGTGATGAAAATCTGCGAAATGCGCATATTCTGCATAAATTATAAAATATCTGACTCACTCTGGAATCAGTACCGGCGTACATGCGATATCCAGTCTCAACAGCTACTATGTAGTGATATAAATCACAATTGACATTGTCAGCCATGTTGAACAAAAATCCCTAAATCTAATTTCTTTGAAAAAAATAAGCTTTATGGAAACCTAAACGATGCCCTCTTTGTAGTCTACATCCTTCTATTCCTTCCAGGATTTCGTAATATTCCACAAAAACTCTCGTCGGTTGCAATCGTTTTGATATGCCGTACAGGTTGTTAATTGTGTTACAATTTTATTGCCTGATATTTCGCAAGACAGCCCTCAAAGGCTGGAAAGGTCACAGTCACAATGAAATACGTTTCAGCCGCCAAAGATGCCCCTATTTGCCACTCGATTTGTAGGAAATAGAAAGTTCGAGAGAAGCCGTTAACATCAAGTGTATCATCATCACAGGTGCGGTAAGGTGAGAATGACTCCTCTAGGGTGAAGGGGGTCACAGTGGTCGCAGCCCCTCCAGGGTGAAGGGTGTTTTACTTGGTAGAGAAATTATAAAATGTCGACCGGGGGGGGGGGAAGAGTTTTGGTGTTCTCTCATTATTTTTCCTAGTCAAAGTTCATAATTTCCAATCAGAGGTGCGATAGGGGGAGCCAAGTCTCCCCCTACCTTCACTTTTGAGCTGGTACGGGGTGACCACCTTCACTTTTGGAATAAAAAATTTTTCGCTGGACGACAAAGAAGGAAAATAAGCAAAACAAACGCAAAAAAGATTATTGAAAGCATATATTTATGTATACGGCGGCATATATATTTAAAATAAAGGTTTTTAGTAAATGGTGTATTTGGAAGTAAAGCTTAGCAAAACTGTACGGATTTTATCAAGCAAATTATGTTATAACGTATAGCGAAGGAAGTAGGTCGATCCAGGCAGTAACGGCGGAGAACCAGAATTTTGAATATTTAAATAGTGAAAAATCATGCGAAATTTCCACTGTTATAAATCTGTTGTTTGAAGATGTCAGCAGTTGCGACTTCATAGGTTTTGAAGAGTAGATGTTGCTCTATCAGCTAGTGAAGGAATCGGGTCGATTTAAGAGATAGTCGTTGAAAACCAGAGTTCTAAAACTTTACGCCATTTTTGCGTGTTTTTTGACTGTTGAGAGTTAAACTCTTATAAATCTTGAATGTGGAAGTGTATGATGTTGCGACTTCATAGGTTTTATAGAGTAAGGTTTGCCTTATCAGAATATGTCTTGTCCGTTCCGATCCATGGAAACACCTCCGAGATCCAGAGTCATGAAAAAGCAGGTAAAAAAGAGCTTTTTGAACTTCAACAGCTCATAACTTCTTCAGGATTGCACGAATCATGTTGCGACTTCATAGGTTAGATTCTTCTCGTCAAGAGCTTTCAGATGATATATAATATGTGGGGGTTTCGCGCCTCTTACGGCATATGCCCGGGGGGGGGGAGACTTTTTAGGCCAAAGTCTCCCCCTCGCCCATTTTAATGTATTGGCTGGAGGCTGCCGGGGGAGACTTTGGCCTAAAAAGTCTCCCCCCCCCCGGGCATATGCCGTAAGAGGCGCGAAACCCCCACATATTATATATCATCTGAAAGCTCTTGACGAGAAGAATCTAACCTATGAAGTCGCAACATGATTCGTGCAATCCTGAAGAAGTTATGAGCTGTTGAAGTTCAAAAAGCTCTTTTTTACCTGCTTTTTCATGACTCTGGATCTCGGAGGTGTTTCAATGGATCGGAACGGACAAGCCATATTCTGATAAGGCAAACCTTACTCTATAAAACCTATGAAGTCGCAACATCATACACTTCCACATTCAAGATTTATAAGAGTTTAACTCTCAACAGTCAAAAAACACGCAAAAATGGCGTAAAGTTTTAGAACTCTGGTTTTCAACGACTATCTCTTAAATCGACCAGATTCCTTCACTAGCTGATAGAGCAACATTTACTCTTTAAAACCTATGAAGTCGCAACTGCTGACATCTTCAAACAACAGATTTATAACAGTGGAAATTTTGCATGATTTTTCACTATTTATTTATTCGAAATTCTGATTCTCGGCCGTTACTGCCTGGAGATCGATCTACTTTCTTCGCTGTACGTTATAACAAAATTTGCTTAACAAAATCCGTACAGTCCAACAAACTTCTACTTCCAAATACACCATTTACTAAACAGGTCTATTTTAAATTTTTATAAATAAAATTTATAGATATTTTTAATATTCATCGTATCTGTGGCCCTAAAGAGGGCCGTTGGGTCGACGTTAGACCTAGAAAGATAGCTCCGTTCGTCCGTTCTATCCTCCCCCCGCACCTCCCCCCCCCCCCCCGTCGACGTTTTTGGGAGGTGAGTGTCCGACACTACCACCTTCACTTTTGGCCGGCCAGTGGTAGCTGAAACCACCTTCACTTTTGGGGGACCCGGCTCCCCCTATCGCACCTCTGTTTCCAATTCCTTACCATCACTGTTTGTCTTTTTTTTTTCAATGTGAGCCGATATGTTGCTGATTAGCAAGCACACAATTATATTTCTGACCAGCACCTTGTATTTTTTTATATTTCCTTTTTTTTTTACATCGCCTTACCTGTTTTGGAATTACCATAGAAGATGTGCATGCGAGAACATATGTTTCGGAAAGAGTTAGACAATTTTTAAGCATTTACGAATTTTTTTCCAAGAAATTCGTAATTTCTGTAGATGAACAGCAACGTCAGCAAGGTAAATGTTTTTGAAACCACCTTGTCTTCCGCTTTTAGAGGATATATAGTTTGCCTGGAGTCTGTTAAAAAAGTGCCTGGTGAAGAGTATGGGTATGATTTCTGAATATTTACGAGTTTTTAGGATAGAAAATTCCGTAACTTCTGAAGGTGAACATCTTGTACGCTGAATTAATCACCATTGAAACCGCCTCGTTTTCTGCTTTCAGAAAATATACACTTTGTCTGGGGTCCGTTAAAAAAAGTGCCTGGGTGAAGGGTGTCCTAGTGACTTCTCGAAATTTTCGAGTTTTTAACATAGAAAAATTCATAACTTTTTCAGATGAATATCTTGTACGCCGTGATAGTCACCGCTGGAACCGTCTCGTCCTCCGCTTTCAGAAAATATATACTTTGCCTGAAGTCCATTAGAAAAAGTGCCGGGTGAAGGGTGGGTGAGACTTTTATAATGGGAGTGCTCAAGTAGACGTCTTTTCACAATGGTAAAAGCCTGTACTTGAGCACTCCCATTGTAAAAGTCTCACCCACCCTTCACCCGGCACTTTTTCTAACGGACCTCAGGCAAAGTATATATTTTCTGAAAGCGAAGGACAAGACAGTTCCAATGGCGACTATCTAGGCGTATAAAATGTTCATATACAAAAGTTATGAATTTTTTATGTTAAGAACTCGAATATCTTCAAAAATCACCAAGCGCACCCTTCACCCAGGCACTTTTTTGAATGGATCTCAGACATGCTATAAAATTTTCAAAAGCGGAGAGCGAGGCGGTTCCGAAGATGACTATTTCCTTGCACCAGCTATTATCTGCAGTAGTCACGATTTTTTATCCTAAAAACTCGAAAATTCACAGAAATCACTAGGCACATCCTTCACCAGACACCTTTCTTTGAATGGATCTTAAACATGCTGTATATTTTCTGAGAGCGGAGAACGAGGCGGTTCTAATGGTTACCAAATTGTCGTGAAAGATGTTCATCTACGAAAGCTATGAATTTTTTTATGTCAAAAACTCGAAAATCTTCAGAAATCACTACTCACACCCGTCACCAAGCACTTTTTTTAACAGACTCCTCCTTTCCTATACATGAATAATCCACGTACAAATTTTCCTTTTGCTTAACCTTACCTCACTGTTGATTTTTTTCTCGGCTTTTGGTGAAGGGGGTCACCTTGGTCCCGGCTCAGGGGTGAAGAGGGGATGAGAAAATTCTCACACTATCGCACCTGTGATCATCATTGTAATAGCTTGTAGCCACTCGAAATGAATCGACTGTTGTGACCAGGGTCAAGCGTGGGGTGTGGCATGCCATACCTGGGGGGTCGTACTGAGGAATCAGAAAGGGGGGGGGGTGTCGTTATTAAGGCGTCCGCTTCGTTAACAATATCAAATAGGCCCGTCGTGCAAAATACTAGCACATCGATGTTTGTCCCATTATCGTATACGTACAGTAAGCACAATCAAAAATATATGAATCATAAGGGCATCATTTTGTAATTAGCAAGTAAAATAACGCCTGCGGTCCAAGTTTCAGCGAATTCTAAGGTTTAAAAATACAGGACCACCAAAGTGAGATGATCGTTTTCAAGCATGTTGTTTTATTTCAAAGGTAAGTTAACTACTTCTTTTTGCGCTTATTACAAAGAACTGCTATTTCTTTGCTCACATTAGGAATCCTGCTTCAAATGAGCTCCAAATTAAGGAATTAAGAGCAAGCCAAAATCTCGTTTGTTCCATTTTTCGTTTTCAATATCTTAGGCTGGAGAAGACCAATCAGGCTCAATTCTTCAATGTAGATTACGAGGCTTAGGCTAGCATATATATACATTCTTGTCGTCTTCCCTTGCGATTCACGTAGTAGCGCAGACTTAGCATGTTACCGTATCCCAATATTTTCGCAGTATTTTACAAGTATTTTACATTTGCATAGGTAAGGACAAACGAATATATCTTGCTCTTGAAGAAACGTTTTCATATGAAATTTCTGCTATGTAAAGAAGAAGGAAGCAGTAACAACGATATAGAAGGCGCTATTTGATCTGTTTTAAGGTAAGTTAATGGGGTGTGGCACCACCCCTAAAAAGCTGTAGCAGCCACAGCTCTTAAGGGGTAGTGCCACATCCCTCTAACTATATCAAAAAAACGTTAGCAAACGTTATCTATACGAATCGATAGCCTAGAACTCGTAGATTTCATAGGAGTGATTTGAGCCTGATTCATCTTCTTAGCTCCGAGTAATATTTGGTGAAAGCACAGTCATTAAAAGCGAAAAATAGGAAAAACAAGATTTTGGTTGGCTTCTAATTTTAGAGTTAGGAGCTTTTTTGAAGCGAGATTTCTGATTTGGCCAAAGAAGAAGTAGTGCTATGTCTTGAGTGCA